AGAGGCTTTCATCGACACATTCATTCGCTCTGCAATCATTTTCCATCTGTGTAAGCAGTTTACAAATTAGTTTATTAACTCCCGTCATATCTCCAAAGCATGGATGATTCGGCAGCCGTGTGTGTAATTCGTCTATAAATTCCAAATGATTCATTTTAAAACCCTAATGTTGTCGCTGAAATAGCAACTGTAATTGATCAGAATAGAGAGCCATTTTCTGTTTCTGTATGAATCAGCACGGTAATAAAAAATACAGCATAACTACTTGACAACCAATGTCTTTTAAGGACACCAACGACAATTGCGTATGCCGATTGTCATGGTTCTTCTGTTCTTGTTGTTTGAATGCTACTTGTTATATCTAGTTGTCGCTGATTGTTATATCGGAAAACGCTTATCACTTATATTCGAAACGAGGAACCTCTTCAGTAAACATCTGAATATGAATATTTGGGGTATAGATTCATTCAACCCGCTACTCGTTAATTTTATTGAAGCCTTATCAGGTCTTATATTTAGGTATTCTAAAAATACTCACTCACATGGATATTACTGGGAGAAGGTTTGGAACAATGGACAATGTCTATGAAGTAAACACGGTATGATGACATTTAAGAATTGTTAATGACATTTTCGAAGTGTAGGGAACAAGAAGTAGAAAGGAATCAGACAAAATATCCATAATTAGATATCTGCGAGTTATTACGTGAAACACATATGTACTATAAAGATAACTTTGAGAATATGATCAACAAGATAAATATGTGTCGCTCAACTTAGTGGATTAGTTGAAGTTAGACATTAACACCATTGGATGCCGGGAAGTTCACTGGTCTAGAGATTGACTGTTCGCACGCGAGACTGATAAGTCCTGGGTTCGAATCTCGTGAGTCGGGATCGTGGATGCGCACTGCTGAGGAAACTCATACTGGGACGAAACGGCTGTTCAGTGCTTCCATGATTTCAATGGTGTTCTAACTTCAATTACCTCATGATCTGAACTATTAAAACTACTATAATATCCACAAAAGCCCTTCAGATAAATATGTTACATCATAGCAAAAGACTAATCTTGCTTTTCCCTTTGTTTGTGTTGAGACGTACTGCTGCTGAGGCTGCTTCTACACTGGTCACCTTCTCCTACATTTATCGTTGCGTGTGTGATAAAAGAGTCAGATCATCTGCAAAGTCAAGATCGTCCAGTTGTATCCTAGCTGTCCACTGTATCCCATGCTTCTCTCCAGATCTTTACGTCTTCATAATCCAGTCGATTACCAGAGGAAAGAGAAAGGGTTAGAGTAAACAACCTCGCATGACACCGGTCTTTACTTCGAACAAGTAGACTGAATCATAAATTGGATTGAGACTCTTGTCATCAAACGAGGTTACGTGATAGTCAGGAGGTTAACGAAGAATCGAAGGATGAAACTTATTGATGGGTCAGAATTATGAAAGATAATTGTCCACTTGACAGATATGAGGCAAATAAAAACAAAAAAAAAACATTAATGTCATAATAACAAATGAATCGTAATTATGAAAAATTGTTAAAAGATAATAATAACTGATTATGGTTTAAAGTTAAAAGAAGAAAAAAACAAAAACAAAAAAAAAACACTTCAGAGGGGAATTACAATCAAGAAGAGATGACAGATCGGACATATCGTTTTTACACGCAGAGTTCAGGCTTGATTTGATAGATGGTTAATATCTGAGCAATGCAAATAATTTTGATTTGAATTTCCTTTGACTGTGTAGATTACTTTAAAAGAATCTTTCAGAGTGCTATGTTCCAGAGTTGATTAATTGCTCCTGCATTGATCTAGTAATTGTTTTGTATTCTTCTTATCAAAGCCATGTCGGGTAATATTCTGAGATACGTTTAAAAAAATTGATCAATTAGTGTATCCAGTTTATGTTCGCTAAATTCACTATACATTTATTCAATGATACAATGGGTTATTTTAAGTATGAAGATTGTTTTAAATGAATTCAATGAATAAGTAAGAGAATAGTTAGATATTTTGATGGAGTTTTGTTCTGTAAACTGGATGGTTTGGTCAGAGAATAAAATTCCATCAAAATTATCCACTTGAGCAACAGATCTTCACCATCATAGATAAATTAGATCAATTTTAGCAAGTTCAAACAATTAATAATGAAACAAACACAATTTCAAACTACAACAACAACAACAACAACAAACTGAACACTTCAACCTTCATCACCACTTTGCACAAGATACCAACTATTTCGAGGAAAATGAAAGTATCAAATATTTAAAATGTTTAATAATATAATTTTTATCAGAAGCGGATCATGTAGAGATTTTAGTCATTTTATAGTTGAATTCATGAGTCTTCAATGAGTTAATATCTCACAACAGATCTGTTTGAACTTCACTAGTCACTGCTACTCACTAGAACTCCAGGAAATATCTCTTGAAGCCAGTCATTAGTGAGTATACGATGATTAGTATCAGAAGAGGTGTTTGTGGATATCATAGTTATTTTAATAGTGTACTTCATGAGTTGATTGAAGCTAGATCACCATGGAAAACATGGAAGCACTGGACGACAGTTTTGTCCTATTGTGGGACCTCTCCTTAGTAGTGCGCATCCACGATCCCGACTCGTATGATTCAAACCCAGGACCTATCAGTCATCCGTGCTAACTCTTCACCTCCAAACTACTGAAGTTCTCGGCATCCGATGGTGTTAATGTCTAACTTCAATCATCCTGTTTTTTTTCATATGAAGAAGATTTGAATATTATTGATTAACATGTAACAGAATCTTCAGGTTTTACTTTAAACCATATATCAACTTTTAAAAAATCAATAATGATGTATGATGAAGTTTCCATGATTCTTTAATATTTTGAGTTAACTAATCAGATCATTGACTATCACATTTTATTGAAATTATCCAATCAAGTGTCTAAACTTTATGGTCTTACATAATAATAATAAGACCTTATGAACTTCACAAATGACGGGATCCAAGGTCATTCCATTTTAAATGTTTATTGAATATAACAAAGGCAAAAGTGTACAGGGGGTACCTAGCTTGTCGTATGCCCTGATGCTGTTCTCGGGTTGCCTGATTTGTCAAGGGCGATGAGATAGTACATGACAGTATTGTTATGTGCTAGGTTCCGTTATTGTTCCTATTATTATTGTTGTTCCTAAAAGTGAAGAGAATAATGTCCATTTTTGACACAATAAATACAGTTTGAAAATGAAAAGAACTGAGTATTCAATACTAATGTAGTAGTGATATGCTTGAATGTTATTACGAGTTCATCTTACTCGGTAAACGGAATGAAGGTCAAAGATACAATGATACGATAGGCTATTCTAATCCGTTGTCTCGGTCTTGCTAACTGGATCACAAAGTTTTGATGAGGCGTAGAGAGTATATTCTATAAGCACCCAGAAAATACAAGGTCATTAAGGACATAAATTAAACTTATTTATATAATGATAGAATGGCCCTTAGTTAGGAGAGCCACAAAATAGAGTACTAAAAAAAATTCGTCAACCGATGATAGTCAAGGATTTCCGAGTGGGAAATGTAATCTATAGGTTAACTAAGCGCCTATTGGCGCGAAAACATAAAGTTCAAATTTTCAGGACATAATTACATAATTAGGATCTTTTTCAAGTGAGTACTGAAGATCTAACGTTCTCAACAAGTAGATTAGATCCATATGAAATAATATATGACATTTGAAAGTAAACATCAACAATTTAAAGAACTCGAATTATGTGATGCTATTAGTTCATACTTTAATCATAAACAGTCAAAAAGAATGTTAATTTTATAATTTAGCTGATGAATTAAATGTTAAAACGTAATGGATGCACACTGCTGAGGAGTCCAATACTAGAACAAAACGGTTGTGTAGTGTTTCCAGGTTTTCTATGATGGTCTAACTTCAATTGAATCATCATTATAATATCCATAAAACTCCTTTCTGATAATAAAACGTAATTTATAGGACAAAAAAGACTGCTTTCTGAGATTTTGAATAAATAACATTGAAAATGGAAAAGATTGTTTAAGACCTAAAAAAAAAAATACTATCATAACGTTAAAAACCAATAAAGATGGTTGAAACAACGTGAACTACTGAAAAGGTTTTAAGTAATAAGGAAAATGCAATAAAAACATCTTAAGCATGATGCAATTCATGTTGCATAAATTTTAACGGAAGGGGTTTTGTGGAGATTATAAAAATTTCAATAGTTGAACTCATGAGTCAATTGAAGCTAGACCATTATGGAAAACCTGGAAGCACTGAGGAGCGGGATCGTGGATGTTGAGAAGTTCAACAATAGGACGAAACGGTCGTTCAATGCTTTCAGGTTTTCCATGGTGGTCTAGCTTCAAATCACTCATGATTTCAACTATTACATAGATTTAACAGAATATTTGATAGAAGAATTATCAAAATAATAATTTTGTTCCATGAAATACCTACAGATTTATATATATATATGATCATGTTTTAGCTAATCAAAAATCAATCTGTTCATAGTCGTTGGTTTATAATAATACAGTAACATGTTTTGTTTTTAATAGAGTTCTATTCACTAAGCTGGATAGTTTTTTTTGTCGCTTAGAAGAACAATCAAAATTCTATAACCAAACTATTCAGTTCAGAGAGTAAAACTTCATCAAAATCATTTATCTGAGCTGCATATCTCTATCACATGTTTTGTTTATAATGATATAATTCAATGAATTCATCGTTTACATAAATTAACTCATCACACAATAATACATCAATCAATCTATTCATTGCATTGACATGTAACATATTCTTGAAGATACTTTAATAATCTATGTAAGTGTCCTGTATTATGTAATAATCTCTATTATTGCATATCCTGAATAACACTTATGTAATTTTAAATTATTCTAGTGGATCATACTCACTATAAGTGTAACGATTATTAAAAGTACTCCCCACACACACACACACACACATACATACAAACACACACGCACAGTGCTTGCACACGTATGAATGATTTATTCTCTCATTTTTTGTTTAGTTCGAATCAACAAATATTAAGAACTGATTTCTTATAATGATTTCAGTGTGTTATTTCCTTGCATAACTCATTGTATAATTATGAATACCTTTGTAAAATATTACCTTATTGTACTGTTTATAATAACTACCATTGAAATAAGTAAGTTCCTTTATTGTCATTACTATATGTATGCTTAATATGAATGCTTAATAGTAATATTGTAGTGAACAAGAATACGAGTGGGAACAATCAAATGTGTATGACCATCAAGTTACAGAACATCCCAGTAAAATTGGAGAATCATACAGGGAATACTTCATTTGTAAAATGTCAATCAATTGTCTTAGACTTGACTGTTTCTTTTGTAAATATCAGTCGACTGTCTCAGATTTTATTACTTGATAAATTAATAGGGGCACAAGGCCATTTTGACATTAATTCTTTATAACCAACCAACAACGTGTTAGTCACCATCTTTTAACTTGTCAGAATTATTTCAAAAGTGTAAAGATGGTTACTAATTCACAGTTGTTCTCAATTAGAAAAATACTAAGATGATAATTTTGATTAACTTACTGCTGTTTGAAAAATTCTATATTCATTTTCAATTAACTCTGATTGAATTCCCTCCGGGGGCTACTGCCTGTCCCAAGCCCAGATAAAGGAGGAGAGTTGAGTATGGGGTTATCGACCCCATCCCGTAGAAAACTAATTCGCTAAAAAACGCTAACCAGAAAATATTCATTTTCAATTACCTATGAGCATTCATAAAGATTACCAAACTGATCCATTAACTTTATTATCGTATTGATTAGTATAAATGGTTTGTTTTTACTTGGCGTTGTTTTAGTTGTCTTTCCATTGTTATTTACGACTGCAATTGATCAGTCTCTTATCGGCTTATGTGCATCCTGTACAGATTGCCTCGATATAGCCTCAAGTTACAAGTAAATATGAATGGTGCCTAGCAATGGAACCCATGACGCGCGTTTCGTCATATTTAGGAATCTTCAGTTGTAGTTGCGGAGTGATTATCAACTCTTGGATGCAGATACATCCAACTGACGAGGCTCAAATAAAACGAAATGCGCGTCAAATTGGATTCCACTGTTAGCCACTATCCATCTTTGCTTAATATTTACAGGTTATTAGGTTTAACATTCAATAATTGATTTAATTTATGAGTAGTATGTTATCAGTAATATATATTATACAAAATTCATTTCATAGAAAATATTCGAGGTGCATGTAAGTGAACTATATGTTTCCTTTATTACATCATTTTTCATATTTCATTTATGGATGGGTCTATTTTTTGTGTTTTTTCTTTCTTTTAATAATGAAATTTACTTATTAAAATGATCCATTATAGTGATGTGCTATCTAACCCATCAGTGGTTTCCAACTCCATGCCTAACTCTCCTCCTATACTCGGGTTTGTGACTACCAGTTACTCTAGAAGAGCTACAGGTGGAGTTGGAAATTGAATATATTTACCATATCTTACTCTTAATAGATTAGAAGAGATGGTTAGCTACGAAATAAGTTAGTTTTGGTTAAAGTAATCGTCAGGAAAACCAATTAATTACAGAATACATCCCTAAAATATAAGAGCTATACATTAAAATACAGTATTTGTAAATCTTCCTTTGTATGCTTCATGATTTTTTCCATTCAGTGGTTATAACAACTGCTTTCTGTTTCTCTTCTTATTTTCTTCAATCCAATCTCTTCAATCTCCTACTATCAGGCATTCCACTTCTGATTCGTGCTAAATCCTACTTCTATATGTCAACATAAATAGTATCCACAATAATATTAATTTTAATAGTTGAAATTATGAATTAATTAAAGCTAGACCACCATGACAAACCTGGAAGCACTGGGCGGACATTTCGTCCTGTTGTGGGACTCCCTTTGGCAGTGCGCATCCACGATCCCGCATGGCAAGATTCAAACCCAGGACTTATCAACCGGTTAATTACTCGCGTGAGAGACTGATAGGTCCTAGGTTCGATTCTCGTATACGAAGTGGTGTATGCGCGCTTTCGAGGAATACCATACTAGAGTGAAACAACATTTTAGTGCCTCCAAGTTTTAAGTGGAAGTCTAACATCATTCGACTTATGATCTCAATCAAAAACTTCACCTTCTTCACATTCCCTAACTGACAATTATCGTTTACTTTGATTTAGTCAGAAAGAAACCCCCTACATGTAAGAATACATTTTTAATCTGATAATAAAATTAGATTATGGAATAATCAATAGACAAAACAATTTCTTTACTAAAGATTTCTGTTTTTCCATCCAAGACTATGTTCTGATTTGTCTCTAACTGCTTATGAGGTCGCATTGTTTACTTTCTTAGTATCTGATTGGATTACAAGTTGATCTATGAATGATTAAGTGCTTTTAAGTCTGCTGAATTGTTTAATAACACAGCTAAAGTACTTACGAAATTGAGGTTCAGAACAATGATTTACCTAATGAATTGTTCTATTGCTATTGTTCATATGTAAATCGGTTACAAAGCTCAACTCGTGGAGTATCTGTGACAATTAACGTATTTGGTTAACTGGAAATCGAATAACTTCTTGTTATAACATAAAGATCAACTACAAAATGTAGTAGCATAAATGACAACTGGTAGCTTTGTTTAAAGTTCATAATGACTTTCATTAATCACAATGAAGACTATGAGGTTATAAAGAGCGTGAAAATCACATACAACAGTTGTTACAATCGTTGTATACATAAAATGAAATTACTAAAAGTTAGTTACCGTGATGATAATTCCAGAAGTAACCTCTTTTGCAAGCCTTAGGTACTTGGCTTCATTGTACTCCAGCAATTGGCTTGTCTTTCCAAATGTGTTATAATTAATTCATATAGTAAACTTTGACAATCTAAGGAGTTGTACATAACTATAGTTTGGTGTTATTATATTTCTGTCGTGTTAAAAATAAATATAATCTTCCATAGAATCCTAAAATTACATGCTAACTTACATTCAGAATTTAGATTTTTATAAATGTTTTTAACAATGATTCTATACGGACTGTGAAACTACTACTTGAAACCGAAGTCTCTGAGATCGAATCCTGTGAACAGGATCGTGGATGCGTACTGCTGAAGAGTCCAACACTGGGACGAAACAACCATCCAAGTGCAGAATGAAATTTGAATTCAGTGAACATAAATTTAAGTGTTTGACAATAGTTTCTGTATTTCATTGGTATGCAATCTAATACATTGGTTGTATTATTATGCAACATGTATAAGTATCATTATTTAACATTGATGAGTGTAATATATAAAACATTTTTCTTTCTTTTATTAAACAGCATTTGTAATTGTGGAAAATTTGTATGTTGATCATATAGTCATACAATGTGAATTTAATAGGTAGATAGATGAGACTATAATTTATGGAGGATCTTTGAGTGACACCAGAGTGACCTTGAGAGTGTCTACCTAGTTACTATGGCTAAATGACGGTTATAAAGCAGTTTAAAGAATAAAGATTATGATTCACAGTTTTTCATCACGAACTGACATCAGATAAAATGCAAAGACGCTATTTAGCCTAATGAGTGAATAAATAAATGAATTTCGCACTAAAATCCAAAATCTGTTATCTTAAATCTGATTGGTTCGTTCATAAATTATAGTCTCGCCTGTTTTGACTTTCTATCTTAGGTTGATTTACTGAACAGCTCCTGATTGTTTATTATTTTTGGAAAAAACATTTATTTGATATCTTAGTTTAAAAGTAATCAGATTGTAGTTTTACGAATTACTATCATCTATACCTGGTAGCACTGGACAGAAGTTTCTTCCTAGCATGAGACTCTTCAGGAGTGCGCATCCACGATCCTTACTGTAGGATTTGAACCCAGAGCCTATCGGTCTCGCACGCTCACGTTTCACTTCTATACATATTGAACCCTTCGACCGATTTCAACTTTCATGAAAGACTCTTAACATACTATATTAAGCAAGAAGAAGTATGATGTAACCTAATTCGACTGTAGATTCTTATCACTTACTTCTAATTAACTGTAGTGTATGACAATTGTTCATTCACTAATTCTATTAAACAGTAGAACTTAATCAACACCTTGAGATATTAAGGTATAGGCTTCTAGTTTCTAATAAAAATGTCTTAAGATAACTGAAATGTAATGCTGTTTATGAAGTAAACATTTTCTTATGACCAGTAACAATCAGTTGTATGGTCTACCAGATCCCATAGTCAAGTTGAACTGACCTATGAAATCAGTTTTATCATTTCATAGAATGAAGTTTAGTTTTGTCCTTTAAATATCTAAGTCACTAAGTATCTATTATATTAGAACTAAGAATAGGTGAATAATAACCACTAGGATCTATTTGTGGATTATTATTACATAAATTCTTATTGTATGACTAATATGTAGCTATCAATTCACTTGATGTTGTTTAACTTGTATCTTCCTATTGTTATTTAGGACTGCAATTGACCACTCTCTTATTATTGGCATATATGCATCTTGTGCGGATCGCCTCGATATAGTCTTAAGTCACAAGCTTTTTAAGTAAAGATGGATAGTGGCTAGCACCTCTGGGATGAAGGTACATCCAACTGACGAGTCCAAAGGAGGATGAAACGCGCGTCCTTGATTCCACTGCTAGCCACTATCCATCTTTACTTATTGTGTAACTATATTATATGTATATTCATATTCCTTCTATTATAAGCTTTTATTAAATTGAATGACTATTATCATATGATTTACTATTCTTAAGATTTTCCTAATTTATTAGTAACAATCTCTCACAATCATAGCCACTTTTTGGCTTGGTTTTGTATAATTGTTATTTTCTATTTATGATATGATGCGGTCTGGTTTGTTTGTATAGAAACCCAGTACATCTGAAACATATGATTTGTATAGCAGAGGCTGATATTAGCGTTCAAGTCTGAAATGTCTGAGTTAAGTGAGAAGCTACTATCTCAAAGGAACAGTAGAAACTCTAGGCTGTTCGTGCTGGTTTATGAGTCATTAATCTGATAGCATAAGTCGGTGTCTAATTGGCGATCGTATCACGTAATGTAAACAAGAGCAACGATGATATAAACTGGCTAAAATGTGATTAATTTCATCATCATCTTTTTTTGAAGTGAACCAATTTGTGTTATATCTAGAGCTTAGACCCTTGATATACCGTGTACAACTTGAGCACCTAAACACTAGAACCTTCCAAGTTGTAAATAAGAAAACAGAAGATAATTGAAAAGAACGTTATTCCAAAGCATTATGGTACATAAATATCATATATTTATAGTTTTTTAATAAAAACGAAGTCATCATTATAGCCCTCCCAATCTGTCTATTGGAGGTTATTAGTATTTGTCCAATAGAGGAGCTACAGGTAAGGATTCTGGAATATTCTAACAAAAGATGATTGAATGGAATATCTTTGGCTCTTTTTGAGCTTCTTAGAAGTTCCTCGAGTTTATTTGTGGGCCATCATCACAAATTAGACATTTTATGTTATTTTAAGAAGGAATTTTCTATACTTTGTATCATTAATTTAATTGTAATTTTATTTTAAACTTACTTTAGGACTTCAACAGACAGATTCATGTAAGAGTAAATCTTTAAACGAATGTTGAAGAACTTTGCAAATTTATATATATATATATATATATATATATATATATATATTAGTTGAGTTCATGACTCAATAGAAGCTAGACCGTCATGGAAAACCTAGAAGCACTGGAAGACCATTTTGTCCTACTGTGGGACTCCTCGGCAGTGCGTATTCACGATCCCGCTTACAGGATTTGAACCCAGAATCCATCGATCTCGCGCGAAAAACGCTTAACCATTAGATCACTGAGCCGACATCCAACAGTGTTAATATCTAACTTTAACCAATCCACGAGATCGCGCCACCTTCTACCATTGTCTTCAGTGAGTTACTATCCCACAACAGACGTGAATGAACTTCACTCTTCATTGCTTCTCACTAGAACTCCGGGAAATACCTCTTAAAGCGAATGGCTAGTGGGCTCATGAACTCAACTATTAAATTACAATTATAATATCCACAAACCCCCCTTATGATAATAATTATATATATATATATATTACTAACAAAATAGCCAGTAGTAAAATGTTCATCTTCCATTATAATGTAAACAATTGTACATTTACATGATATTTCTTTACTCATAAAATAAACAATTAACTCCACCTGAGATATAAGAAATGCGGATATACTGTCATATTTATATATGAATTTGTACTATTTTAACAGATAACACTGTAACTCCTAGTATAATGACGTAATTTGTGAACAAAAAAAACCAACTGAAGTTTTTTAGGGATGATAAACTACGCAAGATTTTGGCGACCTAAATTAATTGATTTATCGATTACAAAACAAATATTAACATATCTACAATTCGGTGTTGCCTAGGTGACTAAAAAGTTATTTAATAGCTTCAATGAACACTTTTAATGGTTTGAGTGAGCATTTTAGGAGCATGAGAGTGCTACATAGTTTAAATTTTAATAACCAGGTAATCAAGGCGAATAAATTCTGTGATAGAGTAATCAATTCCTGAAGATTGTAGCCGTGTGAAAAGCTATTTGATCATACTAGTTAATCATTTACTTATCACAAACCTCAACTATTTCATACTTGATCGCAGTATATTCACTACTGACGAGTCTTATACTTAGATGAAACAACTCGGTGAGACTACAATTTATGGACGACCTATGAGCGGCGGTAAACTAAGATTGTGAGTGTCCATCTGATAACTAGGACCAAATGAGGGTTTTAAATTAGTGTGGAGAATTAGAATTATGATTTATGGTTGATAGTTAGGGTTAGGAATTAGATTTAGGGTTTTTATCACCAACTGATATCAGCTAATAATGACAAAACTCTATGTAGCTAAATGGATGAGTGAATTTCACGGTAAAATCCGAGATCTGTTATCTTATACGTGATTGGTTCGTCCATAAATTATAGTCTTGCCAAAAACTCTATAATGTTATTTATGTTTACATGATCGTATGCCCTAGTATAACAGAACATCTATGGCCTTCAAATGACACAGTTTACCTGATCTAAATAGTAGATTATTTCTCGGATGATTTCATTGTAACTAATAAAAACAATTCAATTATTTTTATTACAGGAAACTTGTAAGACATTGTTTTACTAGTTTCAGCACTTGGATGGTACTTTTAGGATAAACCAATGCATATTCATTGAATATTCTTATTGAAAATATGTTTGTATTTTAATAAAACATTTTACAATTAAAATAGAGTTTTCTTTATGTGATTTTTTGATGGGAGAATATATCCACATGTGTGTGATGCCAACACATTTCAAATCCCTCTTGTCATATCATATCCATATGATATAAATTAATTGATGTAATTCATAAATTTTGTTACTCAGTATACGTGTGCTACTTATGTAGATAAATATAAGCAGTATATAACACCGATGAGAAGTAGAGAAGATTTGTAGCTCAGGTGGATGATTTCGATGGAATTCTGTTCTCTATACTGAATAGTTTGGTCTTGGAGATTTCACCGTTCTTCTGAATGATGTCATTAGCACAAACTTCATGACCAAACCATCTAGTTCAGCAAACAAAACTCCATCAAAATCAATCAGAAGTGTAATGCTTGACTGTGAAAGATTGAGAAGATCGAATTGGAAAGAATAGAAATGGTTACAATCAAAGATACAAGTATAAGATTAAACATTTTCTACTAGTTGTGAAAGTAAAATAAATGAACGTTGTTATAAATGAAAATTGAAACTGATTAGAATCATCTGTAGATATGAATGATAATATGGTGTTCATAAATGAGAAGAGAATAAAGTCATAAGTTATCTGATAAGTAATAATTGTGTGATCACTGGGCGGTGATCAATGTCATAGATGTCAGGTCCTTCTTAATGTAGATCGAATCCTATCGATCAAGTTGTAGTGTGGTCACCAGTTTAGGTGACTTGACATTTCGTACTTCTTGCTGACGAGTGATTTGTAGCACGAAACCTAAGTATAGGGTTTCCTCTTGACTATCTCCAACAACCATCTTATTACAATTGACGTCATATACTCGAAAGAATTGGTTTTAAAAATAAAAGAAGTTTTAAAAACAAACAATTTTAAAATAGTTAATGGAGGTTTAGTTAGGTTTAACATTTAATCGGATTATTGATATATACATCAATTTTAATCGTTGAATTCATGGGTCAATTGAAGCTAGACCACCGTAGAAAACCTGGAAGCACTAGACGCCCATTTCATTCAACTGTAGGACTCCTCAGCAGTGTACATCCGTGATCCACGCCTCTTGAGATTCGAACACAGGACCTATCGGTTTCACGCGTAAACGTTTAACCTGTAGGTCACCGAGCCAACATCCAACGTTTTTAATGTCTAACTTCAACCATTCTGCGATATTGCGTCATCTACCGTTGTCAACTAATAAATTACCATATTATCCAAAAATCCCCTCTCTAATTTTAACCACCACTCACTAATGACGGTCTCCAAGAGGTATTTCCTGGAGTTTTCATGAGTAGCCATGATCCTTGGAATTTAAACAGGTCTGTTGTGAGATGGTAACTCACTGGAAACAATGATGGACATGTGGCCCAATTTCGTGGATTAATTGAAGTTGAATATTAATACCGTTGGATGACGGTAGGCTCAGTGGTCTAGTAGTTAGGAGTTCGCGCGCAAGATCTCAGCTCCTGGGTCTGAATACCACGAGTCGGCCGTCCGGTGCTTCATATTCTCAACTATTGAAATTACTATAATATCTACAAAACCTTCCTTCTAATTCTACATTATTAAATTATTCATTATTCAATGACATATTAATATAAAACACTTTTTGTATATGAATATATTTCAAAGCTTTAAAATATGTAACATCATTTTTATTTTTATTGAAAACAAAATATCATCAATTGTTTAAATAGTCTAATTCAACTAATGACCTTGAATTTGATTTAAATTTTAAAATGGCAGAATTTTCACTAATTGTTTTGAATTTAAAAAACAATGTTTAAATAATTCCCTAGTTAATTAAAACAAGCAACAACAACAACAAAAAAAAACGAAAATGGAGAATTTGTAATGATTCGAGTTAATGAAAATAATTCATTATGTTATTGTGAATTCAATAAACAATGTTATCACTTCACAATGTAATCATTTCCTTAAGTTGTTGTTGTTGTTGTTGTTGTGATTTGAAAGCCGATTTGTTACCATGTGATTTATTTTCTAATAGAAATAGAACTTATATAATATTGGCACTATGCCAACTTAATGACATTCAATCAGTATGAGCAGCCTAGATGCCTTATTGGTCCATTGCTTGTCTAGCTCGTCCAGTTGAGTCCAGAATGCCAATTACAGCTTCTACTATGTGAATCGTTTATTTCAAACATACTTGGTTTATATACTAGCCAAATAGACCGCATTACACCATAAAATAGGAAATAATATTTATGCGAGATCAAGCTAAAAAGTGGCTGTGAATGTGGCAGACTATAATCAATAAACTGGACATAACAACAGTAAATCGTACAATAATAGTCGATGTGTCAAAATGAAGCTTATAATAAAGAGAGTATAGACACGCATAATCTAATTATTTAATATTTATACCATAATAATATATGTATGATATTAATCTATCAATAGTCCTCGGAAGGTACCCATAATTTGATCTTCACTAGAATATAACAGTTGTATATATTCTTATTTATAGTTATTGTGTAACATATATGAGTCTATAGAAGAATAGAGATCATTACATTATAAATTGATATGAGACTCTTATTATCAAATGAAGTTACGCAATAATAAAGGGATAAAGAGGGAATATAAAGACGAAAATCATTTACGAATCTGATAATTGTTCAATTGAGAGATTTGAAGAAAAAACGACAAATATAAAGATCATAATAATAAAAACTGTATAATTTAACCAATTATAGACGCATTGCTCCACAGGAATCATCTTTTAAAGTAATCTACACAGTCAAAGGAATTAGATCGAAGAAGCGTCGAATCAATATTTTATACATTGCTGAAGCATCGGTAATCCACGAACTTGCGCCAGAACTTTGCATACAAAAACGATTCGTCCAACCTCTTATCCTCGCTTGGCTCTATTTTCCTTTGGTGGTATGTTTTGGTCGTTTTTTTCTCCTTTTTTCTTCATTTTTATTTGGTTATTATTGATTTGTTAAATTGGTGTTTTGTAATTTTCAACTGTAATCAGTTATATTCACTGGAAGCTGTTTACTTCTATCTTCCCACTGTTATTTAGGACTGCAATTGATCAGTCTCTCTATCTTATTGGCATATGTGCATTCTGTACGGATTGTCTTAAAATAACCTTAAGTCACAAGCTTTTTAAGAAAAGATGGATAGTGTCTAGAAGTGGAATCCAGGACGCGCATTTCCTACTATTTGCGACTCGTCAGCTGGATGCACCTGCATCTCACAGTTGATGATCACTCTAAGATTCGAACCCAAAACTCTTCGCTTCAAACGCTATCGCGTTATCCACTTAGTTACTGATTCTTGATAACCACATGCTTGTGTAACAGGGTGAAGTTTAACTTCACAATATTGAATTCCACTGCTAGCCACTATTCATCTTTGATTATAATACTTATGAATTAAGGCAATATCAAGGCGATACGTACATTATGCACATATGCCAATAATAAGAGTTCGATTAATTGCAGTCTTAAACATCAATGGGAAGATTTAAGTAAATAATACCAAGTGAATTTAACAGTCGTACTTTCCGATAAATTGAGCATTGGTTACAGAATTAATAATATATATATATATATATATATATATATATATATATATATATATTTGTCATATTCCAACAAGTAGGAAACTTGTGTTTCGTGACTTAATGTCGGCCACTTCTTCAGAATGAAGAATTGGCCACTTTGAAGAAGTGGCTGACATTAAGTCACGAAACGTCAGAAATACAATTTTCCTACTGATTGAGATATAACAAAAAACAAACTGATGATTTTAAACGTCGTAATTCAAACACTGTTATTTTGAGGCGTCTTCATCTACTACATCTTTATTCACTGATAATTCAACAATTGGAATAATATGTTGACAATTATAAATAATTAGGAACTATCTATTCTAGTCTATAATATTACTTATAGTTGGAAGCCATTATTCTTTCATTGTTAATGAATGAAGCCTATCTGAAATATGCAATAGTAATCACAAACTATATAAGTTTACGATTTGTTTGAGTATTCAGTGGTTGTTAAAAGCAATTTGGTAGAGGAATTCATAGGTCAATGGAAGCTGGATCACCGTGGAAAACCTAGAAGCACTGAATAGCCGTTTCATCCTAGTATGGGACTCTTCCTTGAAAGTGCGCATCCAAGATCCAGCACCAAGGAATTCAAACAAAGGACCGATCGATCTCTCGCAGGCATTTCACTTTTTCCTGATTATACATACTACTTATATATCTGTCGAGATCAGTAGCACACACCACAGTATTATCAATTATAAAATCCATTTAATTGTAATATAAATACATGTACATTAGAATACTGACATAAGTGAAGTGATTGTTCTTTTAAAAGAATCTATATCATAGAGTAGCAGCATATTTACAACTGCAGAACATCTGGAACTCAAAACAATTTGCAATCAACACCAAGATCAGAATTTTCAATACAAATGTGAAGACAGTTCTACTGTATGGGGCGGAAACCTGGAAAACCACAAAAGCCATTATCCAGAAGATACAGGTGTTTATTAACAGTTGTCTACGGAAAATACTTCGAATCCGTTGGCCGGACACTATTAGCAACAACCTACTGTGGGAGAGAACAAATCAGATCCCAGTGGAGGAAGAAATCAGGAAGAAGCGCTGGAAGTGGATAGGACACACATTGGGGAAAGCACCGAACTGCGTCACAAGACAAGCCCTCACATGGAATCCTCAAGGCCGAAGGAGGAGAGGAAGACCAAAGAACACATTACGCCGAGAAATGGAGATAGACATGAGAAAAATGAACAAGAACTGGATAGAACTAGAAAAGGAGGCCTAGGACAGAGTGGGTTGGAGAATACTGGTCGATGACCTATGCTCCATTAGGAGTAACAGGCGTAAGTAAGTAAGTGATATCATAGAGTAGTCAACTTTAACCTTCAATATAGTCATTGAATGAAATCATACAGACAATCCTTAAATGACTGAATCTTAAATCTAAACTATTTCTTTGAATAAAATTCTATGTAAAATAAAGGAATAATATTGATATCCAATAGAGGAATATCCGGCTAATATTTTAATTTCTCGTAATGATCGAAGTTCAAATGGACTATTTAGAGAGATTAGTAGAAGAAAATAGTTCGTTAGATTGATCTACTTACCAAAATCTTTCATAGAATTCACTAAAAATAAAATGTTTAAGTAAATAAAATTTTGGATAGGGTAATTATTCCGTCCAAATATGGGTGAGTATATGCTAGGAGGGGGTGGATAGTCGATAGGAAAAACTGAAATTAGTTTCTGTTCTAGTCAGTATTGATCAGTAAGGTGTATCAAAGTGAAAGTTCACTATTATAAGCCTAGAACATTATTCAGTTAACTTATTCATCTATACGATGATTTGGCTAATAGTAACACAAGAATTATGAATTTTTAACTATAGAACCCAATGATCTATTTACTGTTATCGGAATAGGGGTTGTGAAAATTACTAACTTTTTGATTGAGATCATGAATCGACTGATGTTAGATCACCATTGGGAACCCAGAAGCACTGGACGGCCTTTTCGTCCTATTATGGGACTCCTCAGCACTGCGCATCTACGATCCCGCTACCTCGCTGAATTCGAACCTAGGGCCTTCAGTCTCGAGTGAGAACGCTTAACCTATTGGACCATCGAGCCGGCATCTAATGGTGTTAGTGATTAACATTAACCAATCTAGGAATTCGAGTGACCATCTTTCATTGTACTGTACCTGTCTCTACCCGACGTGGATTAGCTCCATTGGTCACTAAAGACAAATGTTCACATACACTTTCTTTATATGTGAATATCATAATTATGATCTGTGAAAGTACAAAATGAAATTTGTATGGATCTTAATCAATTAGTTTCATCCTATCAATAAAATGACTATTCAAATGTCTACTTCGTTTATATCATTCTATGTATTAGTTAATCATTGATCAAATATATAGTCAAATTTGTAACTGGATTTCTCTTATCTTATGTTTAAACGATAAATTTACCTATTTATTTATTTATTTGAACACATAAATATGGGTACAAAAGGGGCACCGAATACATATGCGTCACAAAAGTCACTTGATTTGTGTGCTGTGATACTTCACAGGTGCCCAGACAGACGCAGGTGGTTTTCTTAGGAGGCCACACCCAGAGCCTTTGACCTAAAGGTCTGATCCACAAGGAATTGGAGCAATGTCAGGAGATGAAGTCGTTTGGTAGCTGGTGACCAGCGATTGGTTCGTACTCCATTTGTTCCTTCAGGATCCTGGAACTCATGTGCGCCATTGGTTTAGAGTGGGGGTTTTCCAATACTCCTAGGTGGATTTTCCATGTTCAGCAACGCGGTTAAGGAGTCGAACATTCTCTTTTAGTCCTCTCAATTTCATGATCAACATCCTCGTTAGGAAAAGACAGTAATAGAATATTTTGACAGTGGCTTTATACGAGTGACCATGTGAGAGCATTTGGAGAAGGGGATCAAACTCTCCACACTCTTGACCGTATCAGGGCATTTGGGGGATAACGTTAACAATTTTATTCTATTTCCTCAACGACCCTATTGTTTTGAATCAATGATTTAGATTTATAATCTTAAAATCTGATGTGAACTAACCAAGAAGAATATTCTCCGTTCGTGTATCATATATCTTCATTGAAAGAGGACTTCTTAAACTACTAGAATATCTCCACTAGTGACAAACATCTTATTCGCTCTATATGAAAATTGACTAATTGTTATCTACAATTGTATTCCTGATGTGTAGACATTTATTTTGGTTGTCTTCCCTCTAGGTCTGATTATTGATCGTATTTGTTTGTTATTTTTCTTATCAGTTAGTAATCCCAATACAGTTCTGTTGATTGACCAGTGTCCTCGATCCCAAGTTTATTTGATTTTTCTAATTTTCTTTTTGATGAATTTGGCCAGTATTTTACCAACTTACCAGTCATATTAGTTATCCATATATATTGAAATATACAGAGGTATTCCATTGAGTCTAACAACTAATTGGTGTTCAGAAAGAAAAAGCTGAGTAGGTGACTGCTTTGTTCGGTGTACCGTTTACAATCAGATTGTTATTTCTATTAATAATAAGATTATCCATTTGCTGACACGTAAAAAAATCACAATTCATATTACCAGGAGGGATTTTTGAAGATATTATAGTAATTCAATAATTGAGTTCATCACTCAATTGAAGCTAGACCATCATGAAAAACCTGGAAGTACTAGACGGCAGTTTTTTCGTACTGTGGAACTATCGAATCGTGGATGCGCACAGCTAAAGAGTCCCATACTAGGACGAGATGGCCAGTCAGTGCTTCCAGGTTTTCCATGGTCGTCTAACTTCAACTGACTCATGAACTCAACTATTGACATTACTCTAATATCCACAGAAACCCCTTCTGATACTAATCAACATATGCTTACTAGTGACTGTCTCCAAGAGTAATTTACTAGAGTTCTAGTGATAAGCAGTGACTAATGAAGTTCAATTGTGTCTGTCGTGAGATAGTATTTCATTGAACAAAATGGTGGATTTGTCGCTCAATTTTGTGGATTGGTTGGAGTTAGACATTAACACCGTTGGATGCCGGCAAGTTCAGTGGTCTAGAGGTTAAACGTTCACGTGAGGGACTGATAGGTTCTGGGTTCTAACCTTGTGAGGCGGGATCGTGAATACGCACTGCCAAGGAAGAGTCCCCTACTAGGACGAAATAACCAGCCAGTGCTTCCAGGTTTTCCATGGTGGTATAACTTTAATTGACTCATGAATTCAACTAATAAATTACAATTCATATTGTTTTACACTTCTTTAGTTAAAGTAAGGATAATGATTTACGGTTTATCAAGATTATATTTAGAAGGGAATGGATGGAACAGTCATGTTAATAAATATTTACTGACCTCTCTTTTGGTGGGTTATAATCTGTCAATTACATAAAGACAAATATAATCTTCATAATAGTTGAATAACAGTTCGTCAATCTAAATTTCTTTATAGTCAATCAAATTGTTTATTATTAACGAAGTAAGTCAAGGATAACACAAATGAACTTACTCAAATGTTTAATCATAAGGTAGATATTTTTGTTGTGACTTTAAGTCCGGCTTGTTATCAAATGAATTATTCGCTAATTAAAATACGACTTATTTAATTTTAGTACTGTGCCAAACCAAGGACGTTCGACCGGTATGAGCAGCCTAGATGCCTTATTGGTCCATTGCTTGTCTAGCTCGTCCAGTTGAGTCCAGAATGCCAATTACAGCTTCTACTATGTGAATCGTTTATTTCAAACATACTTGGTTTATATACTAGCCAAATAGACCGCATTACACCATAAAATAGGAAATAACATTTATGCGAGCTTAAGCCAAGAAGTGGCTGTGAATGTGGCAGACTATAATCAATAAACTGGACATAACAACAGTAAATCGTACAATAATAGTCGATGTGTCAAAACGAAGCTTATAATAAGAGGAATATAACTGTGCATAATCGAACTATTGAATATTTATGCAATAGGAATATATATAGATAGATTATTAGTCCATTAATAGTCCCCAGAAGTTACTCGTAGTTTAATCTTCGCTAGGATATAACATTTATAGATTGGATAGATGTTTGGTATATTATTAAATTGTATTTCCAGGCAACACAATGTATATCTCACAGGTTGTATTCACCGCAAAACATGAAAGATTTCTAATTACATTGTAGTGGTAGCACTGCAATTTTATAAAATCATTATTGATATCACAGTGCTGCTATGTTTTTAATGGTAGTTTAATATCAATTGTGTTAGGGAGATCCAGAAAAACTCCTCGAAAAAAAAAGCCAAGAAAGGATGTGAAAACATTGAGAAGCATCTTATCCAATCGGCATTCACATGTCGAGTTTCTGATTGGATGATTACTTATACTGCTATCATGTTCAGTAGCATTTCAGAATTTTCTGAGAACCCAAAGTCATCTAAAAGACTAAAAACACCCTAGATTTTCTGTATATAAACGGACCTTTGCAGTAAAGTGTTTCTTCCATATTTCACGCCTATTCTCTCATGTTCAAGTCGCTGTGTGGATTTAGCCTAAGGATTACAAGAAGAGCTTAGAAACCATATCTGGCGTTCATTTAGAAGACTTATCAAACTGATTCCTAAGCTCAATCAAATACTTAACAATCTTCACAGCCTCATACTGATAATATCCTATCTGTACTATAATTGTTATATGGCTACAATCACATAAAATAACATTATGTCAAATTTGTACCAGATGTTTCGTGACTTAATCTAACTCACTTCATCAGTACCATATTGTATTTAAAATTGTATTAATTTTATTTCGGTTATATATTCATTCTGAAGAACTGACTTAGAATTAGTTACGAAATATCCATAATACAATTTTCTACCCATTGAAATATTAAATTGTTGCATTAAATCAAGTAAAAGGTGACTTGGTTTATTGATTTTTTTGTTTTAACTATACAAAATTACATACCTTTTTCATTCATCCAATGTTTGTCTGTAGAATAAATTAATGTAAAAAGAGTCAAAATTGATAACAAAATAGATTGAACTAGTAAATTAAAATGTTGACAAACCATTAACTTAATAGTTAAGTTCATGAGTCGACTGAAGCTAGACCATTATGGGAAACTTGGAAGCACTGGACGGTCGTTTCATCCTAGTATAGGATTCCTCCTTAGCAGTGCGCATCCACGATCCCGCCACACAAGATTCGAACCCCGAACCCATCAGTTCCGCACGTGACCACTGAACTTGCCGGCATCCAACGGTGTTATTGCTTAACTCAAACCAATCCAAAAAATTGAGCGACACATCCAACATTGTGTTCAATGAGTTACAATCTCACGACAGACACAATTGAACTCCATCAGTCACTAGGCCGTTGAACTCACTGGCATCCAACATTGTTAATATCTAACTTTAAACAATCCGCGAAATCGCACCATCGTCCATCATTGTCATTAAACCCATTTGAACTCCACTGGTCACAGCCGTTTAGTGCTTCCAGGTTTTCTATGTTCGTCTAGCTTTAATTGACTCATGAACTTAACTATTAAATTGCTATAATATCCATAAGACTCCTTCTGATATTAGAAATGTTAAATCAACTTACTAGTATATGTATTATTCAATTTAATTACTACTTACATAAGTCGACAATTTCTGTAGTGTCAAAACACAAGCAAAGCACATTAGAATAAGTTGACATAAATATTGATCACTTAGTGATTAACGTGCTATAACATTGTATTACTCGTGACACTTTATTGCTGAGTGACATTTGTGAACTCACTTAATTGCTGATCTTTATTTTTACCACGCCGGGATCAAACCCAGGAATAAGGTCGTGGACGTACACTGTTGAAAGGTTTCATACTACCATAAAACGGACGTCTAGTGTTTTCGGGTTTTCATTGGTGGTGCAACTTTGATCGGTTAATGTTTTGAACGAAAAAACCCATAACCCAGGAACAAAGGATATACTTTTAAATCGATATTTTTTTCATGGAAAAACTTACTATCTTTGAAGGAAACTAAACAAATAATTAAGTTTAATGGAAATGCTGCACTAGAAACAACTTAGTAATAATCAAGGAAATGATTTGTAAATCAGATACAGACCAAATTTCAACCAAGTTTATACTTATTTATTCATAATGCTAAAAGAGTTTCAGGCAAGACTATAACTTATGGACGAACCAATCAAGTATAAGATAGTAGGTCTCGGATTTTCGTGCGTAATTCAGCCATCCATTTGGCTTAATAGAGTTTTGGCATTATAACTTATGTCAGTTCATGAAGAAAACTCTAAATCTAATTCTTAACATTAACCATCTAATGTAAATCATAATTCTCCACACAGATTTATAATCCTCATTTTGTCCTAGTTATTTGGTGGGTACTCTGAAGATCAGTTTAGCGTCATCCAAAGGTCGTTCATAAATTATAGTCTCACCGAGTTTCACAACTGTTTCAGACCAGAAATCAACATTTTGTTGGTTGCTTTACAAAATATTTTGATTATGCGTAATTTAAGACTCACTAGATCCGTTGGTCAGAAGATTTGATAGAAACCATCTCCTCCTCACTCACTCACTCTCTCACCACCTCACCACGCATCATCATATATAACAGTAGTTCGATACAGGTAGACGATATTGTCTGTGAGTGGGACTAAGAAAAGAACTGTGGCCGGTCGGTGTTGTGAAATGGACGAAATGTTGAAGTGACACGGAACGAAGTGAGAATATGGAGAGTGTGACGTGGCGGTTGTGGTGTTGTTGTTAATGATTTGCTGTGATTGTGTGATCGTGGTAGTATGTATGCGATCGTTGGGACTGTGTGTGATGTGATAGTGTGATGGGGGTGATTGTGAACAGGTTTGTTTGGGATGAAATTCGATCCAACGCCCGTCTCAGACTGGTGCCTAAATCCAACGCCTTAGACTGCTATACCACACGAAAAATGCTTAGAACAGCACAACACTAATTCATCAATATCAACATTCAATTTCACTATCATTCAAATACACTGCACTATTCAGGACAACACTACGCACAACACAATACATAATACACAAGACGCACATGCATATGGACATGCACAATCAACATCGAACCAGATCAGTAGGTCAGTTGTACCATGGAGGTGAGGTAGAACTACGGTACTAATTCATAATGCTTTGTTTCAGTTATTAGTCATTAATCAAGCATTTTGTTAAAGTACTTTCTGAATAACACTGATGGGAAAATTTTTATGATCCATGATCCTAATAATATTTTTCGGTTCCCTCACTTCAATTTTTCCGAATGTAATAATCATAGTTGGGCCTCTTGATTAAACTTAGAACCAAGTAGTATTTTACAATAAACGGAGAAAAGAATTGCACAATCTGTTGTAATACAGCACTCGTCATACAATGCAATTCTGGAAATTACTTAGAACCTCTTCACAGAAGTTGACGACTTACACAATAATTGATAGCTGACATGAACAACAATTTTGTATATAGACATAATGATTCAGACAATCAAGTGGATTTCATGTCTATTGTTACTTACTACTATTAACCTCAACGGTGGTCGTGTTTGCTGAAATCGAACAAAAATATCAAGTTGACTTACTGTCAAGATAAAATTAAATCCAGTGATTATGTCAGTCAATATTCAGTCAGTCTAATATTCGTTATCTATACATTTATTTCATGAATCCATTTCAATTTCGTCCCGTAAGCAAGAACAGTAAACACAGACTGATGATCATAATCAGGACTGCGGAAGACCATAATTTTGTTGATATTACCACTAGGAATGTTCAGTAGTCGCAGTGGATTATATTCGGTTAATTTTATTTTCCGTTACTACACATACTGGATATTCTATTATCAGTTTTATTTCTATTCGAATATACTCAACTGGTAATTCAACGTTCCAATGTCAATATGAGTAACAATCCATTTACAAACAGGTCTAAATCTGATGTTAATCTAATACTACTATCATTCTAGTTTATCCAGTACTATCCATTCAATCAAATTTTACATTAATTGTTTGTCAATCACATTGAAGACATTAGTATTCTACTTCTTATTGAATTCATTTACTCTCAATCATTGATGATAAACACAACGAATATGTCAAATTATTAGTCAAAAGTAATATGTTTATCAATTTGTGGGTAACATCAGTCTGTTTTGTGCATTATTGTACAACAGAGATTGTTGTTATGAAAGTAAATAGTAAGTGGAAAATTCATGTGTAGACTTACTTGGAACTGCATTAGCTGAAACCAATCAATCAATCAATCAATTAATCAATACATTGGTAACAATCAGTCACTATATATACAAAATGATTTTGAAAAGAAAAAAATACATAGGAAGGAGTAATTGAACAATTCAATCAAGATTCTAGATGGTTTCAAAATTAGTATCAAATTATCCAATCAATATGGGAGGTATAAAACCCTATTCATCGATAGAGTAGCATTTAATTGAAACAGGGCACAAAACTGACATTATTACAGCTTTTAAAACGTTATATGGAAATTGGCAAGAACGAATTCTCAAGCCTTAGCTATTCATAAATAAACCCCCACCCCACCCCACCCCACATTGTGTTTACAATAACAATTTATCGTAACTTTGACTTTATCCTGGTAATCCTTAATTCATTCTATGGTCTTGGATAACACGACAAATTCTTAGTCTTTCTATACAATATAAAATGTTTCTCTCTCCTTTAGTAGTTTGTTTATTCGAACCTTCATTTAATTAACCTTTATTAATCTGCAGATAAAATAGCCTGACAAGTATATGTGTGATCCTATAGTTGGAAATGTATAGCACAAATACATCACATTTTCATCAGATTAAATCCGTATGCTCATTGTTCTATCGAAAAGAGCTATTTGTCTATATGATGAGATTATTCAAGTTTATAAAAAGCTCGTGAATCAAGGTAAAATCGAGGCAATCCGTACAGGATGCACATATGCCTATAATAGAGAGACTGATCAATTGTAGTTCTAAATATTAATGGGAAGATTCAATTAAACAATAATGCCAAGGGAATTTAAACTTCACCTCATCCCACAAGAAAGTGATTATCCGGACTCAGTAACTAAGTGGATCATGCGAGCTGTACTGAGTTCGAGTACCGGAGTAAATATCAATTCTGAGATGTAGTTACATCCAACTGACTAGTCCTAAACAAGATGAAACGCGCGTCCTGGATTTCACTACTAGCCATTATCCATCTTTACTGATAAAGTTTATGACGTAAGTCTATATCGAGTCAATATGCACAGTATACACATATATGCCAACAAGAGAGAGAGAGAGAGAGACTGATCAATTACAATCGTAAATAACAATGGGAAGACATCAAATTTATCAATAAGAATCAATAATGAACTTACCATTTGTTATAATTGAACAAATACATATACAGAATACACTAATGATCATTCTATTCATGATTTCTTATAATAACCAATATGGATATCAACTCTTAATCTATAAGGATATAGGATTATGTATTAAAGTTTATTTAAACAATGTTATATTTACATTGAATTGAACATTTGAAATGAAACATTAACGTTTTTTTTTCTTTTTAATAAACAAGATCAGATTTCATTTTAAAAAAATAATAGATCATGAAGAAACTATTCAAAAAGGAAATGAAAAAGAAAAAAAGAAAAAGAAAAGAAAAAAGAAAAAAAGAGCAAATATTTTTCTTTTTATTATCAATACAAAAATGTTGTTTACATTATTTTTGTTTTTTTTATGAATTCTAAATGTTTGTTTTCATAGAATATTTGTATTACTGTAAATGGATGATCATTTAATCTGGATACATATGTTTGTATTAATTAGTTACTCCTGTGACTCTCAATGAAGTGTAGGCCAGCGATCAGCATTATCCAATTCACTCTGTTCTGGTCCTTCTTTAATAGTTCTATCCAATTCTTGTTCATTCTTCTTATGTTTGGCTCCATTTCTCGGTGTAATGTGTTCTTTGGTTTTCCTCTTCTCCTTTGAACTTGAGGAGTACATGTGAGGGCTTGCCTTGTGACACAGTTCTGTGCTTTCCCCAATGTTTGTCCTATCTACTTTAAGCGCCTCCTCCTGATTTCTTCCTTCGCTGGGATCTGGTTTGTTCTTTCTCACAGTAGGTTGTTGCTGATAGTGTCTGCCCAACGTGTGGGAAGTATTTTGCGTAGACATCTGTTAATAAACACTTTTATCTTCTGTATGATGACTTTCGTAGTTCTCCAAGTTTCCGCCTAATACAGTAGAACTGTCTTGACATTTGGATGGAAAACCCTCACCTTGGTGTCGCTTGAAAATTGTTTTAAGTTCCTTATATTCTTCGAATGTAGATATGTTGTTCTTGTTTTCCTGATCCGTGCCTTCATATCTGCGTCAGATCCACCGTGTTCATCAATGATGTTGCTCAGATTTTACATCCTCCAAATCTTCTCCGTCAAGTGTGATTTGATTGGTGCATGTTGTGTTGTATTGGAGAGTCTGGCTTCTCCCATTGTCAGTATAATAGTTGTGGAGATTATTATGAGTATGTTGAGACCTACTGCTGTTGCCTGTAAAATTACCTAGGGCCGTTCCATAAAAATTACTGCTCTATTTTGCATGACAAAATACATAATATGCTTGTATTCTTATTGTAAGACACAATTTCTAAAACACATTTCTTTGTGATAGTTGAATTCATGGGTCAATTGAAGCTAGAACAACATACAAAACATGGAAGCACTGGACAGCTGTGTCGTCCTATTTTGGAACTCCTCAGCAGTGCGCGATTTGAACCCAGAACCTATCGGTTTCGCGCGCAAACCATTAAGCCAGCGTTCAAAGGTATTAATGTTTAACTTCAACTAATCCGCGAAATTGAACGATACACCCGCTTAGTAAGCTTAAAATTTTTATTCAATACAGTTAGTAAGAATTACTTCAGTGGTTAGAATTACGACGGTAACTGATGAGCGTTAATCGCTGTCTTTGATGGCATAAGATTTTATATTCCTTATATTTACATTGACCTACAAAAAAACACTTCGGTCAAACTGGGGAACAACTCTGCTAATCTATTAATCATGAATAAACGTAGTGTTAGTTGAATTCACAATAAATTCTATACAGGGATTCCAAGTCATTGGTGTGAACATATCTGGATACGAAATCAAGTGATTTGAGCCATTAGAGCATATGTTCCATAAGATTTGTTAGAGGAGAAACTTACCATTCAATGAATTGCATTTAGTCAAATCAAAACAGTTTTATTACGTAATCACTCAACATATGATTGTTACTTATAATGATTACATTGCTTGTAAACTTACCGAGGGCTGTTCCATACTTACTAGTTTATAAATGATCTCCATTCAACTAGGTTTTAAGGACAATTAATCAACTTGGTGTCTGTATACTTTTGTAAACTTACTTCCCAGTATAAAACTTAGAAAGGCAAGGGTCAGAAATGTATTCTAGCAATCATAACAGATTAACTGACGTAGGGAAATAAGGATTTACTACATTTTGGATTAACTAGTTCACAGAATTTACAAATAAGCCAATATATGTTAACGGTCATTATGCAAAGTTGGAAGATTAAACGATTGAATGGAACTCTAAGTGAGTTATTATTAGTGATTAGTATCATCTAGAGAGTCGCTGCAAACCAGTAGATATTAGGTAACTGTTCATCTTAGACTGAAATTGCATAGCAGTAAGCTCCAGGAAACATACTCAGGTTCTATAGATCTGACGGGATGCGTAATAATGTTAAGCCATTGAGTCACAAAAAATGGTTCACATTTATAGCTTCAATGTTTCAGATATCAAGGAAAGTTAATAACAACCTGAAACAAAACTTTCTCTATATTGTACATCAGTGCGCATCCACATTCTCTCCTCCCCGCGAGATTCGAACTCAGGACCTATTAGTCTCGCGCACGAGCGCTTGTCCACTAGACCACTGAGCCCTATATTGTACATGATAAGTGGGAAAATTCAAATAGCCTAAACTAAAACCGAATGACTTGGTCTTGTATAACAAGAAGATATTTTTATATTCCGTTAAAATTCTTTGTTAACTGTTATCTTCAGTTGTAGTAATAACTCACTTTACAGTTTTGCACTCTTCATATGTCATAAAAGTTTCCTTACTTGCAAAGTCACAATCCCGCTATGTATGATCACATGTATATGCATGATTTCGTATTGTTATTCTTGTAATAAGAATCATGGTGAGACTATAATTTATGGACAACCATTGAGCGACGCCAGACTGACCTTGAGAGTGTCCATCTAATAGCCAGGACCAAATGAGGGTTATTAACCAATGTGAGGAATTGAAAATATGATTTACATTTGATGGTGAGGGATAGGGATTAGATTTAGAGTTTTCACCACGAAATGACATCAGCTATAATGTCAAAGCTCTATTTATCCAAATGAATAAGTGAATTTCGCACCGAAATCTGAGACATGTTATCTTAACATGATTGGTCTCACCAGAATCACTTTAATTCACAAAAAATAATCCTGAACACGCATAAGTTTTGTTCTTCATGAGTCTGGTCATTCAGCATACAGAAATTCGTGTATGAGACGTAAACAAATCTTATAAACATCGGCAATTTGTTTGCTGTGTCTTGAGTCAATGTTGACATAATACTGAAAACCTTTCTGGTATATTAGAAGTTCCTGTGTTCGAATCCCTCGTACGGGATCATGGACATGCGCTGCTGAAGAGTCCCATACTAGAACGAGACTGCCGTCTAATACTTCTAGGTTTTCAATAGTGGTCTAGCATTCATTGATTCACAATCTCAATCAAAAACTTAATAATCTACACAACTTTACACTGAAAAATGTTTTGTGCAATCATTGAATGGCTTTATAATACTGATCCAATATGTCAGCCAATGTCAAAATAAGTGATCAAGGTGAAAATCATGAAATTATATTCACAACCAACATTATTTATTATTTAAACAGATAATCATTGTTACAAAGAGGCATCGAATACATAAATCATTCGATTTATGTAAGGGCTGGGATACTGTTCGTGTGCCCAAACCAAAGCAGGTGGTTTGCTTAGGCGGCCACAACACGAGCCTTCTACCTAAAAGTCTAATCCACAAGGTAGTGGAATAACTTCAAAAGATCCAGTCTCCTGATAACCGGTAACAAACAATAGGTTCATAAGCCATTTTTTCCTTCAGGATCCTGGAGCACAGATAATAACGCTACAGGTTTGGTTAGTGTAACAATCAACTATGGTAATTTAAAAGTGACAAGCCCCCAATTCTATAGTGGAAGTTATTTACTTTACAGTACAGCTGAATTGAAAACACTCAAACCTAGAATTCGCGTGAAACATTTCCAATAGCAGTTAAATCTCCTTTGCGAAACAATAAGAAAGGCTTAGGCATATACACGTTTGAAACGTATTTCATGTGCTCCATATACATAAATAATTCGAATTGCAGATGACTGATCAATGAAACTTATTAATCCAGACGAGGTTCTTAAACTGGCCTCAAAGATATCCACAACACAGGTAATCGATACCAGAATCCACAACAATCAGAAGTATCTTCTGAAATACCTCCAATTTTGTAACAGACAACAGGAGGAATATTACGATTGATGATTGGTATTAAAAATCAGTTTACTCGTATTTTAACAATCTAAACCTGACTTCAACTAACTTTATAAATAAGCATGTAACTGTAGGTTTTAATACTTTTTTCTAATCAATTTCTTCAAAGAAGTTCCTAAATTGTCATTCTGTTATTTAGTTTCTGATATCTTTCCTAATAGAACAAATTATTATGATCCCTTTATACTCTTTATGAAAACTTGTGCTAGTCTTTTATATTTGTCTTCTTTTTAAGCTCAAATAATGATATTTACTTTTAATCCCATAGATAGTAATGAATGGTGAAGATTACAGTTATGTATGTCTTTTCAAGCTGTCAATCACAAAAGTTAGGGAAGGAGTCTCTGAATACGCTAGAAGATTTCACATGAGTTATGATAACTTATGAAATCTATAAGTACTATTGGGATATATATTAGAAAGGAGTTTAATGGAGATTTTAGTAATCATGTGGTTGAATTCATGAGTCAATTAAAGCTAGACTCCTATGGAAAACCTGGAAACACTGGGTGGTTGTTTCGTCCTAGTATTGCGGGACTCCTCAGCAGTGCGCATCCGTGATCAACCTTTGATTAATCACAAAATGCATATATATAATGATGTACTCGTAATACTGATGGAAACAACTATAACTTCAAAGTGAGATTCAAGACGGACTGAACGTGACCTACATACATTATTCAGTTTAATACTGGCAATTTGATATTCAAAAACTACTTATGAAGATATTCAATTATCAAAGATTGTGAAATGATTACACACATTCAGAACATACTTATTCTCATTTTGACGAACAGGATGGACATAATCATTAAACCGTAGGATTGTTTATCTAAGGTCATATACTGAAATCACATAGTTTTTACATTGATTCGCCGTGATATTTAAGACTTGATAAGTTTAATTCAGTGAAATTGTCAGTGATTTTTCGAAACAAACTTGAATATAATCATTATTTTATTACTTCTGATGGAGTTTTTTTCTCTAAGCTGGATGGTATAGTCATGGAACTTTCGTTATTCTTCTGAACGATATTATCAGTATAAACTTCAGGTACAAGTAAACTATTTGAATTTTTCTACATATGGTTTAAAGCTTGTCCTCTAGATCTCAATGTCGCTTAGAAGAACGATGAAAGCTCCACGACTAAACCGTCTAACTCAGAGAACAAAATTTCATCAAAATCATTCACCTGAACTAAAAATATTCTCCATCATTCCATTACTTCATATTTCGTCATGCTCTTCTAATATTGTTTTAAACAATTCACATTTATACATCGTTTACATAAATATATGTAGCTAGCAATGGCTAGAAGTGGAATCTAGGATGCGCGTTTCGTCCTATCTTGGATTCGTCGGCTGGATGTATCTGCATCTCAGATTTGATGCACACTCTTAGACTCGAACCCAGTATCGTTCGCTTCAAACGCCATCGCGTTATCCACTTAGCTACTGAGTCCTGATAGCCACTTTCTTGTGCAACGAGGTGAAGTTAAAATTCACTTAATCTTGTTTTATTTGTATCTTCTCATTGTTATTTAAGACTGCAATTGATCAGTCCCTCTGTATCATGTTAGCATATTTGCATCCTGTGCATAATTCCTTGATATAGCCTTAAGTCACAAGGTTTTTAAGCGTAGATGGATAGTAGCTAGCTGTAGTATCCAGTTGGATGAATGTTTCGTCCTATCTTGGACTCGTCACGCGGATGTACCTGCATTCCACAATTGATGCTCACTTTGAGACTCTAACCCAGTATCGTTCGCTTCAAACTTCATCGCGTTATCCACTTAGCTTCTTGGCTCTCTGACCTAAGATTAAGTATAGTATATATATACATACCATAAAGATCCCATTAACAGTTTAAAAACATTCTCTTAAAACATGAAAATATATTTTTTCTTTTAAAAAAAAAACAAAAAGAAGAAAAGAAAAACTCAGTTACATAATAATATTTTTTTGTTTTTTTCGTCTCTTTTCGTTGTTCTTTATTTTATTCAATAGATTCTGTTTCATTTCATTTTGGCTTGTTATTACAAATAACAAATTGATTTATTTATTTTTTTTTGTTTTATTTAAATGGAGAATATTTTGGCGAGATTTTTGAAATTCAAGAAACAATGCTTGAATAACATCCTAAAGGATAGAAAATAGACAATAACAACAACAACAACAACCTGTAAAAATTGTAGGTATCATTTATTGTCAAGATTTGATTTGATAATTTCGAATAAGTTATTAGTTGAGATCATGAACCGATTGAGGTTAGACAATCATGGAATAACCAGCAAGCACTTGACAACAGTTACGTTTTACTGTGGGACTCCTCGATCTCGACTTGCGAGATTTAAACCCAGGACATATTAGTCTCACCTCTAGACCACTGAACATGCCAACATCCAACGGTGTTAATGTCTAACTTCAACTAATCCACGAAATTGAGCCACACGTTCACCCTTGTCTTCAATGAATTACTATCTCACAAAAGACCAGGTTGAAATCCACTGGTCACGGCTTCTCATCAGAAGTCTAGGAAATAACTCTTGGAGACAGTCACTAGTGAACATATGATGATAATTATCAGAAGGGGGTTTTGTGGAGATTTTAGTAATTCAATAGTTGATTTGATGAGTTAATTGAAGCTAGACAACTATGGGAAACGTGGAAGCGCCGGACGGCTGTTTCGTCCTGGTATTGCGGGACCCCTCAGAAGTACGCATCCATGATTCCGACCCATGAGATTTAAACCCAGGATCAATCATAGGGTAGGATCCTTGCTGAATAGTTGGAAATTTATTTATCTGTGAAAGACACGAATTTCTAAAGCATCTCATATGTAAATAATGACAAAACTATATAGAGAAAACCGAAATTACAGATGAATATGTGAACAAGGTAGGGAAAACTATAGTTTAAGAACGACTTTGAACGAATCCAGAAAAATACTAGCCAATCAGAAAACAGCTAGTATGGAGTAAAATATATTATACAGAACTAAAGAATTAACATGGATACACTTCTTTTAAGTGGTTCAAAAACTTGTCAAGATTAGAAAGAGGTTGAGAGGTTCTGAAATCGTAATACATATGGTAGAGGAAATCATATATGTGGATCCATAATAGTGGGCGTCTGGAGCCATGATAAAGTCGCAAAAACTCTTTCAGCCTCGATCATATAGCTTCGAAATTGTTTGTGGTCACTCCGGTTTTAGAGCTCATAAAATTCCGCTTGTGGACAATGATACGATGCACATAACCAAGTCTATGTAGGCATCTGTACATTCTTCAATCTCCCATATATATCGTAGTAACCGGTAGCAATCTGTGTTACTGGTGCTTTTGATATTCAGTCCGCAAAAATTGTCATAATTTACTTTAGTCTTAATCTGGATCGAGCGAAAAAAACCTATTACAGCAGACTTCTTCATCCAACACATATAACGTCGAAAGACAACAACATCCAGATGGTTGGCACAAGGTTTGCAAGTTATTTGATTACCACAATCACAAACAAAGGAATTTCTAAGTAGTCCCTTTTGTTGTAGCCTCTTAATTATAACACTTTCTTTAAAATCCGCTATGAACCGATCGTACATGAGCATTAGGTACTAAAATTGGCACCGTAACCTTGAAATCCTTCAAACGCTTCTGATTGGCTCATCCATAAATTATAGTCTCACCTGTATATTCTTACTTCTTATTGATCAATGAAGAAATCAACTTTGATTTTCTACGTTATTTATGTGCTATTTTCTCGACATAGAAACATTCCATTAGGTCTCCATATAATTTCCAACTAGTTGCTTGTTTATTTTTACTATTTTCTAAATGTCTTAATCAACATTATTGATTTTAGAGTTTATCTAATTGAACTTTAATACCTTAAATTTGTGTCGACTATCCCTTATAAGAAACTTTTCTTGTCTTTAACACAAATGATGTAAACATGTTATGTAACAGCATTTTAGCTCTATGTACAACAAACTAACAAGTTATGAATAGAAAATTGTTTTGATATCGCTGAACATACATGAATGAATAGTAATAACTATAGTTGTATTCTAAGTGATTATCAATCTCAACTTACCATAGTCTATCAACGAAATCACTATAATACAAAGTTTTATTTTTTAATAAATGAGGTTTGTAAAGTAATGGATTGTAATGAATCTGTTTATTTATAATAAATTTAAGTATAATATTATTCGGATCAAATAATGAATGAATTATGATTGAGGCGACATTATAATTTATGGATGAATCAATCAGATATAAGATCGCAGGTCCCGGATTTTGGCACGAAATTCACTCATCCATTTGGATAAATAGAGTTTTGACATTATAACTGATGTCAGTTTGTAATGAGAGGGTAACAGTCGGAGTCTTCGACCTAAAGGTCTGATCCACAAGGCAATGGAACAACGTCAGTAGATGCATTCCCATGGTATCCAGTGACCAACGACTGGTTCATACGCTATGTGTTCGCTTAGGATACTGGAGCCCATGTACACCGTTGGTTTGGAATTAGATTTTCCGACTTTCCTAGGTGAATCATTGGTAGCCACCAACCCGGTTAAGTCATCGTATATTCACTTTTCGTTTACTTAACAGTAATGCTGTGAGAAGGCAGTAACAGAACTTTCATGTCGATGGCTGCATACTTGTGACCATGTAAGAGCATTGAGTGAGGAAGAACTGGCTCTCCCCACTCTCATCCTTATAGAAAATCTAATTTTGTGATAGTAAATTCTCTAGTGATACTAATTTTCAATTTTATTCATTTCTTATGCATAACCTTTCATTCTAGGTCATCTAAGATAGTGATCAAACTTTAAGAGGTTAAATTCATTCAATCTTTATGATTGTTCAACAATTATGCTTATGATAGATGACAAACAACATATACTTTATTTCGAATTGGAATGCGTTGTCAACCCAAAGTAACCAAAACATAATCATTAACTGAAATGGATATTCACTAACAGTTAAATAACTAAACTCATTATAATTACCTAAGTGTTTATTACTATAAATGATACCAGTTATTTGACCAACTATAGTTTATCCTGCTTCTTCATTGTTTAATCTTAGTTACTATATAGCAAAGTTAATATCTAAACAATTCATAAGCCTATCTATCTTGTATTCCTTAGAGGAAAACATGTTTTCATTATAACATTTTAGAAGAGAACAAATAAAAAGAATATAGTATTAATTGTTTACTAACCTGTCTTTAGATGGATTGTATTCTATACAGAATAAACAATAAACATTGTAATTTTCAAAGAATTAAGAAATTAAATGAATAAGATTTAAATGTTTTATAATGAAATAAGAATACTAGGATCCATTTTAGTTACTATGTGAAATTATTATTGTTTATGTAAAATCATTTTATTGATTTAACTTCATTTATTGTTGTTGTTGTTGTTTTAGAACTGTAATTGATTAGTCTCTCTCTCTCGCTCGCTCGTTCTCTCACTTATTGGCCATATATGCATCCTGTACGAATTGCCTCGATATTGCCTTAATTCACAAGCATTATAAGCAAAGATGGATAGTGGCTAGCAGTGGAATGCAGTTTGACGCGCGTCTCGTCCTATTTGGGACTCGTCAGCTGGATGTACCTGCATCTCAGAGTTGATGTTCACTCCGGGACTCGAACCCAGTACCGTCCGCTTCAAACGCCATCGCGTTATCCACCTAGCTACTGAGTCTTGATAACCACTAGCTTATGCAATGGGGTGAAGTTGAAATTCATTTGGTATTATTGTTACTTGTATCTTCCCATTGTTATTGAAAACTGCAATTGATTAGTCTCTTATCGGCATATGGGCATACTGTGAGGATTGCTTCGATGTTGTCTTAATTCACAAGCATTATAAGCAAAGATGGATAGTGGCTAGCAGTGGAATTCAGTAATGTGGCTATCAGAACTCATGAGCTAAGTAAATCACGTGATGGCGTTTAAAACAAACGGTTCTGGTTTCGGGTAGCAGAGTGAACATTAACTCTGAGATTCAGTTACATCCAGCTGACCAGTCTTAAATGGGACGAAACTTGCTTCTTGGATTCTACTGCTATCCATCTTTGCTTATTTTATTCACAAATAACTTCACATCGTTTACACATAAGGATTCATTAAAATAGAATATAATATACATCATTCCAGAATATAAATTATCCAGCTAAAAATCAATTGAAAAGTCATACCTTCTTCTCCAAAGATACTGTTGACTATAAAGTAGAATAACAAATAGAAATATTAGTGATGTTTTGTTTGAAAATGACTGTTATAATAAAGAATGCTTTTCTTATGTATGACAACAATACTTAACATATTTATACATGTATTCACTTCAGAATGCAAAGAAGCTGTGTTTTATTACAGTTTATTACAGTTTTTACTTCTATCATAGATGACTGTAAGTAGGTAATGCATTTGTGATACTTCATTCTGATGATTATCTTCATTGTTTTGATACTTGACTAGATGATGTCTCTATAACTACATGAGCAAATTGATTTATCGATATTATATCATAAAAAATATTGTAGATTTCCGAATGGAATACCCTAGTACAGTCGAAAGTGGGGAGAGTCAGCTCTCCCTATCCAAATGCTTTCACATGACCACGCGTATACAGCCAGTGACAGGAAATTCTTACTCATTGCCTTCTCACGGCATTACTGTTAAGTGGACGAAAAGTGAATGTGCGGTGCTTTAACCAAGTTGGCGGCTGTGGAGGATCCACCTAAGGGAGTAGGAAGTCTCTGATTTCAGACCAATAGTGCCATGAGACTGCATCTCCTAACGCTGTTCCTCTGCCTTGCAAATCAGACCTTAAGGTCAAAGACTCCGGGTGTGACCTCTTAAGAAAACCACCTACTTCGGTTTTGCTACCCATGCAGTATCACAGCCCACACACACAAATCAAGTGACTTATTTAGCGCATATGTATTCGGTGCCCTTATGTACCAATATTTATATGTTCAAATTATTAATAAATAAATAGTAAAATCCATTCACTTTCATCCAAAATATGTGGTCCTTTTGAATACATATGCTTTTTGAGTGTAACGAATGTCACTATATCTGGATAATTACCATAAATGACAAGTATTCTACAACTTTCCACCCTTCTTAAACTGTAGAGATGAAATTACATTTTTTTTTAAAAACTTCTTCAATGGTTATGTCCTAGGGTACATCGTTAGTTTTCGATATAAAGGCAAACTACTTACATTTATTAATAATCCCTAGAATATGAATACAAATAGAATATATGAGATCATTTCAAATATACATTTCTGAAACTTATTCTCTATATCATTACTGAATCTTAACCCGTTCCACATGTATAGTTTCTTTAAAATAACTAACAGAAATAGTTAACGAATTTAGGGGGAATTTTTGGCTATAGATTCGTTCCATTTATCGATTTATTGAGGTTGACCTTGCTAGATCTAATATATGAGTTAAAAGAAATCAATAATAAATAGTGATATCAATTAATTATATTGGCTATCAAGACTCAGTAACTAAGTGGATAACGTGATTGCGTATGAAAGGAACGATGTTCAATTTTCAGAGTGAACATCAATTCTGAGATACAGATACATCCAGCTGGCGAGTCTCAAATAAGACGAAACCCGTATCTTGAATTCCAGTGCTAGCCAATATCTATCTTTGCTCATATATTGAAGGATGTTATCGCTTTGCTAGAAATTGAGCCAAATCAAAAATACACATACATCTAAGAAATGCTCACTTCCTTTTTTTTATAATCAGTGACTGTTATTAACTGTGAAAAGTGTTTGATGCCCAAGCAAATCATAGTTACTACTGATATCAAGATTATAAGTCTTACTTATATGCATTTTATTTTCCTGGTAAACCTATGATTTCAATGTCATGATAGTCTTATGGTCATAACTGTCTTCAGATTATAATTAGATGTTTGAGAAAACATAATAAGTAGGTCTTTAAAGTATGAATACCTAATAGTAACTCATAGCGCTTATTAATATTCAGTGTAGCGCAATTTCGTGGATTGGTTAAAGTTAGAAATTAACACCATTAGATACCGGTAAGTTCAGTGGTCGAGTGGTAAGGCTCTGGCGTGCGAGACTGATAAGTTTTGGGCTCAAATCTCGCAAATTGGGATCGTGGATGCACATTGCTAAGGAGTCCCCCATTAGGATGAAACAGCCGTCTAGTGCTCCCAGGTTTTCCAATAATGATCTAACTTTAATTAACACATAAATTCAACTATTAAAATCTAAGTTGATTTAATGTATAAAATTTCTTTCATATGAAAAAACTCACTGTCTTTCAGCGAGACTAGAAACGTTTGAAATGATAAAACCGTCACATTACATACCAATAAACCCAATTCATAAAAATAACTAGTAAGATAAATTTATTTAACAATGAGGTCAGAATGTTGAACATCCATAATAGAACAATAAAAAATGGAACTATGGAACCTTCTTCAATGTAACATCAGTTATATAGCACAATTCTAAAGATTATTCAGCGTTTTGATACAGAAATCAATGACAAACAATACTAAACAACTGGCAAAACAAATAATTCCTCATATAGACATGATGTTCCAGATAATCAAGTGAACTTCACGTCTATTATTACTTACGACTTTTAACCTCAACGGTAGTCATATTTGCTGAGATCGAATAAAAACATCAAGTTGACTTACTATCATGATAAAATTTATAAATAACAAAATAGTTGTGACTTTCAATTCAATAATCAAGTCAGTCAAGATCATTCACTATCATTATATTTATTTCATGCATCAGTTTCAATTTCGTCCCATTAGCAAGAACACTAAACATAGACTGATAATCATAATCAGAAATGCAGTGCTTACTTACTTACATGTTAGTCTTGATGAAGGAGCATAAGCCTCCCACCAGCACTCGCTGGTGGGCAATCCTTTCCAGTTGTTATTCATCCTTTTCATATCTGCTTCTATTTCCCGACGTAATGTGTTTTTTGACCTTCCTCTTTTCCACTTCCATTCAGAATTCAAAGTTAGGGATTGCCTCGTGATGGCAGCACAACACACATTGACAGAACTATTGACTGAATAATACCTTTTGTAAGGTATAATGTGAACAAGTTATCATTCATAGACCATATAGTTAATACTGGTAGTTAAAAATGAATGAGTCGTCACAAAACAATCCCTCACATGGAATCCTCAAGGTTCTTCTCCTTTAACCAAAATACCTTGACCAAAATACAAATTACGCTGAGAATTTGAAAACAGATATCAGAAGAATAAACAACAATTGGATAGAACTAGAAAGGAAGGCCCAGGACAGAGTGGGTTTGAGAATGTGAGTCGGCGGCATATGCTCTATTGGGGTTAACAGGCGTAAGTAAGTAAGTATTATTTATATGTTATGATTTCGTGATCAAATCTGAAAGATACGGTAGATGATTCAGTATGAAAATTCTCTGATATGATATAATGGTACCGCTTACTTACAACGTTCAATTATGTTAATGAAATCAGTCTTATATATATAATATTCACTATTACTTACGATTTTCAGTCCCCTTCTCATTCGTTTTGGCTAAAAATCGAAATTGAAATGTTGTTAAGTAAAATAATAAATAACAACAACGTCAATCAATTTGAAGTCATCCATAATGGAAAATTACCAATAAATTTGTATCCACTTGGTAATACTTACTTGAATTTTCCCATTAATGTTGATTCCACTGTCAGTCACTATCCATCTTTGTTTATAATGCTTGTGAGTTAAGGTAAAATCAAGGCAATCCGAACAGGATGGATATATGCCAATAAGAGACTGATCAATTAAAGTGCTAAACATCAATGGAATGATTCAAGTAAACAATAATACCAAGTGAATCTAAGTTTTACCCCATTATACAAGCAAGTGACTATCGGGACTCAGTAGCTAAGTAGATTACGCGATAGTGTTTGAAGCAAACGGTACTGAATTCGAGTCTCGTAGTGAACATTAACTCTGAGATGCAGGTACATTCAACCGACGAGTCCTAAATAGGACGAAACGCGTGTCCTGTATTCCACTACTAGTCACTATCCATCTTTGCATATAAGAAATCCGTAGTCTATTTGCTGTTTTATGTCTAAATTCTGTTAAAGCAAACGAAATGTTCTCAGTTAAATAAAAACTGAAGTGACCCAAGTTTTCTGTTGATTCCGAGTATTGTTTTCGTGAGAGGGAATAAATTGGTTAACATCAGACTATGTGAGTAGTTTCATGAACAGAATGAGAATCACTTCGTTTAATGGATTCCCAATAATTTCAATAGTTGAGAACATTATTCAATTGAAGCTAGACCACTACGGAAAACCTGGAAACACTAGATGGCCATTTCGTCCTATTGTGGGACTCTTTCTTGGCAGTACGTATCCACGATCCCGCCCCACCAGATTCGAACCCAGGACCTATCGGTCTCCAATAGTTAATTTTGATAAGACATCCGACTAATGAATAGGTCGATTAGGCTTCACTACCAATGATACTGGTTGTAAAGTCTAATAGTTTGTTGAAAACACGCGGAACTAAATGTATATGGGTGCTACTAGAGGTTGTATTCAAAAGTGTATCTATTTGGCTTTTATCAATTCATTACGGTTATCTAATTATTAATCATGATAAATGTTCCTCACTAGACTGAAGAATTAAACATTATGATTCATTATGTTGGTTGATGTCCAATGGTCTAATTTTCACTAATCAATCTGTTGAATAAAATATACTTACAGCCGCTGTCTGAAGATCCAAACACTGAAGTAACTGAAAGGTGAAAGTAAAATATTGATGTACAGTTATTAAACAAAGAAAACAATGATTACACTTCAGAGTGTGCAACATTTGGGGGGGGGTGGAATAAAACAATCAAATGATCAGTATTTATATCCATTAACATTGATTACCTTCATCTGTCAAATTACAGCAAAGTTAATCTAATAATCTGTATGAAATCTATAACAGATGTGTTACTTTGAGTAAACTTGAGATAATTCAGTTCTAATATGGTGGTGGTAATGATGTTGGTCTACAGGATTATAACACAAACAGGCAGGTTTTCTTGAAATACAACTGGTGTATACTGTAGCCACTGACTTAGTAGTATCATGATAAGACCTCGGTATCTGTGTATAATAGATGTGTAATTTAATAAGGCTGAAGGCTTAAAGCGATCTCAATTGATGACATACGATGTTTTTCTGAATTCAAAATACGTAACTGAAGGCCTTAATCCAGTTTTCGTTTCAAAAAGTTTAATCATTCCATCGAATTGATAATAGTCAATCATATTTTTGTAGAAATATGCTGTACCTATGGTACATTTTATGGGTAATCAATCCATCTATGAAATATTCTTTAACCTTTCATTCTTAAGTAATTCTTCAGATTGCACGTTTAAACTAAATAAATTCCCCTGATGATATTCAACAACTTGGCGGCATGCTTGAACATTGGGGCTATCTGTTCTTGTCATCTAGATACTTCAACAAGTTATCAATTTTTGTTTTAGTACATCGGATAACCTATTCAAGTGTGTTTCTGAGAAGTATACAACCTTTCATTGTACAAGTTACAAACAGTGCAATCAGAGATATCGTGGTTGCTGGTAATATGTATCGAAAAGAATATACATTATTCCAATGTCGATTGATTGAACTACTAACTTCTAATTGGTGATCACTCAATATTTATCGTCAGGGATCGATCAAAAAATAAGAAACGGAAACTCGTTAAAATACTTTATGATGATTTGAGGTTATTCTATGAAACTGACATATAAAGTTCAAATTGGTGTTGTTTCAGTTGTTTAGGATTGCAATTGATCAGTCTCTCTCTTATTGGCATATGTACATCCTGTACGAATTGTCTGGATATAGCCTTAAGTCACAAAAACTATAAGCAAAGAGGGATAGTGGCTAGAAGTGGAATCCAGGCCGCGCGTTTCTTCTTATTTAAAACTCGTCAGCTGGAGCCCCGGAGTGAACATTAATTCTGCGACACAGGTACATTCAGCTGACGAGTTCCGAATAGAACGAAACGCGCGTCCTGAATTAAACTGCTAGCCACTATCCATCTTTACTTATAAAGCTTGTGACCTAAGGCTATATCGAGGAAATTCATACAGAATGCACATACTCTAATAATGGATCGATCAGTTGCAATCTTAAACATCATTGAAATGATTCAGACCATCAATACAAAGATGAATTAAACTTCACTTCCATTGCACAAGTTAGTGTCTAAGATATTCATATAGAGTTTTAAGGTATTTTGGTAGACTTTTTAATGAACATTCACTTACTTTTATGCCACATACCTGAAACAAAACAAAAATACCGTTTATTATTAAGCATCTAGATATTTACTTATCTCATTTGGTAAATTCTTTACATGAATTTCAGTTTATAATTGAAGAAACTCATCAGGTAAATATATTGATTGAAAGAGTCTAAATGTTTAACTAAACTGTTGGATAGGTATTATATTTAACAACATATACTTATTACCATTCATTTATAATCAGCAAAGCGTTTCCGTGGATATTATAGTAATTTATTAGTTGAATTCATGAGTTCATTGAAGCTAGGCAAACATGGAAAATCTGGAAGCACTGGGACTCCTTGGCAGTACGCATTCATTATCTCGACTCGCGAGATTCCAACCCAGGGTCTACTAGTCTCTCACGCAAGCGCATAACCACTAAACCACTGAACTTGTCAGCATTCAATGGTGTTAATGTTTAACTTCAACTAATCCACGAAGTTGCTACACTGTCCAAAATATACTTATTACTATTCCTTTAGTTTGACTTCTATAAATATACATGACTGACTTGAATCTCATCAAGATGACAAACATGTTTGCAAATTTCATTGAGACAAATAATTTCAAGTAGCAGATATGAAAAATCTAAACAGGGTTTTAACAAGAGAGTTCAATGATCGTCTTTGTTATCAAATAATAAGCTATACCACATCAGATATAACACTAGAAATATACTGGTGTAGATTGGATAAATTAATTATTACAGTAACCGTGTAAATAGTACTCTTCATTGATTGAACTCAGTTAGGGTGCTATCAAAAGTTAGATAGCATTAGGAATTAGTTAGTTGCCAGTATAGAGCCAAACGTTAGTGCACCCTCTAACTCGCTTAAAGGATGTAAACTAAGATCTTCAGCTCTCACAAATTCCGTTTATCCATTGAACCTTTATGTTTGAATCCAATGGTATATATATTCCCAACTTCAACGGACTCGGAGTATAAAAGAACGATCTTCGGATGTCACTGACTAAAGTTAAAATTTTTCGATGAGTTCCTGAGGTTACAATTAAGACAATATTCATTATTGGCATTTCATCTGCAAATATGTGCCTTTAGATCTTAATCTATTGGTCTAATAGTTAAGCGGTCATTATAAAAAAATAAACATTCAGAATTAGCAATAAATTTGTATGAATTCAGAGTAGCAAGGGTTGCTTTTGTTATCTTTTTAATAACTTCTATACTAGTAGTAGATATTTTTAGAGGTTAATACTCTGATAGATTTCCTATGTTACCGGTAAACAAACACTGTACTCACATTATTCATCTTTCCACTTGTTATTTGCATCTTTCCAATGATGTTTGTGAGTGAAAATGATCAGTCTGTTGCTTGAATATGTTCATCTTGTATAGATTGCCTTAAGTCACAAACATTATTAGCAGAGCTGGATTTTGGCTAGCAGTAGGATCTATGACACATGTTTCATTCCATTTTGGACCCATCAGCCGCTTATGATGTTTGTGACTTAAGGCAATATCGTAGCATTCCGTACAATATGAACATACTTTAATAACAGACTGATCAATGACAGTCCAAAATATCATTGTGGAGATGCAAACAATCAATACAAAAATGAGTAAAACTTCACCCCGTTGCATATGCTAGTGGCTATCTGGACTCAGTAGCTTAGTAGACTACGTGATAGGATTAGAAGCAAACGGGACTGGGTCCGAGTCCTGGAGTGAACATCAACTCGGATGTGGGTACATCAAGCTAGCAAGTCCCAAATGAGACGAAACACCCTTTCAGGAGTCCACTGCTACCCACCATCTCTCACTGCTTCACCAGATAAACAACACACTAGTCACTCAAAACGGTACTTGTTTTAATAAAATATATATTCGGCAAAACTGTAGACGAAGGAAAATTGATGGTTTTATTCGTTGAAGCACTTTCAATATGTCACACAGACTTCTATGTATACAATCAAATCTCTAAATATCTGACGACGGAAACGTTTAATTAAACTACGAAACAAAAAGTTTTTGGAAAGCATAAATTACAATTTATGTCAACTACATAACAAGACATTCATTGACCATTGGAACTAACTACTGATATAAACATGTTTGTGTTAAACAAAACTATCCCTGTCTTATTATGTGATAACGTTTCGTCCATTCACCTTGTCTGAACTTCTTCAGGATAATCATTACCCATATAATGATATATAATGACTAGTCTATACTTAGTGCCCAATTTTTGTCAAACTATTTGTTCTAATCTTGATGAATATTTGTATATTATTATTATATTATCTTAATAAATCATAATGACTTTCTAGTGTATATGTTTAATTACATTAACAAATTTATGCATATTGACTAGTAAATTTAACTCACTCTTAAAAAAGGATTCTATCATAATATTATTCAAAACAATAACCTCAATTAACTTGTTTAAATATAATTTTAAAAAAATAATTCATCCTTAATATTACTATAGGATTGTGAAGATTATTGAGTCATAGATTGATATAATGAATGGGATCAATGTTAGACTACCATTGAACATCTGAAAGTACTGGGTGGCCATTTCGTCGCAGTATGGAACTCCTCAGCAGTGCGCAATCACGATCCCACCCCTTGGGATTCGAGCCGACGACCTATCGGTCGCGCACGCGAAAGCCTAACCTCTAGATCACTGAACATGCCGACATCCAACGGTGTTAATGTCTAACTTCAACTAGTCTACCATATTGCACCACCGTCCGCCATTGTCTTCAATGAGTTATTATCTCACAACAGACTTGGTTGAAGTCCACTGGTCACTGGTTTTCACTGGAACTCTAGAAAATACCTCTTGAAACCATTCACTACTGAGGATATGCTGATTAATATCAGAGGGTGGTTTTGTGGATATTATAGTAAATTAATAATTGGATTCATGATTCGATTGAAGTTACACCACTATGGAATACGTGAAAGCGCTGAACGACAACTTCATCTCATTGTGGGACTCCTCAGAAGTGCGCATCCACGATTCCGCCTCGCGGGCTTCGAACGCAGCACCTATCAGCCTTGCGCGTGAACTTATAACTTCTAGACCACTGAACCTTCTGGAATCAAACGATGTTAATGTGTAACTTCAACTAATCCACGAAATTGAGCTACACGTCATATTTCAAATAAATTGAACTTTGCCTAGACTGCTATAAATAAATTATTTAATATATTTGTGGATATCTCAATGAGTATAAAAATTAGGTTATCTGACATTTCGTCACTCAATGTAAGCCACTTCTTCAGAGAATAAATAGTGTGTTTGTGTTAAAAGAATTGATTCTTCACTGTAGAGTTTGAATTTTCAAAAGAAAAAACGAAAAAAGGAATACAAGAAAGACTAAATAAACAACATACCTTGTTGTTGTTGAACTGAAATATAATTAGATTGATGTATTCATAGCATAAATTGAATGATATTAATATTAATTAAAAGTTTATTTCAAATCTATCCGTATTCACATAGGTAAATCATTTCAAGAAATGTAAAGATTGGAATTACGCTGTTCACATTAAATTGTATTCTTCATATGGAAAACTTTCAATGGAACTATTCAGCATCAACAGTGTTCATCATTAATCGACTAGCTAATAAACTTACTTAACTCTACCTGAGGTCCCTCTGGGGCTAATGCCAGTCTCAAGCCCGGATAAGGGAGGAGGGTTGATCATGGAGTTACTAACTCCATCCCATAGAAAACTAACTAACTAAAAATATGCTAATCAGAAAAAATAAATCAAACAATTTTAAATCTGCCCTAAGAGTTAAAAGGTCTTTATTTAGGAGAGTTATAACGTCTTATGGTAAAAGCCGAGTTCCTTCGAAAGTGACTAGGCTGATGCTCCTTCTGACAATCAGAGAAACCATTAATTTAGGTACATTGAATACTCTTACAATGTGAAAAACCGGGAGAGTCATCCAGATTGCTGCAGAAATAAAAAGATACAACCTGGAGATACTTGAAATCAGTGAAACACATTGGATGGATGTTAGACAACAAAAACTAGCTTCAGGGGAGCTGCTGTAAGTAATAAACTCATTTCATGTTTTCGTTCTTATTACTTCACTTACAAATAGCTTCATCATGTCTAATTCATTTAGGATCATGTGGGATCTAAACTTTCTTTGTTTCTATGAATTAGTTGGTTCCTAATAGTTTGAGTAGTGTCTTTTTTAATTGTAAGTAAAAGATATCTATAACATATATTTCGTTATATTGGAACCATTCGATATTTATTAACTGAGATTTTAGTATTACTGAGCTGTTCAATACTCTTGAATCAGGTTCTACAACTTTTAATCACATTAGAACCAGATGATTTCAGTTTTTATTTAAAACAACCAAAAAACTGTTTGATCTTTAATACATTTTTACGGAGAACGTAGTTTACGTAATAAATGGACCATTTTTCGTCAAAACGTTTACCTGCACATTGGCTCCAATATCCCGAGGGACTGCATCTCCTTACGGTGCTCCACTGCCATGTGGATCAGACCTTTAGGTTGAACGCTCGGGGTGTGGTCTTCTAAGAAAACCACCTACTTCGGTTTGGGCACCTAGGCATTATCACAACCCTCACACAAATCAAATGAGATTTGTGTGATGCATATATATTTGGTGCCTCCTTGTACCAATATTTATGTGTCAAATAATAATAATAATAATAATAATACATCAAGAAGACAACTCTAGTTCGTTCAGTTTATTAGAGGTTGTTGTGTACAACTTTATTTTCTAACAAATGTGAAATTTTAATAGTTGAGATCATGAGTCAATTGAAGTTAGACCACCATGGAAAACATGGAAACACTGGACGGCCATTTTGTTTCCTATTGTGAGACTTCTCAACAGTGCTCATTCAAGATCCCACCTTGAAAGATTCGAACCCAGGACTAATCAGTCTTGCGCGAGAACGTTTTTTGACAAAGATCTGGAATTTTCTACAAGAATTCACTTGCCTATTTACTTCTCTTCATTTCTATATTTATTTTAATGACATAAAATATTTAATAGTCCCAAACATCTATTGATACAATATCATTCGATTTTTAATCAACTATTGAGCATTACGACTTCATGACTTTTATTATTATTATTCAGATAGTGATTCTCATGGAATATCAAGATCCTGAGTTCATCTATTAATAATGTGCAACTGTGGGAGAGAACAAACAAGATCCTAATGGAGGAAGAAATCAGGAAGAAGCGCTCAAAGTGAATAGGACACATACTAAGGGAAGCATTCAACTGTGTCACAAAGTAAGTCCTCACTTGGAATCCTCAAAGTCAACTCATATACATATTGTATTAAGTAAGTCGATAGCTCGAACAACAATTTAATTTAATTATCATTCAACTATAATGTGAACACGTTTTCATTCATAAACCATATCGTTAATACCGGTAGTCAAAAAATGAATGAGTCGTCACAAAGCAATTCCTGACATGGAATCCTCAATGTCTAACGAGAAGAGGAAGACCGAAGAACACATAACGCTGAGAAATTGAGACAGATACGAGAAAAATGAATAACAATTCGATAAAAATAGATAGAAAGACCCAGGACAGAATGGTTTGGACAATTCTGATCGGCGCCCTATGCTCCACTGGAAGTTACAGGCGTAAGTAAGTAATATTCGCTTCCAAGAAATATTTGTGTACAAGAAAAAATTTGCAAAAAAAAAAATAAAAAAACAAAGAATAAAGTTTGGTTTATATTTTGCGTTGATTGTATCACTTACCTGGTGTAGTATGTTTTTCAGCTTGAGATTAGTTAAACAAATATGATGATTAAATTCATTTTGTATTATTTACTTGGATCTTTTCATTGATATTTAGAATTACAATTGATTAGTCTCTCTTCCTCTGTTATTGACATATATACATCCTGTAAGGATTGCCTCGATATAATCTTAATTCACATATATTACAAGCAAAGATGGATAGTGGCTAGCAGTGGAATCTAGTTTGAAGTGTGTTTCGTCCTATTTAGGACTTGTCAACTGGATGTACCTTCATCTTGGAGTTGATGATTTCTTTTTTAAATCATTGACGAAAGAAAACCCTCACACTTTCTTAATACATAATTGTATTTCATAAATACACAATGGATTCTTATAGTAAACCTGATACAATCATCACATCAAGTCATATTCTAGAAATAGAATGATATTTCTGATCTTTAATGTACTTTGTACTAGTTGATCATACAAATTTCTATATTAGACAGGATCTAATCATTCCCTGTATCTATAATTCACATTATTACAAATATATAGTTTGAATGGACTATTCAATTGTTGCGTTTTGTAAAATCATCTAAAAGCCAATGGAGAGTTCAGTTTTATCTTAATTTATAACAAACATCAAATACTTTTCTGATTTTGAGATGGTGAAGAAGATTTGTAGCTCAGCTGGATGATTTTGATAGAGTTTTATTCTCTGAACTAGATGGTTTAGTCGTGGAGATTTCATCGTCCTTCTGAACGACATCATTAACACATAGAAACAAAAATCAAACCAATGAGAGATACAATTAAAACAAAGAAGTAAACAATGACAGGTTTAAGGTGAACAAGAACCAATAAACATAGAGGTCTGCAGGAAAAACTATGAACCACATGTGAAAAAATTCGAGCATTTCACTTCTATCTGAAATTTGTACTGATGATGTCGTTTAGAAGAACGATGAAAGATCCACAACCAAACCATCCAGCTCAGAGAAGAAAACTCCATCAAAACTTTTCCGATTGATATTCGTCCCATTTTTAAAGTAATATTGAATTTTAATGATTGAATTCATGAGTCAATTGAAGCTAGATCATCATGGAAAACTTGGAATTACTGGACGGCTGTTTCGTCTTATTGTGGGACTCCTCAACAGTGCGCATCCACGATCCCTCAACACTCCCTTCTATATGATATAAATAAACTATTCATTTGCGTCTAAGATCATCCCGCTCATATGTAACTATTTTTCTTTCAAATGTCACAGTTTTATAAATTCCACCTGAAGATGATTCATCAAGGCACGAAATTCAAAAAGATAACATGATACTATATGATCATGATTAACTTACTGACAGTATGTGGTTTTGTAGCTAAAATTCAAATAATCACAATTTTAAGAAGTATCGTAATGGTACAGATTAAATTATTAATACAATAACTGGGCCCATAGAGTATCTATCATGGCATGAAGGAATCAGTATTAATAATACAACAGTAGTTATTTTCAGGAAAATAGACCTCAACAATTCCTGTTGAATGTACATCATACATCAGTACATCATATATTCCAATCAAATGTAATTTGAATAAGCCAAATAGACTTCAAATCATGTTCCATATTGAAATTCGTGTTATACATACTTCAACATTTATTTATTATTCGTGGATTCATTGAAGTTAGACATTAGTACCGTTCGAAGTCGGCAAGTTCAGTGGTCTATAGGTTAAGCGTTCACACGCGAGACTGATAGCTCCTGTGTTGGACCTTCATAAAGCGAGGTCGTGGACGCTCACTGTCAAGGAGTACCATACTAGGATAAAACGGTCATCCAGTGCTTTAAGGTTTTCCATAGTGGTTTAGATTCAATTGAAACTGGGCATTTGACTGTCAAATGCGTCAGTTCAATTCTGTTAGTTAAATCGTGCTCAATTGTGTGATGAATACAAAGGTCTTATATGTTAGTTTTCTCAATATTCCTTTGTTTGATTTTATATCTATCTATCTGTCTACTTGTCAATGATATTCCATTACTGTATTGATGTATAAATAGTTGAGATAAGCCGACTAACTGATACTCTGGAAAGTTTGTATTAATTATCAATACAATACAGATTAGACCAGTTTCATACAATCCAAATTGGACTTCACTAAAATACACTTCCTGAATATTCTACTATCAGTGTTATTTCTATTCGAATACACTCAACTGGTAATTCAACGTTCCAATGTCAATATGAGTAACAATCCATTTACAAACAGGTCTAAATCTGATGTTAATCTAATACTACTATCATTCCAGTTTATTCAGTAGTATCCATTCAATCAAATTTTACATTAATTGTTTGTCAATCACATTGAAGAACATTAGTATTCTACTTCTTATTGAATTCATTTACTCTCAATCATTGATGATAAACACAACGAATATGTCAAACTATTAGTCAAAAGTAATATGTTTATCAATTTGTGGGTAACATCAGTCTGTTTTGTGCATTATTGTACAACAGAGATTGTTGTTATGAAAGTAAATAGTAAGTGGAAAATTCATGTGTAGACTCACTTGGAACTGCATTAGCTGAAACCAATCAATCAATCAATTAATCAATACATTGGTAACAATCAGTCACTGAACATACAAGACATTTTACATGCAACCTCGTTTTCCCTAATGAACACCATACGAGACAGATTGACACTTTGAATGCTACTAATTCACCAATTTAAATTCACTTAGTATTGTTTACTTGAATCTTCCCATTGTTATTTAGGACTGTAATTGATCAGTCTACTATTGACATTTGTACATACTGTGCGTGTTATACTGATATCACCTTAATATACAAGCATTATAAGCAAGGATAGACAGTGGTTTGCAGGAGAATCTAGGATGCGCCTTTCGTCGTATTTGGGACTCGTCAGCTGGATATACCTGCATCCCGTAGTTGATAATCACTCCGGGACTCTAACCTCGTACCATTTGCTTCAAACACAATCGCGTTGTTTACTTAGCTACTGAGTCCTAATAGCCACTTGCTTGTGCAATGGGGGCGAAGTTTATCAATTTATTTTTAATCATGATGAAATTACCTCTCTTACTTAATCTACCAAATGATATTCTGTTTAATCAAGCAAAAAGATCGTTTGTCAATAGTTCACATGTTTATAAATTTGGGTTCATAATTATCTTTACAAAGAATCTTCCCCCCCCCCCCATATGTGTGTTTTATTACATTTTGTATGAAATATAAGCATACTACTGAAAATCCCTCATCCTTCAATACACACTGAAGATGTATTCATCATTGTGGTTGTCAATCAAGTTAATTCTTATAATACTTTAATCAACCTAAAGAACTTACCATTTATTCCAATTAAGCATATGAATATGCAGACGAACCCAACTATCATTGTATTCATGATATATTAATGTATATAATAGAGGCTTATAAAATGTCTTAATGAAATGTGAATAATTTATAGGAATATTTTGTAGTTTATTTAAACAATTTCTTATTTACATTAGATTAATTTAAAAGAAAATGGCGCTTTTCTTTTATTGTTTTACTTTTGTTTTCAATGGCCTCAAAAGTAAACAAGATCAAATTTCAATGAAAACATTAGTATAGAACAATGAAAGAGTAAGGGGGAGGGGGACGAGGACGAGTTTATTTTTTGTGATTGGATAATTATATGTATCTATTTGTTTTTCATCTATTTATGGAAGAGGATACAATTTCTTAGTTTAATCATTTATTTCAAATAAATAAATATTTTTCTGAAGGGGGGGGGTGTGGATATTATTAGTAATTTTTAGTAGTTGAGTTCATGAGTCAATTGAAGATAGATCACTAGGAAAAAAATTTGGAAGCATTGGATGGTCATTTCGTTCTAGCATATGACTCCTTAGCAGTGCGCATTCACAATTCCAACTAATGGGATTCGAACCCACGACGTATCGGTCTTGCACGCGAATGCTTCAATTCCAGACCACTGAACTTGGCGGCATCCAACGGTGATGATGTCTAACTTCAACTAGTCCACGAAATTGTCATCAGTGAGTTACTATCATACAACAGACCAAGTTTAACTGCACTGATAACAGCTTTTGACTAGGATTCCAGGAGATATCTCTTCAAGCCAATCACTAGTGAGCACACGATGATTCTTATCAGAGTGAGGATTTGTGAAGATTTTAGTAATTTATTAATTCGATTCATAAATCAATTAAAGCTTGACTATCATGGAAAACCTGGAAGTACTGAACTGTAGTCCAGTGGCTCCATTTCGTGGATTGGCTGAAGTTAGACATTAACACCATTAGATGCCGCCAAGTTCAACGTTCTAGTGTTTAAGCGCTCGTGTGCGAGACTGATAGGTGCTGTGTTTGAATCCCACGAGGCGGGATGGTTGATGTTCACTGCCAAGGAGGAGTCCCATAATAGGACGAAATGGCCTCCCAGTGCTTCCAGGTTTTCCATGATTGTCTAGCTCCAATTGACTCATGAATTCAACTGCAAAATAATTATTTCATCTTAACTGAATATTTCTGTTCTTAGCAGTACATCAGCAAATTTTATGAATGATAAATCTTTCATTTTGTTACTAGATTGTAAACTCAAATCGAATATCTTCAGTAGGGTAAAAATACTTGACAAATTTTATAATAATATTAAATCATTATCATATTTGGGGTAAATTAAATATCGATCAAATAGTCATTTAATTACTTTTGTACTATTTAAACTTGTATTAATTTAATATTCGGTTATCTATATACTCTGAAGAAGGGGTTTACATCAAGTGACGAAACGCCAGATATACCATTTTTTTCCTGTTTATTAGGATATAACGATAAAACAAAATATATTTATTATCAGTCTCCTGGTATATTTATTTAGTTACTAAGCTTATAAATGGTCATGACGAGTTATTCTTTGAGTTTCTTTATTTGTTTAACACTAAAAGAAAATTGTTACGTAATCAAAGTGAAAACAATCTCTTTGTTATGTGTATATGTTCACAATTAAAGAAAAAAAGATCAATACTTTTTTTGGTGTTTATATGAACTAACGATTCCTTCATACTTATTGAATGATTGATTTCAAATTCCGAATACAGTACATTTGTTCGTGCTTATGTAGTACTTCTTGATCCAATTGCGTTATTTCTAGGATCCCAAGTTTGTACTGTAATTCAAATACTTCTACTTACTATACTGTAGTGAACAAGAACACGGATGGGGACAATCGAATGTATTTGATCGCAGCGTAACAGAACATCTCACTGAACTCTGAGAATCATACAGTAAATAGTTAATTTGCAAAATGTTAATCGGTTGTCTGAAACTTGACTGTTCATTTTGCAAATATCAATCCAGCATCTCAGATTTCATTGTTCATGCATTTCCATACCAACTGCTTCCCATTCTTTCCTCCTTGATCTTCTACTGAAATACATTCTCTTCTTGACTATCATTATATCTTATTTATGTGGATATGAGTAGCTTGCACAGTTAGAAGATTCAATTTTGTTGAACTATCTGAAATGATTGAATAATTAACTATTAACATCTACTCCTATAGTGCCATTATATTATATCTACATTTCATGGTATTCAATAAACGAATTTTGTCCTATTTGAGTGGCATTCTATCGTTGATTGTGTAGTGACCTACTTTTGTCAACAGAATGCGATTTGTTCAATGAAAACAATTATTATTATAACCAATTGTACCAGTGACTGTTTCACTGTGCTCGTTTGTTTAACTATGCTAATGACAGTCATTACACTTATTCTCCCGTTGACTTTGAACTTGTACAAATTCGGTTACGCTTAGTAACCACGCTTGTACTCCTTTGGCACGATCTCGGTATTCTTTCGATACCACGAGATCGCCAACAAATACATCTCGACTACAGCTATCCTCTGCCTTCTGATATTGGCCTACGGAGATCTTATTGGTTAATTGGCACTTAGTCTTCTTGTAGCGGTGTTCATAGTCAATCGCGACTCTGTAGTGACAAAACTCAGATAATATTTAATTTATGTTTTAAATTCTATCTGTATTTACTGTCAGACAACATTGTTCTAAATTTCTGAAGAGTTCTATATTTTCCATGGAATCATTAAGAGAATGTTCATAATTTTATCTAAACATTGTTTGTAATACAGTCAACAAGATATTATCATTTGTATATCGTATAAGCATATTTCAGTATTAAGTATCATGAACGATATTGTAGATGACTAGCATAATCGATCTATGTCGAATGTTTGGAGGCCTACTGGAGTTAGATTGTAACGATGTGATGAACCAGCTAATTTCGAAGTCACACCTTGTGGTTAACATCTGACGTGGATTACCCCTTCGATGTATCGAAGTACTGTGGCTGCTTTGAAGACAGTATAACACAAAGGACGTTATCAAGGGTCATTAAAATGTCACTGAGCCCTAGTCAAATCACTCGGCAGTTGGGTCACTGAATATCGAACTGGTCATCAATCTTTGTCAAGGACAACCAACTTAATCGTATGTCATGGACTGGTGTATGCGGAGATGGTCTCACTATCTTCTCTGTATTCATTCTTACTAATATATTTCCTTAATAACGTCCTTTGTGTTATACGGTCTTCAAAGCAGCCATAGTACCTTGATACGTCGAAGGGGTAATCCATATTAGATGCTGACCGCGAGATGTGATTTCGAAGTTAACTGGTTCGTCATACGATTCACGTCTAAATCGAGTAGACCTACAATCATTTGATGTAGATTATCTACGCTGGTGACCTACACTGGTGAGCCCAAATGATTTGGTTGGCGTTCAGTGATATTTGACTGGTCCTACAATATTATGAATATCGGTGTTATATAATATCAATATCAGAAATATAATAGAATTTATTTAAATCTAATGTTCTATGTATTATTCTTATTGTTTACTCTGTTTTGGATCCAGTTTCAGTAAAACAATTCAATATTAAAATGTATTTGTGTGGTGTTTGAATGAACTTATGTTCCCTTTGTACTTGTTGAGTGCTTGATTTTGAATTTCAAATACAGTACACTCGTTAGTGCTTGTCTAGTACTTCTTGATTCGATTGCGTTGTTTCTGGGATTCGTAGTTCGTAATATAATTCAAACACTCCTAATCATCACATTGACGTCGCAATGGAGCCTGCGATGGAATTGTTGGATATACACTCAGATTTTGATGCTTATGACGATTACTTTGAAAGGTTCGAAATCTAAGCTATGACCAAGGAAAATGATGAGGATGTTAATATTGTAGCACATTTCCTCACATTCATCGGAAAAGAAGCATATAGCTTATTAAAAACTCTGGCTTAACCGGAAAAGCCCATTTTGCTTCCTTATACAACTCTCAAAGAACTACTGCTGAACTTTGTTAAGTATACAAATTCCGAATGCGGTAACGGAGGAAGATTTCGTAAAATGATTTATGAGGATATAAAAAATTCCACTACATTGCGTCACCCCATCCCAGTGTATACTGGAGGTTATGCCGATAATTCATTGACGAGTTGCGATGAAGTTCACGAAAATGGGCACAAGTTTGGTTAATGTTTGTCCTGTGGCAAGTTTCACTCTTTTGATTCATGTAGATTTTGTAATTCTAAGTGCTTTAAATGCGGTGATGTTGGACATATTCAGTCAGTTTGTAATTCTGATTCTACTAAGTTGAGTATTTATAATGATCATTCATCTTTATCAATGATTTCAAAAGACAGTGTACAGTCACATAGCAGTTCAGAGTCAAATAAAACTCAGAATCCTTGCGAAACAACAGCTTCTAACCAATCAATCTGTCAGATTTCTCATGTTATTGTACCAGAGATGGTTTTTCCTAATGATTCACATATTTCTGATGAAATTGTTTACAAATGTGAGGAAAAATTTTCGAATGAACCTATTCATGATCAAAAACCTGATGTAGTTTTGATTGATGTTGATTTTTTTAACGATCCTTTGCTCTGCAATGACATTATTAATAAATTTGAGGAAACTATTTCAGAAGAATCAAATCTTGATGTCATATCAAATATTATTTGTCCTCATAATGCATTTGTTTCTTGTGGAAAACTTGTTCAAATCAGCTCGATTCTGATTACAGTTCAGATGATTTGATATCAACTGTTGTTTATCCTTATCATAAAGTCACTTCCAATGTATACTTTATTCAATGTGAGAAAAATGTTTTAAATGAGGCCACATTATTCATAACTTGGGGATATGAAGATCCGACATTATTTCGTGGGGGAGGATAGTCTGAATGCATATGGTTCAAATTCTAGGTAGCAGTAGTTTCAGTACTCAACCGACATGAAGATTGTACACAATCCCAAGAAGCAAGTGAGTCTGCTCCGATTTCAGCTGTCAATTCTAATACCAATGAGTGCATTCTAGATAATATGAAGTCTTTATCGAATACACTGTCGGACAGACAAAGGATGAACTTAAGAAAAGACGTACAATCAATAACAGAAACTTAGACTCCAATTTAAGCTGTGGCGGATGTGGTGTTTGAATGAACTTATGATCCCTTTGTACTTGTTGAATGCTTGATTTCGAATTTCAAATACAGTACATTCGTTAGTGCTTGTCTAGTACTTCTTGATTCGATTGCATTATTTCTGGGATTCGTAGTTCGTAATATAATTCAACTACTCCTAATTATCACAATTTGCTCCATTTTGATCATATAATAATAATGTGATGTGTGCTATTGATATCGGCATATGTAATCAGTATGTAACGTCAATCGAAATTAAAATACCTGGTGACAGAAGGTTATGAAGAACAAAGAAAAGAGAACGAGAACAAAAAATGATTACTGTGGAAAAGAAGGAAGAATCAAGTATAAGACATTTGATTGACAGTTTGTAGATGAAGCATTTACCGTATGGTTCTCAGACTTTGCCAAGAGATTTTGTGATTTTGTGTCCAAATACATTTGATTGTGCTCGATTGTATTCTTGTTAACTACAATAGTAATAATAACAATACGTATTCGGTTACTTCTCTATGATTAAAGGTAGATCATTATCTCAATTTGAGAAATCAACATTATATTAAACATGATTTAACTATTTTAAGAAAATCTCATTTCATTCATACTTGTGTAATACATAAATACCATTCTACAATGATTAGAAATTAGCCGAAACAATTTAGGTGTTGTTCATAGAAAAAAACAAACATGTGGATTTAAAGTGTTTTTTTACAAATGGGATTTATTCTTGTGTCGATTGGATGACAGAGACGTTTTTCCACAAACGTCTCCATTAGAACTTGTAGTGACCTCCTTTTATTAACAGAACGCTATTGGTGCAATGGAAGCAATTACTATAATAACGAATTGTACCTGGGATCGTTTTACTTACTTGTTTGTTTAATTGTGACCTTGCATGAATTAGGCTACGCTCAGTAACCCCACTTGTAACCTGGCACGATCTCGGTGTTCTTTCGATACCACGAGATCGCCAACAAATACATCTCGACTACAGCCATCAACTGACTTCTGATATTTGATCTACGGGGGATCTTATTGGTTAACTGGCACTTAGTCTTCTTGTAGTGGTGATCATAGTCAAACGCGGCTCGACACCACGCTACAAACTTTATTTCACTAGAAATACAACCTAATTATGGCATACAAACAGAAGTGAAACTTTGCAGACGATGTAGCAGTACTGTTGATTACAAAGAAAAATACTTACTATCCATTATTAAAATTGGAGATGAGGGAAATAAGCCTTCCATAGAATATCCGGTTTGTACTATAAATCTCAGCTTAGTTTTTCCTTCTCTAAATTGTTTAAAAGCATCAATTCGTTAAATAAGAAAACTGTATGATTTAGAAAACTATCTTCAGACAAGTACTTACCTCGTGAGTCTCGAAAACCAGACTATACTTTGCAGTCTACTTCAGGTAAACAACTCATTTCTGAGGCAAATAATTCAGTTACACGAGCTTTGTTTTGTACTACCCCCCCAAACATTTTCCAAGGAATCGACCTTCTCGGACTCGCTCAACTACAAAAATAAGACACTGGTCTTCAGCTAAAGTAATCTTTAAAAACTCTAAGAATGCGTATTAAACAGATGGAGAAAGGTAAGGTAACCTTTTTGTGTGACAGATCCACAAGTAAGAATCGTCTAATCATGCCGAAACATTATCTGCACAACGTTCTCGTTGCGTTGCACCAGCTTTCTCATTCAAGGGTTTGTGCGACCATGAAGTTCATAGCAGAACGATTCTATTGGCCCGGTATAAAAAACGATATGAGGGAATGTGCACGCTCCTGTGGGATCTGCCAGAAATCTGAGATGATTAGATACAGCAAAGGTCCTTTACGCTCACTCAAAACTCCTGACTACGTCTTACAGTGGACTGACGTTCTTTCACTCGTCTTACTTGGTATTCGCAATGCTATGAAAGCTCGACAGCGCAAACTTAAGTTCTGTATCATCGATAAGAACGGAACTAACGATGAAATCAGCATTGATTGCTTCAAAGGTGCGTATTTAGAAAGAAGCGCCATTCATATCCACTTCCCTTCGATACAATAGAAAGATACGAACCTCACAATTACGGTTCTTCACCAAAAAATCAGCAATCACGACTATACTTAGTTAGTATCTGATAACCAACCCAGAACAACGCTTTCTGGAGGAAGAATTACGTTTCCAGAACACCTAAACGATTACTGCACGTAAGACACCTGATAACACTGTTTCCTCTTGATTTTTTTATTACTGTATCAAAAAGCAAAAACCACTTATAATATGCTCATATATATCTTTTTATTCCAGAAAAACAAGAAACAAAAGTTTTTGCTATAAATATGCCTGCTTATACGTGTATTTTTTTCAAAAACCTCGTTTCCACGCTATTGCATGTTTGCGAAACTCATGTGTGTGAGTTTATTTTACTTTCTTCGTCCGTTTTGTTTCTTCACGCACGCACGAGTGTAAGTTGACATGTACTTACGCACCCTTTTTACTTTTCTAGGTTGGCTGTAAAAAATAAAAAAACCGACGAAATTGGAGGTGAATCGAAAATCTCATTGCACCTGTTTTGCATTACTATATTGTACCACATAGACCCTTATAGTTTTAAAAAACGAACAGACGCTGTTGAAGATAGCAAGCTATCAGAAGATTGTTTACCGATGACAAACTCGCGGTTTTTTAACTTCTGACTGGCCACTTCTTAAATTCATCATTGCCCTACTAGGGTGGTTGATCCGTAGCTGTAAATGAAAACCACAAATCAATAGCTCTGTATGTCCTCGACATTGAAACTGGCCGCATTAGTTTTACTGGACTTACCCAGATGGATGCGCTCGGTCACGTATCCTCACCAGATCACGAACGGAGAAATTATGCTTCACAACTTCTAAAACCACTAGCCAGCTTAGATTAGTCACTTCTCGATATATCGATAGCCTATCAAGCATAACTCCGGAACTCTTTGCTTCTGACCTACAGTCTTACTAGGTTGACACATTTCGATCATAAAATGTGTTACTGGCTAGGGCGTTGTCCAAATCCGATTGTTTGTGGTATCTTTATTTTTATTTTATATAGTCATTACACTTCCCACCTCTGAATAATGAATGATGAATTGTTTGTTTCAAATAAAGACCTCCAGCTTCACTTCTCTTGTTGTGGTGGTGGTCTAACATCAATCGGTTCATGATCTCAATAAAAAAAGGAAAATTAAGTCTAAAACAGTATTCATCGTCGATGAAATAAAACTGACTACAGGAGCACTTATATAGTCCCATATACAGTTATTACACATAGCCTCTTTCTAGATACCTTCCAGTTTACAGAGTTTTATTCTTGTGCACTGTATCAATCTAGCTTCAGCTTCCATGTGTGAAATCGGTTAGCCGAAAAGGGTAAGAAATCTATTCAGGACAGTGGGATAAGAAATGAACGGGTTACTGAGGATATTTTTACTGCGTTCTGTTAACCCTATAATTATCGGTCTACAATCCTCCTACAAAGTGCAAAAATGGTATAAAAATCTTCGTTTACATAACTAGAGAGCAACAACACACTTGAAGACTGAGTACTGTTATATTCTTAAAGACGCCTATCTAGTTTCGTAATAATGAACAACACTTTGAGATTTAATTGAGATCATGTACCTATCAATGCTAGACGAACACTGAAATACTAGAACCAATGGGCACCACTAGTTACAGCTCGTCACTAGAACTCTGAGGAATACTTCTCGAAGCTGGTCACCAGTGAGCACATGATAATAATATAAGATCAGTATATTCGTTTAGCTTCAAGACTGTAGCGATAAATAAATCTCCAAAATAAGTAGTTTTGTAAGTCTTCGACATTGATGCTAACCCCATTAGTTTTACTAGATACGCCCTTGATAACGAGCTGGTGCCCTGTGCAACTCATCTCTTGCAACTAGTAGCAAGCTTAGATCAAGCGCTTCTGAACAAATAGGCAACTTTCTACATATAACTTCGAATTCATTGATTCCTGACTTCTGATTTTATTGTGCTGGTACACCTGGACTATATAGGTGTTGCGGGTAAGGGCCTCATCACACTCCGAATATTTGTGGTATCTTAAGGACTAACGAGAATCTTCATGTCTTCGGGATACCTGTGTCCATTGACCTGTGGTCTAACACACAAGTATTTATAAATAGGCAAGTGTTATCTGCCTTCAAACCGGCTTAATTTGTTTTCAAAGACAGAAAAAGTGCATACAAACCATCTTCACCTAGCATCGACGCCAAAATAAAAATGTGATGCACGACAATATCTACATCGCAAAATGCAATTAAAGGGCAGCCATATATTGGTAAATCAGGTTGCCTACGTTTCGCCTTGAAATATCTCAGGTTAACATCCCACCAGACAAAATTTCACTTATTTGTTGTTCATTATAGATTGAGGATTAGGAACTACATTCAACAGGTAGCGTTACATAGCGATGTTTGGGCCTCCGTTTTCTATTAGGTCAGAGACTGCTGCAAAATCGAAGTCTGGTTTTTTCCGTAGCATTTACTATGACCCATACAAGTGGTAAGTAGCTGCATATCTAAATCTATATCGGTAGGTCGCTCGTTAAAAGCATCACAATGTTCGCTTCTGCGGTTTCTGGTTTTCTGATCATACGTGAAGTCTTCAATGCCCCTACCCCAACTATGTAGACAGAAATTTTTGTTATCAAAAAAAATAAAACATTCTCCTTGTTCGTTTCAGTTTTTGCTACTATATCCTTCAGCATATATATGCTGAAATGGATCTACATATTTCTAAACGTGTTCCTTCATAAACTTTGTCCTTAGGTGTCTAAAGTGTCAAGTAATGAACAGTATGGCCACCGAAATAAATTACGGCAACTCGTTTGACTGTGTCGAGGTTTCCCGGGCGAGATATAAGCAGCTAAGAGACCGTCAATTGAGGCGACGTCGGATCATTTTACGACATCTACTGAGAAACAGTTCATTCTCATTAAGGTTAGAAAACAACAACCAACTCAGCCTTACTCTATCAGATTTACTTGGCTACCGCAAGCCTTCCTACCTACAGTTTGATGAAAACGTTTTTAGGAAGCGGGCGATTCTGTAAGTTGTACTTTTGTCAGCCTTGCATTCCATACTTGATTTGTCTGTCTACAGAAGACTTAAGTTATCCTATTAGGAAGTTTCTCATAACCACCTGCAACTTAGTCTTATCATATGTATCGCGGTACATAGTGAGAAGACTCTTCGTACACAACTATCACTGTGCATCTATAATTCCAGTTGTTTCTGTGGGTTTATTGCATTTGAATCCACCATACAAATAGTTTAACGACGTGTTCAAAATATTGTGTGATTTGTAATAAATCCGAATATCATTTAGTAGGTATTGGCATAGGATAGTATCGAAATTCTTATGTTCAAGCTTCCACAACTCACAACATGTACGTACGTACGAAGTTCCACGTTGTTTCTGACGGACATGGTGAGGGACGAAATTAACTACAGTAAAATTCGGAACTTATGGAGTACTATTCGGATTAGCACCTAACTCATTTTGTATTTAGGGTAAGACCAAACGCAGTTCTGTGGGTTTTAACCAAGGTTTTCACGTCTCAGTCAAAGAATGTGTTGGTCCTACCCTTCTCGTCTCATTCCGTTTTTTCCAGTTAGTTACTATATCAGCCAGCGTTTCACGTTAAGGTGAACAATCATTAGGGATGCGTAATAAAGGGCTGGTCGACTTCCTGTCGAAATCTATTGTGATTTATATCGTCCGTAACATTGTACAAGATCCCACCTTTTATCCAGTCCTAAGTCATAGGATGGGACGAGTCTTCTTAAAAGTAAGATCCATAAAAATACTCCGGCTATTAAGTATAACATGATACTTTGTGTTTTGGAACTTCTGTGTCCAAATGTTCGGGTAATTTTTATTCATCTGGGATACACTAGTCAATTGCTATTTTATTTGAGACGGCCGTCATAACTTGGGGTTGCTTTGGATTTTTATGAATATTTACACTATCTAACAATCTCAGTAGTTCATAATTAGTTGAGCTATTTCATAGTGTGTGGTTGGTAGAATCGCTGATTAGCTTCGTCAACTTATAATTAGTTTAAGCCACTCACCAGTTACTTGTGTATGAGCCACACTAAAAAAACGGTAGCCCAAACTGAAGTCGTAGCTGGAAGTCGAACGCCTTAGCCACTAAACCATCGCTTTTCTTAACTCCAAATGCTAAATTGTGACAGTAAAACCATGTTATCGACTGCCTCTATCCAATAACAAAGTAAATGGTTTGATCCAAAACATTGTATTCAGGCTGCGAACCTGTCTTGTACACGCAAACATCAGTAATGGAGTGCCATAAATGAGTTTCAGTTTTTCGATTGTTTAACAAATGTCCAGCCAAAGACTCGATTTTATTTTCGCTGGTTTTAATTGTGATGCTTATTTTGTTTTATACTTTTCTCATACTTCTGCGTATCCATTTAAAATGACCTCTGACAAGTTTTTAAGTTGTTTCTTAGAGACAGACAAATCCAATATCTTACAGTCAACATATATTATCTCTCGTTAAAATCTTTTTTTTACAACAGACCAGTTATTTCTCGTTTAAAATGCCCAGTGCTTAGTCTTAAGCTGCGTCGTGCAATACAGTCTTTCCTAGGCGAATCCGGCACATTAAATCAAGATAATAAACAAATCATACAACAGTGGGATAAATTCAGTCTTGAAGTTGTTGGGGACAAATTAAGACAAACATTGGCATCTTGTATATCAACAAATACAAACAGTAATGTGGGTGATAAAGCTTCAAATGACGACAATATTGTTGGTAAAACAGGAGATTCTAATTGTGATTTGGTCGTCAGAACATTTACTGGTTCAGCTGCTTTTCTTAAAGTATGATGTTTTTAGTTAATTATTGAAATGAGCCTTTTTAGGTTTTTATTAAGCTATGAGAAGGATTAAATGAAAGTTAATACATATTGGGTGTTTATGACAAGGGTCGGAGTAGGTTTTGTCATGAATATTCACTTAAAAATTAGTTATCACCAACTGTTTCATCTCGTATGATTCAATTATTCCACACAAAACAAAATGCGTCATTTTCTCGATGAATAGACGTCAAATATGTGGATTTGTATTTTGAAGGTCAAACTTGTACCAATAGTGAATTCTCTAAACACATAAAAATCAACATTTATTAAGCCTAAAGTCATGTTACAAGCGTTGATAGTAATTCTGACTACGGACTGACATCTGTCTAAGATGTCCTGGAAACCAAGGAACGCTGGGCATTTGTTTTGTCGTGCTTTGGAGTTTTTTTTATCACCATGTCTTTTTTCGAGTTCCAAACCAGCATCACGACCATAAACACGTGACCATCGAACTACATGTTTACATTTGCCTATTTTAGTCATTTTTCCATATTAAACTACAACTACTCCGATGCTACATAGGAGTTTCCACCTAGCATCGTGATGAATTTCGTCTCAAAGATCAAGGGCTCCAATTCCAATAGTAAGGACCACTTTCCCAACGTGTTTCCCTTATTTCTGTCTTTTATATGAAATGAAGGAGTGTCAAAATGGCAATTTGTTCAATACCATCAAAATTGAACGTCAGTAAGCGATCAATTGATTCTTTGATATCAACAGATGTCTGTTGGCTAACCTGTATGATACAGAATTTCACAGTTAATTAGTTGAAATTACAGCTAGATAATCCATACATTTTTTCGATTGTTTAACGGTGGCATTTGCATATTTACTGAAATTACGTTATGAGACCTATTTTCTCATCCATTTTATTGCTGATTTTATGAAAATACCAGGCGTACTAATCCATCTTATTTGTTTTGTTTTAAATTTTAAAAATCTTATTCTATTTTGCTGTGTTTTTATATGGGAATTTCTTAGTTAATTTCCTCTCCCAAACTTATTCCATGTCGTACGTAGTTTTGGCAGTCAGCTGCAACGTAGTACCAGGCACATATATGCATCGATCCAAGTTGCCATACCGCATTAGCACACCAAGATGAACACCGGATTCATAGAAGTAGTTAGTTCAATGGTAGTAGTCTGGGAAGAAAGAATTAGTACGTAGAAAGATATGAAGCGATTTTAATGTCATAGTTTAAGGGAAGACTGAGTGTGATATAAGGAAGTAGTACAGGAAGAAAGAATTAGTTGGTAGAAAGAAAGATATGAAGCGATTTTAATCCCTTAGTTTAAAGGAAAACAAAGAGTGTATACACCGACGCCATTGTGATCGATTCTGAGCCATGTCACTCAGAGTCTCCAACCATTGGTTACGATAGTCACGCGGACCCCAACCAAGTAGTCTGCATCTAACAACATGGCTCAGACTAGAAGTTAGTGACTTCATTGACTGATGCCATGTTTTGGTTTGGCCGCCCCTAACTTTCTTCCAACCATCCTCAACACCGGTTAGCATTGCGTGTCGTGGTAATCGGTATTCGGGCATACAGGACACGTGGTCCAACCATCTCAGTCGATAAAGATTCACAACCTCATCAACTGATTTGCCATCATTCCCTAATACCCTGCGCCTAACCTCACGTAGTGTTGGCAGCAAAACTAAAGGAGGCGAATTCATTAGATTGTGGATCTGTGGGTTGAAATTTGTATTTTCACTTCAATATCATGAACATATTATTTTATATAATTCGTTTCTATTATGTAGGGAACTCAAAGTGCTAATCCACATAATGATTACTGTCAACATTTTGTGGACACTGGTGAACGACCACAAAATTTTATACGTGATACCGGTACGTTTTAAAGTTTTCTAATTGTTCTATTATTTCTTATTACATGACTTGTTTGTTAGTCAATTTCAACATATAGATGATTAATTTGTTTAAGACATAATAGTCATGATCATAATGTTTATGTAGGTTATTCACTGTTTATCATCTAAATTCTCAGTTCATAACAACAGTCGAAATATTCATAGTATAATTTTTAAGTACTTATTTCCTTATATGTATATATTTCAGGTCTGAGAAATCGATTTGAAGAATATCCTAAATTACGTGAATTAATTCGATTAAAAGATCAGTACATTCAGTCAAAGGCTACACCTCCTATGTATTTGTGCGCTGACTTACGAACATTTGATTTAAATGAATTAGACTCAAAATTCGACGTTATTCTGATTGAACCTCCTTTAGAAGAGTATCATCGAATGAACGGTGCTGTATTTGATCAATATTGGAGTTGGGATGAGGTTAGTTTATTCAGTTTATTACTTTTCTCACTGTTGCCAATCTTATCAATATTCCATTTAGTCTCAGTGCTTCACGTTTTCATTCGACACCTACACACAGTATGTTCTTTGAATTGTTAAACGATTCGACAGTTATTTCTTACAGTATACTGAGAATGGAACAGTTTAAATTCAACTATCAAATCCTAATAAGGATGCATAGTGATGCGTTTTCAATATGCTTTTATATTTATTATAACATGTGTGATTTATCAAGCAAAAAGCATCGTTGGAATCAGTAAGGTCTGGTACAAACTTTGAAACAATTAAGTCAATTTAAGCAAACGATTAGTATCACAAACCGTCACTTGTAGACTGTTGCTCAAAACCAAGTTTGTGAATCTGTACTTAGTAATTGAGTTATAGTAGATGCTACTGTGATCATGAACATATTTGGTTGTAAAATAAGGGTGATGGGACGCTTATACAAAGGTCCACAATATGTGATAAAAAATGGTAAATAAACGTCAGCAATAGACAGAATGAAATTGTCAATAGAATAATTTATGGATAAATTAAAATCAAACTAACCAATCCAGTCTGGTTTAATGTGGTGCCGAAAAGTTTAGTATGCTGTTCAAACCAGTGATAGGATCTATCGATTTTCCAAAATATCAGTTATTTTAGAATACTACTCAAACGTGCTGAAATCACTCAAAAAATTGGTTGTCATTCAAAGACTCTCCAAAGTTTGAACACTAATTATTGATAACGTAAATTGAAGAATTGGATTTTTTTTCTATACTACTATTCATTTAGAAATATTTGTACTTGGAATCATTAAGTAAGGACAAACATGAACTTTATTAGTTATGTAGAATCTTTTTCAAAACTTCAACTTAGTAATCTCTTGACTTGTGTAATCTCGAACTCAAAACATAGGCTTTGCATAAAAGCAATCCATATTCATCACTTTTCTAAAGTTTAAAATGCTTCTGGGAATCCAATGTGATACTTGATCTGAATTTGAGTAGTCAGAGTCTATTGGCTTCGTTGTATCGTAGTTTATGTTCACTACACCGTTGCACAAACTGAAATGTATATCTATAATCCATTCTTTTTTAATTGTGATTGAACCTGACCTAATAATTTGTAATTCACATTCAAACTCTGATCAATTGTGAAGTATGTTGATAAGTTTTAAGGGTGATTGCTTGAACTGAATGAGTAACGATTTTAACTCACCACTCAATATAACTGACATTTCAACACTCAAATTTTGTCTCTTTTGTCATTGTTATAAGAAATTTTCAAAAATACACATGTTATTTCCCTCTGCCATTATTGATATAGATTGAACGTTTAGAAATTGAACAAATCGCTGCTCCACGTGCATTTGTTTGGATATGGTGTGGGTCAGGTGAAGGTTTGGATGCTGCTCGGAAAGTGAGTGTTTTAAACTTTCTTTACCAACTGTAAATAACAAAATTGACTAGTTCTTGAAACACTACATTAGTAATGTTGAGGTTGAGCAATGTTTTTAATGATAACTCAGTCGCACCACGTTGAAACAGTGAGTTCTGTAGCCTGAACACGCATAACAACTGTCTTCGCAGCGACTTTATAGCATATTTATTCTGATGCTCAGCTGTACTAGTATTTTTATATACTAGGTCAGTGAGAAATTTCTCGTTTTAGGAAGAAATATTCCTTTATCAGCAGATTATCTCTCCAACTTTCATTTTCTTTTAAAAGGACATTCCACATACACTAGTTAAGTGAAATATTCTTCTTTTTTTTCTAGTGTTTACGTAAATGGGGTTTTCGTCGTTGTGAAGATATATGTTGGATCAAAACAAATATCAATAATCCAGGACATGAAGCTCTTGAACCAAATTGTGTTTTTCAACGTACAAAAGAACATTGCTTAATGGGTATACACGGAACTGTTAGACGTTCCACTGATGGAGATTTTATTCATGCTAATATAGACATTGATCTGATCATTGAAGAAGCTCCTCCACAGGGCAGTTATGCTGCCAAAGATAAACCAACTGAAATATTTCACATTATTGAACATTTTTGTCTTGGAAGACGAAGATTACATTTATTCGGTAGAGATAGTACCTTAAGACCCGTGAGTGAAATATGCATACATATATATAATAATATAGGTTTTCTGACTGTTTAACAATTTGCTTTGTCCATATATAAATCATTTTTACTAATAGGCTTCATCCTAAACTGATATCAGATTGAACAAACATTTAAAACTTAAATTACTAGAAAATGTAACCACATTTTTTAAACTAATCGTTGGATTTGTGAGGATCTGTCTCTCCGTACAAACTTCAGATCTTGAGTAACACGCAAATTACGAGCCATCATTAAGCATTCGGTCACTCAAATAATCCGTGGTTGCAATGGATCTATGAAAGACTGCTTATTCACACTCGTCTCACGAATGAAGTTGCATTGTTAATGCTGATGATATTTATCTTACTAACAAACGATGTATGTTTCTTAATTAAAAACGTCCCGGTCGCACACTTGATGTAGTATGTGTGTTAATATAGTCATTTAATATGACAATTTGTCAACCTCAGAACTAATTGCTTGGAAGACAAAGTTAAAAATACTCGTCCTAATGACGAAAAATCAAAAATTTCCCGCAAGACTATAGATATGCGAACCAGATTATTCAAAAGAGTACGGTAAACAAAATATAAAATGTGAGATGTGTATGTGAAATCAATTGGGCTGTTACTATCTCTGACTATAATGTATAATAAAAATGTTGTAACTGTGACCGATATCTTACAAGGTTTCCTGTGATAAGTTTTTATATTTCCATGTTGAAAAGGAAATTTCCTAAGTCTATGTAATTAACCTTTAAGTGATTTTGTTCGATTACATCATAATCACGGTTAGCAATGTCTCTGAACTTATAAAATAACATTTGTCAGAGTTGTTAGACTGAAAAAATGCAGAGAAATATATAATAACTAGGAACGTCTACATTATTTTAATGGATTACAGTGTCTATGTAATATTAGATGTAATACTTTGCATGAATTTGTTATCAATGTTTAGTTCTGCCTTCATCATAATACGTTTTCTCTTATATTAGGGTTGGGTGACAGTAGGTAATGAACTTTCTGCATCGAATTATGACCCACGTATATATGCTAATAATTTTAATAAAGACCCTAATGGATTGTTGCTGGGAACAACTGAAGAAATTGAGCGATTAAGACCGAAATCTCCACCACCACGTCATACGATCCCGAATACTGCAACAGGTGCTCCCAATACAATTTCTTCGCTTTCGGAAGTTATATCGGGTCCTGTTTGTCCTAATCCTGCATTGCCTACTGGACATATACCTCATTCAATAGCTTCGACATGTTCAGTTAGTAATTCTGTTGTGTCGAATATCACTTCCATTCCTGGCATTTCTGGTAAGTATCTGTAAAATAGGGGTGAAATGCTACACATTTCCAAGCTTATATATATTAAGTTCGGTGATTGCATCCTCAACTATGAGATTTATTAATTCAAATTTGATTTATTTTCGTTTTTGACAATAGGAAAGGTTAATCACATAGAAGAACAATAGACTTCCTAATCAGTGTACATTATGGAATAGTATATATTGTATACTAGTTTTATTGCGAACCTTTCTAGAGTTCTTATTTTTGGGTTACATGATCATTATTAAGTTAAGGTATTAGGATATGCTACTTACGGTTAGATTATAGTAGTTTTGCGAAAGGATACAGATCTTAGCAATGAGAAATAAAACTCAAAAGCTTCATCTCAGTGCTTTAATTTTAAATCACTGGATTGGAATTCAGTGCCTCAAATTTCTAATTTCGGTTGATAGGTGATATACCACAATTGTCATCTAGTACCATTGGTTAGTAATTGACACACTCCCGATGTAGTTGAACTGAACTTCAGCAAGTTATAATCAAAATAAGAGACTACCACAAATATATGTTAACTCAAGTTGCTGAATCACGTTACCGCAACAAGGTGAATTGTAACGCTGATGATAATAAGAATGATTCAATATCGAGAATATAGTTTGAAAAGATAGAATAAGAAGTTATTTATGTGGAACCCAAGAGGTACGACAAGATAGAGAGTAAATACACCTGAGCCATGTCACACAATGTCTACAATCAATGATAACAATTATGGCTGAAATCTCAACTAGGTATTTTACATTAAAAACGAATAATCATTTCTGAGTATGTATAGTTATGTACATGATGTACTTACGACTACCTCATATTCAATATGTCAAATAGAACCACTATTCTATATATTCATTAGGAAATGTACCTACCAGCATAAAGTAAGCGAATTTACAGATTATAGTATATGTAGTGTTAGATCCATTTCTTTGGTTTCGATTCATTGTGTTGATTCGTACTCTTCTACTCATATTTCTATCATAAATACTGCTTATTGAGTCTTTTTTTACCTTGGTTAATTTTAATATTCAGTTAACCGTATTTACTTTTTCAATGGAGACTATTTCTCTACATTGATAATGTGTAGTCATGAAAATTTCAAATAACATTTTGACTGATACATTACTCTTTCACCGTGCAAATGATTTTGTCGGTTTCTCTTTTTGTGTCAAGATAAGGATTTTTATGCACAAAATGTGTTATCAATGTGATCATATCTCTTCCTGCTATGATTTCCCTTATTGCAATCCAGCTATTCTTATTGCTTAGTATTCTTTGACACCAATTCACTTGACAAGTCCCCAAATCGGAACACGGTTGAACAGGAACGAAATTATATTCCAAATAACAAGGTTAGATGGAAGCACGAAGCACAATAAGAGAAATGTTAGTATATTTATAGTTCTTACATGAGAAGATTCTAGTGTCTTCTCCAGGTATCGACTAGCGCTGATTGCATAAGAAATAGTCAATCAACGTGCACCAGCACAATCGTTCACGCAACGTGATTTAGTCCAATCTATGTCCTGCTAACACCTCGATACATTCACTTTTTGATTCTCATGCTCTTTCCACTACATAATTTTTTTATTTATTATTCTCACCTGTTTTTCCTAGGCCACCCTATACGAAGATTTAATACTACAAATGTAATTAAACCTCTCAATTCTATTGGGTCATTAACTAATTCTTCACTTTTGGGTTTACCATCAGTTTTACAAAGTGTAACTAATCGAATCGGTCCTAGTAAGTGAAAATATAGCAATTGAAATTCAATTTATGATTTACTAATATAATATAATAGATGCATTGCCGTGTCGCTAATTATGTTGCCATTCCTTCTCATCAATAATATAAAAGTAAACGTTTGATGGTGGGATCTCCTGAAGAAAAGTGGATTTTATTATGAAATTAAACGTTCTGTAACTTTTTTACACGCTTCATTGTTAATCAGTGTATGTGTGTAAATCAAAGCAAAAATCATGAACGAATGATTCTTTATGCAAACGTGATATCTGAGTTGTTTTAGAACTATTCATGTTTAGTTAGTCAGTCAGTAACAACGTAGAACTTCGTACGTACATCAGTTCGAGTTGCCATACCACATTAGCACACTATTCATGTTTAATTCTCAATTGAAGGATAATTCATGTATTTTTCACTGTTGTTTTAATGATCATGATAATACATCAGTCCTCTTTTAATAGTTTCAAGACCTGAACTGAGGGGATAGGTAGTGACGTAGTCGAACGCGTTGACAACTTCACTTATCTTGGAAGTCTGATCAGTCCTAATGGGTTTGTGTCTGATGAAATCTCAGCACGGATTCGGAAAGCTCGTTTGGCTTTTGCCAACTTACGTCACCTATGGCAAAGGTGAGACATCCGCCTATCAATTAAGGGACGAGTATACTGCGAGGCATTTCGTCCTGTTCTACTTTACGGCTACGAAACGTGACCATTAAGAGTTGAAGATATTCGTAAGCTACTAGTATTTGACCACAGATGCTCGCATCCAACAAAAGATTAGTTATGAAGCAAAGAATTTATTACTGAAATGTAGTTTGAATTACAGTAAACTTATCACATCATTTACCAAGTTGTTTGTAATGAAAAGTCAGTAAATGGTAGTAATATCATTCAACAGTGATAATGACAACAAGTTACAATCTACACAAAGCAACTTGATGTTATGATCTTAGATTGATATCTCTTAAAGTATGTTTTTTTAAGATTTTTCCATGGCTTTTGTTTCGTTCACAGATACGAGGCTTAATACGCGAACACCAATTAATGCATTGTCAACTTCTAATTCTCCACGAGCACTTGCTGCATTGCAGGTTGCTGCAGCTGCTCATCAAAGTTCTATTCATCATTCACATGATTCTCCTCTATGGTCAACTCCAAATAATTTTGCCGTTGCGTTAGCTGCTGCAGCAGCAACTCATAATTTACCTCTTGCCTCAGCATTGAATTCAAGGACTCCTATTTCTGATTCACATTTACTTCCTGGGCTTACCAACGCTAGTAAACTGAATCCAACTCTGTTAGCAATGTTAAATTCTTCAAATCCCGTTGGACCAGTAGGTCTATCATTACTGAGTAGTATTATTCGAAGTAATGTTTCTGGAAAGCATCCTAATAATCCATGGCATTAAATCTTGAGTGATATTACTCTTTTTTGTAGTTGTGTATAATTATTTTGATTTTAACTGTTATATTTTCATTTATATCCCAACTAAATAACAAGAAACAGTGAAAAATATTTCTCTATCATCGAATACTATAATACTAAGCAAAAGTATTATTTTATTCACTGAAAATTGGCTACTTTTGTCACTTTTAAAATTGTTATTTTTATTAATCAGTAATATATAATACTCACGCTTGTTACTCTTCGTGAAGGAATATAGGCCACCCGCCAGCACTCTCCGTCCAATCCTATCCTGGGCAAATCTAATACTTAGTTGCATGTATTCACGCGACCATTGAAGTAGGTTTATAGTGAGCTACATGATCAAATTACGATCTATAGGAAATTAGATTCATGATAAACGTATTCACGTTTAGTGTCTGATAATACTGGTCGTTTCAAATGTACTCTGTTTCTCCTTCCATTTTCCTTCATGTTCTGAAACATTTTGCGACTCCCTTTTAGAATGTCGATAGTTCAAACCAAGATTTCCTCCCCTTAGTTAAAACTTCAAACAAGACGTTAAAAATGGCGAATCATTTTAATTAGTTACTGGATCCTGTTATGATCGCATTTTTGATAATTTAATTAATGTAAGGTCAGATTCCATTTCTATGCTTGAGGTCAATAGAGCTTCATCAAGCCCTTTTCCAGACAGATGCAATGTACACGTCACTGATTACCGCTCCAGTTGGTCTGATGTTTCGTAGTTTTATAAGTAGTGATTTCATCATTCATACACTGAAGAATCTATTCTTCCTCCAACATGCTGTTGCAATTCTTTTGACTCACAATGATCACATGTTGCACATACGTAGAGAGTTATAGAATGATAAATCAGGTTCCCTGTTCCCATCATTGCTTTAATGACCTAGCATATAACTTTGGAAATACCTTAAAAACTAATAAATTAGCTTTTGTTACAGGATGCAAACAACTGGCTGGGGTGGTAAATAGTCTCCCGTAACGTAGAATCGAAAACATTATTACTTACACCTGTTAGCTCTCGTGGAGAAGCATATGCCTACCACCAGCATTCTCCATCTAACTCTCCCCTGGTCAATTCTCAGTTGCTATTCATTATTATGTCTGCTTCCAGTTCTCGATGCAATATGTTATTTGGTTTTCCTCTTTTCTGTTTTCCCTCAGTATTTCATGTTAGCACTTGTCTCGTGATACAGTTTGATGATTTACCAAATGTATGTCCTATCTAGTTCCATCGTCTTTTCCTAATTTCTTCCCCAGCTGAAAGCTAGTTTGTTCTCTCCCACAATAGACCTTTGTTTATGGTATCCAGCTCACGGACATTGAGCATCTCACGTAGACAATTCTTTATAAATCCGTGTACGTTTTTAATTATCGTTGTGGTATTTCTCCAAGATTCAGCTCCATATAGTAAGACTGTCGTGACGTTCGTATTAAGGATTGTGACTTTAATATTGGTTGACATGGGCACCTAATAAATATTCACCATGCAAGTCACTTCATTTGTGTGTGGGTTCTGATACTACCCGGTTGTCCAGATCAAAGCAGATGCTCACTCCCGGAGCCTTCAACCTAATGGTCCAATCCAAAAGGCAATGGATCAACATCAGGAGATGCAGTCCCATGGTAGCCAGTGACTAATGATTATTCCCATCAGGATACTAAAGTTCATGTGCACCCTTGGTTTGAAATCAGCGCTTTTCAACTCCTCTAGGTGGACCCTCCGTGTCCAAATAGTCTAGTTGCATCCGACCTGTCCATTTTTTCCACGCTTCCTCTGGGATGTGGAGGTCTTTATAATCCAGTCAACCACCAGAATAGAGCGAAAGGAGGAGAGTAAGCAACCTTGTCTGTTTCTGGTCCTCACATGGAATGCATTAGCTAACCTCCCTCCACGAACGACTTCGCAGTGAAGTCAATGAATTCCGGATGATGTTGACATTGGTCTCAGTTACACCATAGTGTCGAAGAAGTTTCCGTAAGGTCCTCTTACCTACACTGTAAAACGCCTCATAGTCAATTAAGTTGATGTGTAGTGACGAGTCCCACTCAACTGATTGTTCAACGATGACCCTTTTTTGATATCCTGATGGGGTGTCCTTTTTTTCCGGTCTATTGGAGCTTCTTCCTCACGAATCTTTCTTAACAGAGTGTGAAGCATGTTTGCAGTTACCTCTATGTTTGATTTTAGTGCAAATAAATAATTCGATGTATGGTTCTCATATTTTATCAAGAGATTCTCTAATTTTCGTGCTATAGTGCATTTGTTTGTCCTCACATATATGTTCGTTCATTACACTGGGCCGTATGTCAACAGTGCAGAAGAAATACCGACGGAACTGATAAAGGAGAATAAGAAGCTTCGATTTGTGTCAGCCGTATTGCTCCCCAACTGGATATCGAGATCGCTAAACACTGGCTCAGCCAGACACGCGACTACGGAAGTAAATACCAAAGTTCATGCTATGATGTAATTACCGACTGTTGCTAGTACCCCAGTATCTATTAACAGTGAGAAGCAGTGAGTGAGAATAAGGAGGGAAAACGGATATAACATAGCACCGAAAGCGCAACAAGTGTCAGAAAAAGCTACAATGCTATATTTAATGTCCGAGTGTTGAGGAGTAGCTTACTAGAATGTAGGGCAAACTTTGATGAAGAGCAATGAGCAAATACTGTACAATGCTAAGAAAGGGTATCACTTAAGTAAATCCATGCCGTCTGTATAAGGACGAATCATAGTAAAAGATAAGCCCTCTTCATTTAGGGTAACGTTATAAAAAGTCTTACTACCATAATAGAGACCATAGGTTAAGTGATCTCAAATACGGGTTAGGCATGACAAACTGGTCCGCAAGGGAAGCAGATATGAGATTTCCAAACACCAATGAATCAACTAGCAAGACGGTACGCAGAGTGCCTGAGCTAGCATGTGGCAGTCGGAATGGAGCTCACTAACACGATATGGGAAGGTAGCATTGATTATTACGTATTGTAAGCACTCAAATCACTACAATTGTCAGTGTGAGGGCTACTTTATCTGTTACATCTCACGACCAGTAGGTTTTTACGTCTGGTGGCTGTGAATTTCAGAATACGTGAGGACCTAAATGAAGCTCTTTAGGCTTCGTTCAACTCGAAAAATGAATTCTCCAGTCACATGACTTGCTGCGAAAATCGATCTAGATCAACAAGACAATAACATAAGATCGCAGTCAACACACCTCGGTTTCGGTTGATTTCGATCAACAACCCATAGTATAAAACACCGATCATACGGTATCTTTAATTGAACGAGCTACACGGAGGAAAACCTACACTGACCAGTTTGAACTCATCTGACCACTATATGTTAAACAACAGACTGTTTTCAAACCAGAAGATCGATGCCTCTGTGTAGGAGCACCAGAAAATGAGACAAATCACCAAGCGTCCCGAAAACGTTAGAGGAATATGGAATAAAATGGAAGAAATCAGAATCATGTGCATTCACTAGGATATTAGGATCAAAGTCCTCACTGAAACATGGCTATCGCTCGACTTTACAGATAATGAAGTGAGCTTGCAAGGTATAACAATTTTCCACTCAACACAGCACACAAAATAAGAAGTGTGGCGGAAATATACATTAACAGTCACTTCAAAACCGCAACACTACACAGTGCCGAACTAACCAGGGTTACGGAATCATCCCGGCGTTGATTTAATGTTGACGGCACGAAGTTTTGATTGAGGGAATTTACCGAAACGACACAGGTTCTAATGCATAAAGAGATCAAAAGACGTAAGCGTAAGTGTATTGCACATGGGGTTTGACCAAATACAATTACCTAGAAACAACAAGAATTTATTCCTAAATATCAGCGTGCCCAGTTCGAAAGTTACACGGCGGTTCCATGGGTGGCTTCCCACAGACGTCAAAAGTTCAGGACTGATTGAACATTTGAGACAGTCAATCAAGTGGGTGACAGGGCTTAAGCATGAATCTTACGAGAACTAACTACAACACCCGAGATTACTCTGATTGAGCAACAGGAGAACAAGAGATAACTCGACAGTAGTTTACAACATATTAAGTACGTCGAACCACTCTAACATGAGCGTAATGCCGGAACATCGTCAAAATGCTCCTTGAGGCAGTCCATTAAGAACTGCACATCAGAGGACGATCACCAACATTAGCTTTCATTTTTCTCATTAGGAGTTGCTCCTACTGGGGTAGTTTTAAGTACTCAATCATTGATAACCATATACCACTTGAACCAACTATGCCTGATTAATGTCTCGTAAATTACAACAGTTTGCATTACCACACATTAGTAACTACTGCACTTCCTTCTTCCCACGCATTACCAATCCAGTAGATTATTTATTTATTTTAAAGACAATCGTATTCGCATGGAGCTGAGATTGTCAATTTGTTACTTTCGCATCACAACCAAACGACTTCCTGCCTGATACTGTGATATCCGCTGGTATCCAGAATCCCTACTACCCTAAGGAAGACTTACTCAATCAAACTTAAAGATATACAAATCCGCATAAAAGTCAAACTCAATAGAACCAGTGCAGTTGAGTAACCAAATTATCAGAAATTGAACACAACCAGGTACTTAGAATAGTACTGAAACAACAATAAGCGAGCCCATAGCGATCGACTGGTTCATACAAGATGAGACATAGACATTGGATATTGGAGGATTTCCAAGATCGAATTTTGGATAGCGCGCTACGTTTTCGACCGTATACATTGTCGCGATCGTACGCTTGTATTGTTGTTGGTCGTCGATTGTAATCGTTACGAAAATGTGAGGATATTATGTGTACCTTTTAAATCAGCCAAATTTTTTTCTTTTCTCACGTTTTTTGACACAATTTACACCCGCCTTAGCACACAATGCAAGCTTAGAAATGACTGAAATTTACGCTGTTCATATGTATTCCATATAGCTTGTAATTTTTCAGTTTTTCCGTGTTGTATTGTGGTTTCTACGCCGCGTAGGTTCCGTGGTTTCTATCTCCTAGTTCATGTGGTTCTAGGGTTACTGTTAATATTTTAATAGTAGTCCATTAAACTTGTTTCCCCTCTACTTATAATTGAGACGAACGATACCGTTTCAGAAGAGCTATACTGCACTCAGAAGAGATGTTTACTGCAGATAAGCCTAAGGTATTCAACCGAAGATAGTCACCAGTTCCTGCAAAGTATTTTTGTAATTGGATATAAACTTGTCAAATTATTTTAGTTCTGGTGCTTTTTTATGTAGGTTTTAATGTGGTCATAGTAGACATTTAACTGTTACTTTGCAAATGAGAATAGCTAAAATGATTGTCATTTGATACAAACACGATTTCCAAAAAAAAACGCGTTTAGTTCAGAACCTCTTGGAATGAGATCCTCTGTTAGTACAAGACCTCTGAATTCCATCTGGTGTGCTCTAATCTTTTACAGTCGACTCCCTAAAGTAAGTTGACGGCTTTTGAAGTCGTGTTGGTGATTGACATCTTACCTGGCTTCCATACTTTTAATTATTTCCTCTTGTGTACAAGAAATGTTCTTAAATATAGTTTCAAATGAACATTGTTAAGCTGTTTTAGATAATAGCCAAATACTAGTTATTTTTACATGTTTGCTTTATTAAAGACTTTCCATATGTACTTCGTCTAATTATTTTTTCTGCCTGCTCTTGTAGATGTCAGTCAGTACTCTGATCGACCGATTTCGTCTTTCCATTTACTCATATAGATTAAGTACTTTAAGTAACTGGCCTTATGATGGGAATTCCATTTGTACAGCTGAAAAAATGGCCAAGTCTGGGTTTTATCGGCCGAATCCAAACAATCCAACTACTACACAGTGTTTTGTCTGCATGAAAGAATTAGAAGGATGGGAACCTGATGTAAGTTAACAATTCTTCTAGATTGGACTACTAAGACTTCGTTTCGTGTAATACATGACATTCAAAATGTTTCACTCTATTTTAATTTTTCCTATTGAACTTCAACGTCTCACGATGTTTACAAGTTTTCATTAATACAAGCAAAGTGGTTGGGTTTTTTTATTGGTACTGGTGTTTATAGTTGATTTTTGTACGGTCACGAAGGCATACTGTAGATTTTACCATTATGTTATCTTAAACTAATCTTGTGTCTTTATGTTCCACTTTATGTAATGCAGTGAAACGATGAGAATAAGGGTGATAGATTCTTCAACAGCATTTAATACATTAAGTCACACTAACTGTTGAAAAAGTTATGATTAACAGTATCTTCATCGTTGTGAATTTGCGTTCCCTGCTCTTCCCAAATTCGAATAAAATGTATTCTAAAGTTTCCGGATTTTTATTATGTATACTAGTTTAAGATTCATTTGTTACTCAGAAGCGGCTGTCTAAAGAATTAGGTGCTTGCTCTCATTTCATTTATGAGATGCAAATAAATGTACCTTGTGTTTGTTATAATAATAAGAACAGTTGTGTACGTCTGTGATGTTCAATGAAATATTGTTCACTCGCGTTTGTTAACAGCTTCCTTCTAACAAAGGTCGTAGTGCTTAGTTATCCAGAAATGAAAAGACAAGCTTTGGTATAAGAGAATTTATTATCATTTATGAAAGGTTTTATAGAGTAGACTTGAAGTAAAGCGAAATGAATAGAATGCGATGGAAATATACATCTCACAATTATAGTCATTTTTTTCAATGAAGTTTCCTCCTTATTCATCGACTACCGACGCTACTTCCTGAATGCCTTAATAAACTTATTAAATTACATATTTCTATTTCTATGAATTGAATAGCTACATTGTTAGTACCTATATCCTGGCTTTGCGAAATTGTTTAAGGTGTTGGATGAAATATAAAATTAGTTGCTCCTATGACATTTAGTCCCATCACCACATGAGAATAAGAGAATTGTTTTAGATAATCAGAAAAGTTTATTAATGAAATTATGTAGCTCTATATTAGCTAACGCAAAGACATTAAGTTTGTTTTAAACTGTTCAGAATATTTGTTTAATTGATAGGACTAAAAAGCTGGGTTAAATTTAGCAATAACTGTTTCCTTCAGAATCATATCTATAGCCAAAAGTTTCGCTCTATTAATGATAAATTATTTTATTTCATTAACAAGTGGCATCAGTAGTCCTATACTAATAAAAACATTGGGAAAACCCTTTTATCCATTGAATAATCAGAAGTAGGAAATTTTAAGCGATAAAAGGTGGGCCAGAAAAACCGTAACATTTTCAGAGTTTTATATATATATGACTCAGGTTTCATCTCATGCATTACAACTACCTTTGTCAGCCCCCAAACGCCCTGGTACAGCCGAGAGTGGGGAGAGTCCGCTCTCCCTCTCGAAATACTCTCACATGGCCACGCGTACATAGCCCCTGCCAGGGAAGTCCTACTCACTGCCTTCACGTGGCGAGGGTGTTGTTTACGAAAATGAGAGGACGAAAAGCGAATGTCCGGCGCTTTAACCGGATCCCAAACCAATGGTGCACATGGGCTCCAGTATCCTGAGGGGACAAATGGCGTATGAACCAATCGTTGGTCACCGGCTGGCTACCATGGGACTTCATCTCCTTACGATGCTCCACTGCCTTGTGGATCAGATCTTCAGGTCAAAGGCTCGGGGTGTGGCCCCCTAAGAAAATCACCTGCTTCGGTTTGGGCACGCGAGCAGTATCACAGCCCTCACACAAATCAATTGAGATTCGTGTGGCGCATATGTATTTGGTGCCTCCTTGTACCAATATTTATGTGTTAAAATAATAAAATAATAATAACTACCTTTGTCATGTTCACTATATGAATTTAAAAAGTTGGGAAATCAGAGGAGGTAAAGATTGAATGCCCCTACTCCGTTGCAAACGATTTTCAGTCCATTTCATTCAATAGTAGCTAATTCCTTTAGAAAGTTAAATACGTAGATTCATAATTACTCTAATAACTGAAAAACAAATTAATTCATTTACTAGGTACTCCGGGTATAACCCACACTAAACGTAAGGGCTAGCAATACCACAAGATTGCCCAAACCAAGGTATTTAATGTGGGGCTTTAACCCGGACCGCAGGGGCTGAAATTCAAACACCTAAATCATTAAGCTCTGCTGCATATTGAGATAAAGAAAACTATTCACATGAGATGTCAGTTTTGTAATGAGGATTTTGTTCAACACTTATTCTTGTTTAGATGCTTTTATGCCTATCGTTTTTATTAAAAGTATCAAATCTAGCTACAATCTCAATATGTCCTTAGTTCTTTAATTAGTTCCTAGCTTGATGCTCAGAACATATCCTCTCACAATTTTACTTTTGCATACAATACTTATGCTTTCTTTTTTTTCGTTTTTAGGATGATCCAGACAAAGAGCATAAAAGTCATTCACCAAAATGTCCTTTCCTAAAATCTAAGCAATATGAACAAATGACTTATGAAGAAGGATTAGCAATGGATGTTGAAAGATATTGTACTTATCTTTCCAATATTCTTTCGGATCAGTATGATGTTCAAAAAGTACAAAAGGCATTTAAGATGTTAACTGATATTGTATTATCCAAACTACCAAAGCGAAATAAAAAAAGAAAATCGAACGTCAGCAAAACAACGAACTCAATTATGTCGAATTCAAGTATTAAATCAACCAGGAGTATTCGAAGCAAAAGAATATGAATGTGTTTGATTTCTTTACAAACCTGGATTATTTGTATACTTTGTACAATAATAGTTGTTTTAATCATACCATACATCATTTTGATAGGTTCAGATAACGGGAACTAGTCCGCATGTGTTTCTTTTTCATTTATTAATGGTAGATGTCGCTTTATCTTAAAATGTAGGTATTACAGTCCAGTAAAAATAGGTGGGGTTTATTAAACATTAATAATTATGCTCATTACTTACTAGTAATACCTCCTATTTTTAATGAGTTTGTTATACTGTCTTAGCATACAGTGAGTCAAACAGAATGAATAGATTGTGGTGAGTAGTGTAAACCAGGACCTGTGTTTCTTCTGATTTGTAACTGGCTAGCTGGACCTACTTACATCCAAGTATTGACGTTCGCACTTTGGGACTCGTACCCTGTACCTTTCGCCCTAAATATTCGTGTAAGTATAATGCCTGTTTTACAAGTGGACGGCTGTGTAGACTAGCTAATAATGCAAAAGGCGTTAAAAGCGAAACGTGCAGAGATCTAGTAATGATAGTGAAGTAAACTTAGCTGACAAGTCCCGAGTAGAACAGAACACGCTTCATGAATTTCTCGGCCAATAGCAAACCATTTGTTCTATTAGGAACCTATGATAAAATGGCTATATCGGGGCAACCCTCACAGTGTGCTTATGTATCAACAAGGACTGACCAAAATCTGGTCAGGGCTATCAACAATGGGATAATATAAACGCAACAATTGTAGAAATCAAAATTTATGGCTTATTCATTCACTTAAAGTCTTCTTTTACAACATTCGGTTTATCATTATTGAGTAATTGGAGACAGATTATAATGGATATCCTGGAAACCTTATATTTTACTGAGCTACACATTATCAAAGGAATCAATATTTAGCAAAAAAGAACTTTATATATGTTCCCAAGCGACCCTTAAATTACAATGAAAATACGGTTGAGTTTTGGCGTACAAAAACATAAAGAGAGCAAGATTTCTCTTGATAAGTAAACATTAAAGCCTTACAATTAGTGTAATACGGTTAATTTATTGTCATTTTGTAATTTATGTGGTCTCGGTTGCAGTCTAATCGCTATAGAAAAACCTGACCGTTGCTACCATGACGTGGTGGTCGTGCTTGGCTATCGTGGTGAACCAATTGAGCTATACTGGTTGGAACATTCGTTCCTAAAGTCCCTACCATGCCAGTTGAGCAACGGTAAAACTAAAAGCTGCAAACCCGAGGTTCGAAGTCGTTTTGCTGACTGTATAGAGGTGTGAAGGCAGTAAGCTGTCTCCTTCAGACAACCAGTATAGCAGCGGTGCTGCCTTCCCGTAAGAAGGAGTGGGGTTAGAAAAGGTCGACCCTAAAATTGCACACCGCCTTATACCACGGATATCGTCTCCGGTGGTAAGGTCTCAACAACTACGGAGGTAACACGGAAATTACCCGCAAAAAGTGTGTCACCGGGCTGAAGCAGTTGTACCTTGGGCACTGTCGTCACATTCTCAGGTCATGAAAACCATCTCTAATCTGGTTTCAATTTTAGGTACCTCCAGAAGAAGCCTTGCCCCCAAATGCCCTGGTACGGCTCTCACACGGCCACGCGTACATAGCCCCTGCCAGGGAAGTCCTACTCACTGCCTTCACGTGGCGGGGGTGTTGTTTACGAAAATGAGAGGACGAAAAGCGAATGTCCGGCGCTTTAACCGGATCCCAAACCAATGGTGCACATGGGCTCCAGTATCCTGAAGGAACAAATGGCGTATGAACCAATCGTTGGTCACCGGCTGGCTACCATGGGACCTCATCTCCTCACGATGCTCCACTGCTTGTGGATCAGACGTTCAGGTCAAAGGCTCGGGGTGTGGCCCCCTAAGAAAATCACCTGCTTCGGTTTGGGCACGCGAGCAGTATCACAGCCCTCACACAAATCAATTGAGATTCGTGTGGCGCATATGTATTTGGTGCCTCCTTGTACCAATACCTATGTGTTAAATAAAATAAAATAAGAAGAAGCCTTGCATAGTGTGGGCAACCGGGAAGTGATAAGCACTCTCATACCTCTAACAGCACTAAAGAACATTGTAGCTGTTGAGAAATTGCATTTCAATATAAAAGTATTGTATAGTTCGAATGTCTTAATAAACTTAAAAGGCACTACTAACCTAATCAAGTGAATTTATGGTTGTTACACTGAGATGATTCCAATGAATTATTTAAGATCCCTTGTTCAAGGATAGAAAAAAAAAGACAAGAACAAATACATACGACAATGACATGTTTTGTTTTGTTTTTCTTATCAATCATTATTTCATCCTGAGGTTGTTGTTGTTGTTATCTTCTCTTTTGTATTATCTAATTTAAATCAATAAAAAACAAAGACAAGACAATAGAAAAGAAAATGACCATCAAAAGATATGAGTAAAAGATGAAGAATTAGACGAAGTGAAATAGATTCAAACAATCTATCAATGGTACAATAATATTAACACAGTTTATTAAATGTAATGCATAAATAAAATGGAAAATCCTATTCAATTATACAAATAGATATCATCATCATAATAATAATAATAATAATTCTTATCAAGTTGGTATTGAAAAAAAAGAAGATTAAACCCATTTGAATTGAATGATTATCATCTGTAACTATAAAATTCACCAGAAAAGGAGGAAAAGAAGTTGATGAAGTTATTCATTTAAGCGGTCATTGGATACACCAAGTGATATACTGAAGAGAGGGAGGGAGAGAGAGAGAGAGTATAGAAAGACAATCACTACTACTAATCAATTTATAATCTTTCTAACATTATTCATTGAATTAATTTTATTCATTTTTAAAAAAATATAAAAAGAAAAATTTCTACAATTAGGCAACACAATTAAAGCATATTCCTATAAACAGACAATATTCACATTCAAAACCTCTAAATGTATATGGTTATCATGATTACAAATAGGATAAATAAAAATGAAAAAAAAAAAAAGAAAAATCAGAATTGAATGTATCATGATGAGGAGACATTTCAGCAACAACAACAACAAAAAAATACCAAAAAAAAACAAAAATGCAATTGTCATGATGTGAGAAGAAAAAAAAAAGAAATGAGCATATATAATCAATGATAATGAATGTTTATATGAAAAGAAATATTGATTTCCAATATTAAAGTTTCTTGCATAGTTACACTACTATAATAATAAAAAGGATAGATGAATGAACAAAAAAAAAAGTTAGTGTTCATTAAAAAAGTTTTATCTCTAGTTGATAAGGTGTATTATTCTTTAAGAGAAATTCTATTTCAGCTACATACGATGAAAGGGTATAAAACATGTTTTACTTATTATTATTATTGTTACTATAGTTGTGAGTATCCTATTTGTACAGTTGTATAAGGAAACACCGGGACATGGGATTGTTTGTTCTGTTTTTTTCTCTTTCTTAAGAATACAATTCATAGTAGAAAAAAAAGTATAAAGAGGGACAGATAGAGAGAGAGGAGAAAAAAAATTGTATGTTTTTCTTTTGCAATGTTGTTTAGGCCCTGGATCAAAGTTCAATAAATTGAAAATCAATAAACAATCAAAATCATTTTCTATAGTAACTGTTATTTATTAATCAGTAAGTAAAAGTAAATAAGAATACAAGGCACTTTTAAACGTTAAAAAGAAAAAAAAAAGTGAGTGAAAAGTTGAAAGAAGAACGAAACAAAAAGAAAAAAGAAAAAGAAAAGAATTGATCCAAAAGAAATAATGAAATGAATAAATGAGTTGTCAACTATTTTAAATCTTATACTGTATTGTGTGTCTGTGTGTGTGTGTGGTATATACATACAAACATTAGATAATTAACACATTTGAACTGTACAAATATGTGATGAATTTGATAATGGTTGTGTTGTCATTGAATTCTCATTGAAATGATGCGATGAAGAATGTTCATTTTGTTTACTATTCGTATTCGTATTATTATTATTATTATTATTATTACGTTGGTCATATATGATAGTTGTATCATGACTTAATAAGGTGGTTTGATTTTGTTTACGTTTCTCTAAATGACGTTTATTTTGACGATGATCATGATCATTTATATTATTACAATTAATGATCCGAATATCATCATTTCCATCATCAATAGTATTATTATTATTATTATTATTATTATCAGCTGGACGATATGATAATTCAGCTGATGTAAAATAATCTTCAAAATAATTACATAAAAAAGCAAATGTTGGTCTACATTCTGGTTTAGCATCCCATGTATTTAACATTATTTCATATATAGAATTAGGACAATTTAATGGACATGGCATACGATAACCATTTTCTACTTGTTGTAATGTTTCTGTATTATTCATTGAAGGAAATGGTACTTGTCCATAAGTAATAATTTCATATATTACAATACCAAATGACCATACATCTGATTTAATTGTAAATCTACCCATTAATGCAGCTTCTGGTGCTGTCCATTTGATAGGAAATTTAGCACCCTAATATTAAAGAAAAAAAAAAGTGAAACAAAATAAAGTTACGTCATCAGTTTAAATTAAAATGATGTATAAGTAATAGGCATCTTTACCCCTTATATAATTTAATACTAAATAATATCCATCATCATTTGTTTCTTAATGAATAGTTTCTATGCAACTTAATTAGTGAAGCACTATAGGGGTTGTGCAATTTAATAAGTTTTTGATTAAAATCATGAACCGATTGATGTTAGACTACCATTGAAAACATGGAAGCACTGGACGGCCATTTCGTCCTATTATTGGACTCCTCAGCAGTGAGCATCCACGATCCCGCCACCTCGCCGGATTCGAACCCAGGGCCTTAAGTCTTAAGCGCGAACGCTTAACCTACTGGACCACTGGGCTTGCACTCAATGATGTTAGTGTCTAACATCAACCAATTCACGAAATTGAGAGACCATTTTCCAGTATACTGAGGTAGACACTTGTCTCTACCTGACACGGATTAGCTCCACAATAGAACGAAACGGCCGTCCAGTGCTTCCAGGATTCTAACGGTGGTCTAACATCAATCGGTTCATGATCACAATAAAATAAAACCAAATCTAGACACGTATGTTCTAGTGACTGAAATAAATCACTTGAAGTGTGTCTGCTACATTGAAGAATAACTTACAGTAAACGTTGTATAACCACCTCGTGAATCTATACAGTGATGATCTGTGGATATTCTAGTGTAAACTGACTAACTAAATATGTGTATTACTTAGAATAGAAATTTAATGATATTATAAAATTACTACAATCTCCATAAAAACCCTATCTGATTGTAATTATCATATGCTCACTAGTGACTGACTTCAAGAGTTACTTCTTGGAGTTCTATTGAGAAGTTGTAACCAATGAGATAGTAACTCACTGAAGACAATGGTAGATGTGTCACTCAATTTTGCGGATGGGTTGAAGTTAGACAATAACACCATTAGATGCCGGTCGGCTTAGTGGTTTAGAGGTTAGGCGTTCGCGCGCGAGACTAATAGATCCTGGGTTTGAATCTCACAGTGCGGGATCGTGGATGCGCACTGCTAAGAAGGAGTCCCATAGTAGGATGGGACAGCCTTCCAGGTTTTCCATGGTGTTCTACCTTCAATTGATTTATGAATTCAATTATTCAAGATATTAACACTACTGAGCTATTAGACTTGGTTGTGTTTAACTTCTCAATTTTCTGAATGAGAATTCATGGAAATTAATAACAAGTAGGTTTTATTTTCTTTGAAACGAAAACTAAAATATTCAATCAATTAATAATAAACTACTTGTTTAGCTGTATATGTTTCATTCCCACTATCAATAATTCGAGCTAATCCGAAATCAGCAACTTTTACTGAATTATTTTCACCGACAAGTATATTTCTTGCAGCTAAATCACGATGAATATAATGTTCTTTTTCTAAATAAGCCATACCACTAGCAATCTATAAAGAAGAAGAAAGAAAAGGTGATGATGAAAAAAGTTATAGTGATATTGTGGGCTTTTTAATGGATTCATTAAAAATAAGGTGTAATTTCTATACCTCTATAAAATCGAAACTTGGATTATTATTATTATTTGTAAAATGTTTATCTGCAAAATGCTGTTTCAGGATTAAGTCGCATCGACACTCGAACTAATGATAGGAAATGAAGTAGTTGAGCGTGTCGACCGCTTCGTTTGGGAGTTTCATCAACCTTTGTGGTCTGGTGTGTGATGAAATCTCAGCACGAATACAGAAGGCTCGACTAGCTTTTGCCAACTTATGTCATTTATGGCGTAGGGGAGATATCCGTCTATCAACCAAAGGACGGGTTTACTGTTCAGCATTTCGTTCCGTCCTACTTTATGACAGTGAAGCATGACCGGTAAGAGTAGAAGATATTTTTAGGTTACTAGTATTTGATCATACGTGTCTTTGAAGCATTGCTCGTATATCCCGAGACCACCGAGTAAGTAATACAGTTGTTAGGAAATGGGTACTAGGTAAGAATGGCAAACCAATTGATGAATTAGTGAAACTTCATCAGTCGAGATGGCTGGGACATGCGCTACGTATGCCCAACAACCGACTGCCCTGATGTGCGATGCTTTATGGTGTAGGAGTAGGTTGGAAGAAAGCTAGGGGTGGCCAGACCAAAACATGGCACAAATCTATGAACTCATTGACAAGTGAACTGAGCAGTGTTGGTAGGTGTAGACTATCTGTTTGGGATCATCGAGACGATAGTAACTGATGGTTAGAGACTTTGAATGACATAGCACAGGTGCATCCACACATTGTGTTCTCCCAAATTCTAATCTTCTAAATTTTTCATGTCCCTTATTTTTTCTTTTACAAAATCTATTTCACTAGATTATACTCCTTGAATAACATCTTTAAACCCTAGTCTTTTCGATTACTGCTTATACTTTTACTACTTCTACTACTACGGGACTTCAATCAACAATTGTATCCGTGTGCTAATGTGGTATGGCAAGTCAAACTGATGTACATACGTACGAAGTTCTACTTTGTTGCTGACTGACTGATTTGTAGTAAGATAGTTTATTGTTAGCGGTGTTGTGTTCTTGGAGCTAGAAGATTTAATTGTGTCGTTTTCATTATTATTTCAGATAATATCTTCGGTATTCACTTCAGTTATTCTACAATTACCATATCAGTTTGTTTTGATGGCCTTGTTTGTGATTTACTGTCTTTGTAATTTTTTTGCTATTATTTGCTCTTGGATTCATGTTGACCAACTTTGACTTTTGATTGGTTAACCTTTTCCATATGGGCTCATAGACCGGATCCATGTCGATGAGTCTACTGATTACTAACTGATCTAAAATTAGCTCTTATATTTAGAATTTACTCAATAATCCCGAATGCCATCGGTTCTTCAATCAATTACAACACACCGAACGCATCCAGATTAGCTACAGATCTTCACCGCTTCAAGACAATATGTAAAACATGAATCCCTTAGCATTAATAAATGTTAAGAGTATTGGTCAATACTTTTAAAATCAACCGAAACCAGGTGAATAATCACCGTAATCATCATCAAGAGTATATTACAGATCAATAAATAAATAGATTAATTATTTTAATGAAAGAAATTCTTTATGTAAAGAGACTAGATAAACTTCTACTGTCTTTAGCACAAACAGAAAACAGATTGAGTTTTTCAAATCTAATTCCATTTAAATCACAAGCTGGGAGGAAGCATTCACAAAATCTGAATGCCTTATAAATCACAGTGGTTATCGCTGCTACATAATGCTAAATCTCATTGAATGAACGACAAGATGAAATCTTCACATTACCGTTCATATAATAATTTTAGTGCCAGTATTCATTAAGTATTTTCGACAGTTTTATGGATCAGTATTTTGACCTGTTGATCCTAACTGAGTGACATCTCTGGTTTTCATGCATGGTGAGTTCGATTAACATATCGCTACTTTACTTCAACTTTAGTCTGGGTTTCAAATCTATGCCCATACGCGTAATGAATTTGTTATGCAAGAGAATTTATTGATCTAAACGTTGTACTTTAACTAAACTAGTTGTGGGATCTTGCTATGATCCAATCTTTATCATTCTTCAAATATGCTATGAGCTTATGACGTGATATTTGTTTCAATTTCCACTTTTAAAGTAATAGAGACACGTGAACAATACTGAAAAAAGCTAAAATTTCATAACATCTACTTAGATGAATTTTAATTCCAATGTTATATAAAATAAGGGAATTTCATAGATACGTTTCAGGATTTCGACTTTCTAAATGAAATTACAAACAGTGGAGTGAGGAATATAAGAATGTCGTCCAATATTTTGAAGAGGTCAGAATGAGACAACTAGATACCTGCTTGATGGTCTAAAAATTAGACATTGGAGAAAGGTCTTAGATTCGATTCCCGGATGTGGGGTCGTGAATGTGCACTACTTAAAAGTCCTATACTGGGACGAAACGGTGTCTAGTGCCTTCAAGTTTCCAGTGGTGATCTAAGACCAGTTCGAGATCTGATAACTATGAAAATGCTATGATCTTCACTTAAACATTATGCTGTTAAAAATTATAAACAATATAGTTAATTGATTAAAGGATAACTTCGGTGCAGCTATATAATACTACTGAATATGAGGGTGCTAAAAATGACGTTGTAGCTTTCTGTGCCCTATACTTGATATGATTAAGTAGGTCGTCGTAATCAAGGACTTTTCTCCCTAGAAATGTAATAAGTTTTGATATTTATTATGATTCTACATGAATTACAAATTTCTCATGGTTATTCGCTACGTTGAATTAGAATATTTTCATTACGAAAATTCGTTTATTCGAAAGACGATTAGTATAAATTTGGATATTTTAGCGGGTCCTAAACTATTCTCTATCGTCTTTACAATAACTATGTTCAGACTTCTTGAATAATCGATAAAATGACGTAAAATAATTATCTGAGAATAATTTTTATGAAAATCTTGGCCTTTTCAAACCATAAATACCATACAAAAGTACCCAGTTAGAGACGTTACCAATGAGTTGGATGGCACGGGATGGAATCCGTCAGGGAGTATCAGTTCCTTCAAGATTACAGGTACACTTTGCGGACGAGTGCCAAGTAGCATGAAACTTAAGTTCAGGGTTTCTTGTTGACTACTTCCAACCACCATCTTATCTCAACATAGTGCACACAATGTCAAGTCACCTAGGCTGGTGGTCACATTGAAACTCGGTCGAAGGATTCCATCTACACTAAGAAGGACCTGACATACATGATGTTGATCACCGTCTAGTGATTAATCAATTGTAAACCAATAAACTATAGCTCACATAAAATATGAAATAATTATGATTCTAACTTACCTGTGCCATCATATCAATTAATGGTTTCAATCCTAATTCTTTACCAGGACCATCACGTAAATATTTTAATAAACTACCATTTTTCATTAATTCAGTAATAATATAAATTGGTTCAGCTGTAACTACAGCATATAAACGTACAAGTCTTGGATGATGTAATTGTTTCATAATACGTGCTTCTTTAAGAAATTCTTCTTTAGTCATTGTACCTTGTTTTAATGTTTTCACAGCAACTTCAATAGTTTCATTCCATTTTCCTGAATATTTCATTTAATAAATAATAATAATAAAGTGATTAACTTAATGAATAAGAAAATAAGATTATAATGACCATCAGAAATACGTTTGAACAGATGACACAAGAAGTTAATATCAAATAACTTTCAGAGAATGGATTATCTTAATAAAATAGGTGGTATGGATATGTGTCACATAAATCATTCGATTTGTATGATGGTTTGGATACTGCCCGAGTGCCCGAAACAAAGCATCTAGTTTTCTTAGGGGGCCACATCCGGAGGCTTCGACCAAAAGGTCTAATCCATAAGGCAGTGGAGCAACGTAAGGAGATGCAGTCTCATGGTAGCCAGTGACCAACGATTGATTCATACTCCTTTTGTTTCTACAGGATCGTGGAGCCTATGTGCACCGTTGATTTGGAATCAGGGTGTTCTAACTCCCATAGGTGGATCCTTCATATCCGCCAACGCGGTTAAAGCGCTTTTCGTCTTCTCAATTTCGTAAACAACAGTAATGCCGCGAGAAGGCAGTGAGTAGGACTTCCCTGGTAGTGGCTGTATGCACATGGCCATGTGAGAGCATTTCGAGAGGTAGAGCTGACTCTCCCCACTCTCGGCCGTATCAGGGCATTTGGAGGCGATAAATTAATAAACATTAAGTAGATTATTATAATTCTTTCTGGTTAGCGTTTTTTTTAGCGAGTTCTGTGGGAGAGAACAAATCAGATCCCAGTGGAGGAAGAAATCAGGAAGAAGCGCTGGAAGTGGATAGGACACACATTGAGGAAAACACCCAACTGCGTCACAAGACAAGCCCTCATATGGAATCCTCAAGGTCGAAGGAGGAGAGGAAGACCAAAGAATACATTACGCCGGGAAATGGAGATAGATATGAGAAAAATGAACAAGAATTGGATGGAACTAGAAAAGGCCCAGGACAGAGTGGGTTGGAGAATGCTGGTCGGCGGCCTATGCTCCATTGGGAGTAACAGGCGTAAGTAAGTAAGTAAGTAAGTAAGATTATTATAGACTATATTCATGGATAGTTTTCAATGAAATCAGTCTGAAATCTCTAAATTTATTAGTTCAGCTAGTTATGGAGTATGAAAAAAATAAATAAGAAATAATTAATCAGACAAGTACACGCTTCAGTAGCCCATAATAACTCAATGGATTAATGGGTAATACATTAGCTTGTAAAATGAGTTTATATTTTATCAGGAAATCTCATTATATAGGACTCCAGATAAGCTTAACTGATGAGTTTTGGATTTCATTTTTATACACAGTCATTCACAAAGTTTTCTTTTAGTCTTGCGACAACTTATTTTCCTACAGAAGTATTTAGTTATTCGAACTGTGGATGTATGAATAAAACATCCAAGAAACCTGAGATGACCATGAACTGTATTCGGTGGATGAAGCCATTGAATAATAAACTATGGCTTACAAAATTACAAAGCTTTAAAAGGTATTTATTTACAGATGCTCAGTTTGTTTTCTAAGAACTTATATAACATTAAGAGTAACTTTTATACTAATTCAAACAATAAATCAATCTGGTATGTGTATCAGTTTTTCTCTGACAGCTTTGAATAAGGCGTAACCTGTGAACTGATTACCAGTCCATACAATATAATGATATACAACAATCTTATTACGTTTACACTTTTCTTAAAATTACCCAGCTTATTTATTATTTATTAAAATTAACCGATTCTATTGAAATTGTTTCAGCTATTTAAAGTCACCTGAACAAATGTCATTAGTTCAAACAGTTTATCGTTCAACTACGAATACAACCAACTTCAGCTTGATATTAGTGATAGGTTATTTTCATTAATTTGGATTTTCATTGAGATCATGAACTGATTGATGCTAGAACACCATTGAAAATCTGAAAATCGGATAGAGACAGGTATCTACCTCAGTAAAATAGAAGATGGTCGCGCAATTTCGTGGATTGGTTGAAGTTAGACATTAACACCACTAGATGCCGGCACAGTGATCTAAAGGTTCGAGTCCCGCGGAGCGGGATCGTGGATGCACACTGCTGAGGAGTCCCACAATAGAACGAAACGGCCGTTCAGTGCTTCCAGGTTTTTAATGGTAGTCTAACATTAATCGGTTCATAATCGCAATCAAAAAGTTAGTAATCTCTATAACCCTATACTGATACATTATTTTGCAACAAACTGCTAAAATTCACCTACAATTGTCATATAGTAAACACAAATCATTTTTATAATCATTCACTGATAATGATATCAAATATAAGATAATGTAGGTTTCAATAGGAGTAGTTAGTAGTAGTATCGGTAAATTTAATTTAATAAACCATGTAATGCACCAAATACGAGGCCAACTAACAAATTCAGTTCACCTACATTACAAACTTGCAAATTGATTAGTTGCATATTAAAACATTAATATATCGTGAATACTACTTATAAGTAATTATGTGCTACTGATGTTGACAGTTATAAATAGTATGTAACACCAATCAAAAATGGAAGGCCTGGAAGCAGAAGATCGAATTGAAGAGAACAATAATGTAAACAGGAAGTAATTGCAATAAAAACAGGAATAAAGTTAGTAAGAAACAACTCAAAGATGCACAACTGATGTACTTAATGTATGATTTTTACATTTTATTAGATCACTGTGTGGTTATCGCCCACCAGATCTTCGTTCACTACAAAAGTATTTGATTAATTATGACATCCTTTTCTCTTTCTGAATAAATGATACCTTGTAAGTTTCAATAGTACGAGCTGTAAAGGGATTTTTTATACAGATATATACTAACAATAACTTATTACTCTACGCGTACTTATTCCATATTAATTAATGTAGTGTTATTTAATAGGAATAGGCTTCTTTCGTTGTATTGTTTGATCAAATATCTTACCATGTTTTCGTTTAATTTTATTCTAACCAGCCGACAGATAGCGAACATTTAACTTTTATCAAGATGATTGTTTTCTATCTTACAAACAGATCTGATCCTAACATTGAATGATAAATTACATCGTTTATTTAAAGGTAATGTCAAGACATTTCTACTGTATGGAGTGGAAACTTGGAGAACTACAAAAATAATCATCAAGAAGATACACGTGTTTATTAACAGTTGTCTACTCATAATACTTCGGATCCGTTGACCAGACACTATCAGCAACAATCTACTGTGGGAGAGAACAAACCAGATCCCAGCAGAGGAAGAAATCAGGAAAAGGCGATGAAAGTGGATAGGATACACAATGAAGAAAGAACCCAACTGCGTCACAACACAAGCCCTCACATAGAATCCTCAAGGTCAAAGGAGAAGAGGAAGACCAAAGAACACACTACACCGAAAAATCGAGACAGACATGAGAAGAATGAACAACAATTGGGTAGAGCTTGAAAGGAAGGCCCAGAACAGAGTGTGTTGGAGAATGCTGATCGGTGGCCTATGCTAACAGGCGCAATTAAGTATATGAGTAAGTAACTATGTTGAAGGTAATTAAAGCTAAACACTTCAAATTTATACTTCTTAAATTTATATCATAAAGTATCTCAAAATAGAATATTATCAGTACAATTTACCTTTCCAAACTTCACCAAATTGACCAGCACCTAATAATTCAATTAGTTTCAATGAGGAACGTGAAATTTCCCATTGATCTCTTGTTAATCTTGATAAATCAGTTGGTACAGGAGGTGGTCTTGGACATGGACGTGTAAGACAACAACATAAACCATCCGCTTGATTAGAATAATGAATAACTAATGATTTTAAATCAGGAAAGACTTGTTTTGTAGTTATATACACATCACCAGTTTCAGAGGATTGTTTAATTTTATAATGTTTTACAGTTTCACCTCTTTGTTGTTCTGTATCACGCACTGACAAAGACAGAGCACCTTATGTTGAATAGAAAAAGAGAAACAATGATAAAATATAAAACAAATAATCGTAAACAACAGAAAATTTAGTATTTGACTGTTCTTAATTGTAGTCTTCCAATCTTGCTATACTTAGTATATGCATCACAATTGATTGATCACTGGGTGGTGATCAATGTCATGTGTGTCAAGTCCTTATTAGTGCAGATCGAATCCTGTCGACCATGTTGCAATGTGACCATCAGTCTAGGTGACTTGACATTGTGTGCACTATGTTGAGATAAGATGGTGGTTGGAGGTAGTCAACAGGAAACCTCGGACCCGGGTTTCATGCTATTTAGCATTTGTGAGCAAGGTGTTCCTGTAATCTTAAGGGAACTGGTGCTCCCTGACGGATTTGATCCCGTGAGCTTCACAGTCAGAGGCGTTACCACCGGGCTATACGGGCCGCGACCACCTAGTGATCAATCAGTTGTGATGTTGACAATTTAAACACCCCTTTATAATGATTGATTCATACTGTAGATCCCGAAGTCGTTCTACTATTTAGCCGTTCATAATACAGTGTCTAATTGAGTGATGGTTATATTCGCGATCTACTTGTCAACCGATAAAGCTGAAATACAGTAATGAAACATAATTAAAAATTGGCTTTTATTGGTAATAATTCTTTCTGGATCCCTTTATAGGTTATGGCGGGTACTAGGCCTAGATAAAGGAGAAAGATGGTTAGGAGTGAGGTTATCAAATCAATCCCGTTAAAAAAGAATCTTGGTGAAAAAACGCTAACCAGAGAAATTTATTTAAACAACTTATCATCAGTAAAAAGCATATACAAAGGGTGAGAGAAGCACTTACCATTTGTTGTTTCACTAGCTCGAACCAGAAATGTCCCACGAATATTTCCTTTTAATAATAAAAGACGTTCTGAATCTTTTCTTGATATACTTCGGAAGTACCAACTATAGTTTGAAGGAAGATGACGCAACGTTAAAAACAAGAAAAGAAAACTTAATTGAGAAACATAGTGATACAAAGGTTATTAATCATAAGTCAGTCATAATCAACGTAAGGACTAGCACAAATATGCACTAGTTGACAAACCACATTAGCAAAACATGATAAAATTGACAGGATAGACAGTAAACAGAGTCAGAATAATTGCAACAATAATGATAGTCAGAAAGACTAAATATTAATAATATAGTTCGAAAAGATAGAAAGAGAAGTTATGTATGGAATGTTATTGAAAATCAAGTTGTAGAGGAAGATAAAGGGTGAATAAACCTAAGTCATTGCGACTGATACTGAGCCATATTACTTGATGTCCCCAACTACTGATTGCGCAGATTTTAACCAGAAAGTCTGAATCAACCAACATGGCTCAGACCAACAATCAATGACTTCATAATGTGATGACACGTTCTTTGTTTACTCGCCTCTAGCTTTCTTCACGCTAACTTCTACACCAACTAATGTCGGTAGTCGAGGTGGCTGGTGGTTAGATACACATAACGCACATTCTAACCACCTCAGATAACGAAGATTCCCGACTTCATAAATTTGATCGCTATCGTCGCCTAGTAACTCGGAGTCTAACCTCAAAATTTCTCCTTCACTAGTCCCGAAATATGACAAAAATGTTGCAAAGACATCTAGAATGAAATAACCACAGTCTGTGTATGTTCTTTAATTCTCTAGACTAATTTGCATAGCAATGGAGCAATACAGGGCGAACTACCGAGCAGTATTCTAGCTCTCCGGCTGGCATATAACATGACTCATACACTACAACAAGTGATATAAGACGGCAATCTCTAACGATATTTCCTAATGCGTACTGAAACTTTGTCAGACACCAACCCAACAGGGATGAAGAAACTTCCAAAATAACTAAAGTAATCATCGCATTCAAATATTCCATTCCCTATTATCAATCTGAGTAATGATGCATACAAGTCCAGAAGTAATGTTTTACATTTGGAAGAGGTGAAACGCGACCAAAATACTCGTACATTGTTGATCGCGAATTATCAGAAGACTCAAGACTTCTTAGGTGTCTTCATCAAATAGGACAATATCACTTTCATATTCTAGATCAACAATTGAGCCTCGTGGTAGGAGACCATCCTTAAGAATGATAGATGGGGAAAGCCTAATTTCTATAAGGACTTATATGGCGGAAATAACTAAAAAGGAGAATTGTGAGTAACCTCAATGAACACTGATGGAAGTTGACAATTCTGATGACAGCTTACCGTACGCCCTAACTCTACCAATAATCTCCGAATAGAATGATTTCAAAAGGTTTATGTTCTCGACTGGCAAATATTTTAGCGATAGACCTTGGTGGAAAAAACCTTATTGTCAAGAAATACAACTATAATTGGACGTCAGTATGTCATTATTACAAAACTTAAAGAAAAGTGAATATTCGGTCAACATATATCTGCAACCTCATTGGAAATCAGTCTGATTTCCTCAAGTTGGACAATTACGAACACTAAATAAGATTTATATTATTGTACAGACTAATATTTTGGACATAAAATTCATCCTTCTGCGATTATCACATGGTGATTTTAGTCCTTAATTATGAACTTGAGGGATCATGAATCGAGACCGGTTAGATGAAACTGCGTCCAGTTCATAATGTTCAGGTATTATATCAGTCAAATTTAACTGCTAAAACTAGACTGTCAACCTTAAAAATAACCTCAGTTAGCCTATTTTATCTTGGTGCTCTCACACTCTTCATATTAGATAGACTTTCCAACCTCACTAACAGTCAATTTCCATCTAGTAGGTAATTATAGGGCAGCCAAACAGTTCCTTAAGGTGTTTTTTCTAGTATCCTAATAACATGAACTAAGAATGAATCACGGTTCCTTTATTTCTGAAGCAGTCTCAATAATAGATAGATTTTTAAAAATGATATTAACCGAACATTTAAGGAAAACAACGAATCAATAATTTCATTGTGGCTTAGTATGATTTACCGACTATTAAAATAACTGATCCCAGATAAGTCAGGTAGCATGGTAAAACTGTTATCAGTTTAGGGGTTATGGAGATTGTTAAGTTTTTGATTGAGATCATGAATCGATTGATGTTAGACCACCATTGAAAACCTGGGAGCACTGGACGGCCATTTCGTCCCATTGTGGGACTCCTCAGCGGTACGCATCCACGATCCCGCTCGCGGGATTCGAACTCAGAGCCTTCAATCTCATGCGCGAACGCTTAACCTACTGGACCACTGAGCCACGAGCGGGATCGTGGATGCGCACTGTTATACTTTCATTGATGTGCCATATTTTTACAGCATTAAGTAAGTCACTACTTAACGTGAACATATTTTGTTGAAGATTCTTTGTCCGAGTTTGATGATGGTGAAATTGACATCTTCCTTGCAGGAATCATCAGCACAAACTTTCGATAAAAGTCAGCGAATATACTCGAGTGTCATTAATATCTATTTATTATTACTTTTAATTTTGCCCATTCCGTTGGTAACAAGTCCTTTATTAGGACAAAAAGAAACAAATTACTAAGTAATTTGTGTTTCGACTGTGAAATTCATATCGAAATAGTGACTATGATGTTGATTAATTAGAATATTTTAAACCACGGAGTCAAAAATATGCCTATTGCAAGGTACGTGATTACATTGAGCACTAAGAAATCTTATGTCATCTTGATGGTTCACGATAATCCATTTTCATAAATCGATTGTTTCAGCAGTCTTAAATGTAACAATTTGTAAATTCCTTGGACAAGAGATGATTAAACTATTTAGCTCTAATGAATTGATTGGTTAAATAGTCTGAAAAATGAAATTAACATAAACTGTAAGTCAATAGTTTTAGGCTAGTAGTGGTAGAACTAGAATGACTTTAAAAGGAAAACACAAAACCATGACACTTTAATCATTAGGTGTTCATAAAAATGAGATAAGTAAGTAGAAAGTGGAATATCTGGCGATAAAAGGTTGAGAAGATCGAAGAAAACGGGAACAAAGAGTTAAGGAATAATGAAAATTGAGACAATTGATGGATATTTTACAAATGAACTATTTACTGTATGGTTCTCAGATCTTACTAAGAGATTCTATAATTTTGTATTCAAATACGTTTGATTGTTCCCGTTTGTGTTCTCGTTCACTACAATAGCATTAAGAACATAGATTATTCACAATTTGTACTTTTTCCTATTCTCAATAAGTTAGTTACACAATTATATAATATACCCTTGTAGGCCAGGGTAATTTTACATTGATTTTTAGGAGAACCGGACATCATCCTGACTTTCACGTAACAACCAAAACAGTACAGATCAATCCCGTTTCGCAGGAGAGTCAGGAACTATATAGGCTTTAACGCTAAAATCTGAATAGTACAGCTCAATACTGTGGCGCAACCACACATGTACCAAGCACCCTGGTGTACCATTCACATACACATTCATATCACATGTATAATTATTCCGATCAATGATCGAGTGAATCAATTGTGCACAACACGAACTGGCCAAAGTTGACCTATTCCGCTTACACAACAGTCAAACTTATTCATGTTAGCAATGGTGACATGCCTTACAATGTCCCAATGACAATGACCTTTGAGAACACTGAAATGCAACCACCAGTATGAATGAAATCGGTTAACCAGAAAACCAATTTTGTGCATGGACAGTCAGTAAAACTTACCATAATAATGCTGAACCATTCACAATATCAATGATGAATCTCCAGTCTCATATGAGACCTTCAGTTCTACATAGCAATATAGCTTATACGAAATAGCCTAGCTTGAAGCGTTCATACTTAAAGAATGCTTAAAACCTATTATCTCATGTCGGAATACTATTATTACAAGATCATTCAGATCATTTTTATCGTATTAACGAAATTTTCATATATTTTTTTCCCCGACTATTCAAACCCTCAATTAGGGGGTGGCTGGATAGTAGTATCCTTTTTTTCTTATTTCTACTATTTAGATTAAATAATAGTCAAATGGATTGATCATTTTATTTTTCTTTTTTTTACTTTAGACTAATTAATCAGAGAAAAATTGTAATTTGTAATTTAAGAAAAAGAAAAAATCTGTCAAACATTTAGACGAACATTATTGTTCAAAAGGTTAAACCGAAATAAACATTAGTTAAATGTTAACAAGAAGAAGAATCATAATTGTCTTGTTTTATTTTTCGAAATGAAAGATGAAGATGAAATAAAAAAAGACTGAAAGTAGAATATCTGTTGATGTTGGCGTTGTTGTTGTCTATATGAAATGAATTAATAAAGTTTCATTTCTAGTTTAGGTGGAAACAAAAGAGTTTACTGTTGAGGTGATCCAGAAAACTTCTTGCAAAAAATAAAAAAAAATAAGAGAGACTCAGGAAACACTAATAAACATTTTATCCAATCAGCAATCACTTAAAGTTTAGCCAGAAACAACAAGAAAGTGAAAAGTCACATTCAGAGTTTCTGATTAACTGATTACTATACTGTTACTTTGTTCAGTAGTATTCCAGAATATTCGGAAAACCCAAAAGCATCTAAAATACTATATTTTTTGTACTTAAACGAACTTTTGGAGTAAATTGCTTATTGTATATTTTGCGCCTTTTCTGTCGTGTTCAGGTTGCTGTGTAGTTCTAGCTTGGGGGTTACGAGAATAACTTAGGAACCGAATATAGCATTCAATTAGCAAGACTTATCAACTACTTGAATATTTGAGCTACCTGTTCCTTCCATTTAGATATTTCAACAAGTTATCAGGTTTTTTTCTTCTGTTGGCTTTAACACATTATTATGCTTATCATAAACTATTCAGGTGTGTTTCTGAAAAGTGTACATCATTACGTTGTACAACTTACGAAAAAGAGCTCAATCAGAGATATCGTGGTTGTTGGCAACATGAATTGAAAAGAATGAACATTATACAGATGTCTATTC